GAATTTGGACTTTAGACTCACATATTTGAATTCATTCATGTTTTCACAATGCAAATTTTGCTTAAATATTTGTAGTCAGAACGGCTAGATTATCTACATTTTATATAGTAAATATGGACGATATGGATCTTGAATTATGTACTTAATTATAAATAACACAACAAATCAAATAATTTGAGAAACTATCAGATTATTATTTTTATATATTATGTGTTAGCTAGAAAAAAGGGAAACGTTGGCTAGAAAAAAGAAGAGGGGAGTAGGATCCCCAAGGAAAGTAGGAGGGTTCATGGAGTACGTACTATACGTGTATACCCACACACGGTGGGCGTGGGTACCGGATTTTTCTTTTTGAGTGATCTAATGGTTGAAAATAGTGGGTCCACCTCTTTAAAGGAATATTTAGGATTTTTTTTCTAATTTATTAGATAGTCACATGGCGTCTTAGAAGCGTTTTGTAGAATGCTACACTACCAGGGAGAGGGAAGCTACTGTGTGCCAAAAGCTCTCGGTAACACAGCGAAAAAACACGGGAACAGAGCTTCCCGAGAACAGACTCTCGGGAACAGACACTCAGCGGCCTCACACCTTTACCGTGCAATATTTCCCGTGAGACTACGCTTGTACACTCGGTAAGACAAGAAAAATTACCGGGTGAAAGCACTTTCTCGGTAACAATGTATTGACCAGCACAGGACAGGTTGCGGAAACGGAACGGGGGTGTTACCGAGAGGTACGAACTCACGGGAAGGAATAAAATGTTACCGTGTGTTGTAGTCAAACACACGGTACTGTTACATAACTTACCGAGAGCTATTAACACTAGGTAACATTGAATACGTGATTCTAGAAATTTCATAAATTCATTATCGTACAACACTGAAACGCAGCAACAAGCAAACATGAAAAGCAGAGCGCAAGGATACATCACAGGAACATGTCATGTGAACATTAGCTGCAAATTCTCCCAGTATTAATAGGAACATCATGGTACAATAACAAAATATTAATGGATCTACAAACTCTCTGCACATGATGCAATAGAAATATATGATTCTCAATTCTTACAACCTCTCCCAATGAGGCAATATATAGACAAATGCTAGTGGCTGACTAACCAAATGTGTTCATTGACATCACATATCAACTCTTTAGTGTTTTGCCATGATTGTTATATGCCTGAAATTATAAAAAAAAAACATGTTTAGTGCCAAATAAGATTACAACACAACTAGATTATTTAGAGGTCACTATTTGTGGGTAGTTCACAAAATAAATTTTCATTTGGGACTTGGGAGGCAGGTTACAACAATTTTGCAGTGTGATCTCCAACTACGTGAAGTGTGTACCTTAGAAATATTCGTCAAACAAGATATTTCTATGGATGAATCAGAACAGTAGGATTTTGCAGTCATTGTCATCATGTTGAATAGAAGATTCATTGAGAATAATCTTCAAGTCCTTGTCATTGCAAATTTCTTCAGTATTCCTGCTAGTGGCAACCTTCTCAAAATCATTGTCAAGTTCTTGACCAAGGCACTGTTTATTATGAAAATATTGAGTTTCAGAACTAAAGTTATCAAGTAATTAATTGGTTTGCATTACTATTCTAGAGTTTCAGAACTGAAGCTAGCTAGATTTCCTAATATGATATGAGGATATGCATGGTCTACAGCCACCAGTAGGCTAAGTAGTGACATTTGTATCGAGGGACATGATTATGCATTGTCCGCACTCAATCAACAAAGGATTGGAAGTTTGACTAAAATTGGAAGTTTGAAGAAAAAAGTTAGAAGTTTATGTGTGAAGGAAAGTTTTGATGTGATGGAAAAGTTGGAAGTTTGAAGAAAAAGTTGGGAACTAAACTAGGCCAAAGTATATGGATGTGAAATTTAAGATTTCATCTAGAATGTAAGCCTCTGATATGGGTGAAAAATAAACTATTCTTTTTTCTGTAATAATATTTTTTTAGTTGTAAATTATCTCAACTGTGTTCTTTTGATGACAGAGAAATAATAATTGAGTATTAACTAAGAAATAGGATGAGCTAGAATTCAGAAACTTCACTTGTGATAATTGAAGTACATATGTGCACTACAGAACAAGAAATTTCTAACCACAATTTCTAAACTTGGCGACCGGGGAAACACTTAACCAAAGATTAAGCAACAGAAAATAAAAGAGGAAAAGAATTACATCCTTCTTTGCTGTTAAGAAACCAGAGTTGTGCATTCTTTCTCTTTGCTCTGCTCATAGCAACTCCCTGAGCCGGTCGACAAGCCTCGCGACTGCTGCCGCCGCAACATTCCTGTGCTGCTAGTTGTGCCGCTCAGAGCATCTCTCATGTAAATTAAAATTGCAGGCACATAGAGAAATCAGTACAACCTGAAAAATGTTGCGTCCCTCCGGGAGGAAAGGGGATGCACAGCACCAGCTGCAGCCTCCAACTGGATGGGGCGCGTCACGGCGTCGTGGACCTGGATGCAGCATAGCGCCCATTAGGATGTCACCATATTACTAGATCCAAAGAGAAAATGAAGTGTATTTTTCCAAAATCAAGAACTATATTTGCATAAAGATGCAAGAACCACTCAACATACGCATACCACACAGATTGGGAGGAAGCAGTTGCAGCAGGCCTCAATACCCAGCTCGATGATGATTGGGCGCCTTGTTGAACAGCTAGACAATGGCGTATAAATCGCAATGGATGGACGTGGACATGCAGGGCCGTGCTCGCCAGCCGTGTGAAGGGATGAGGATAGGGACGCGCGGTCGCATGGTTGGGATGGCTGCCTGCGACAAGGCCGGCAGAGAGGGGAAATGTGAGGAGGCGATGAGAGGAGAGCGAGGCGGCGGCGGAGGGGGAGACTGGAGAAGAGAAGGGGGAGTAGTTTAGGGGTAGGGTTTTGTGGTTCTATTTGGGCCAACTTTTTACTAGCCCACTCGAAAATTTACTGTGCAGCCAAAAATCGTGGCGCGTCATCCGCCTGCGCCAACGGAAATCGTCGAGCGCCAAAGAAATTTCACGCGCCGTCCACCCCGGCCCCGCCAATAGAAATTTCACGCGTCGTCAACAAAAAAAACACCCCGTGCCAAAAAAAAAACACCGCGCGCCATCCACCTGCGCCAACGGAAATCACCGCCCGCCAAGCAAAAAAAATCCTCGCCAAGCCACGGTAGAAACGGTGGATCCCATGGTTACCAAGCGGTTTGGCATTGCATAGCGTATTTTTATCTTCCCGAGTTTTTTTCGTCGCTAACACACGGTATGTTTGCAATGTTACCGGGTGCAACGTGCTACTCTCGGTAAGTCACCGAGTACTAGCAAAAACTCCCGGTAACAGGGTGAGGCACACGGCAGCTTCACAAGCTCTGGTAGTGCTACGTGATAGCTTGAGAGTATTTGTAGGGAGTTTAATAAACTTTTAGTATATAATAGATAAATGGATAGATAGATGAACTAATATATAAAATATAACCAGCATATGATGAAGCGGGTTAATTCCTTGAGCGCGTGCTCTGATGATGTCTGTCAGACGAAACGTTCTAATTAACGATCCTGACATCTTAACGACCGTGAGAAGATCCATCGCCATCTGCAACCGGTAGACTGAAGTGCACATATCAAATAGAAAAGTAAAGAGAGAAGAAACACGGGACATCTATCTCTTCTAATTGTTAATTAACTCTTTTTCTTAATTAAGAACTACTAGTAGCTGGAATATACGAGTATACGACCTCTTCATGTATGCACCGAACCAGCATAGTCAACGTGCTACCCCATATCTCTGTCAAGGGTCAGTGAACCTGCACTGTCCATATTGGTGCAATGTATATAATTAACAACAGCCTTAACTACTTCAAATTTAGGTGCTGTTCAATCGTTTGGATTTCAGATTTTAGCAAAACTTAATTTGAGGTTGTTCTGTTTGTCACTTAATGCCTTATTTATTTTTCCTGAATTTTCTATTATCGAAGAAGAAGATATTTTGACCGAAAGGTTTGGATGAAATTAAGGCTCTGTTTCTTTCAGCTTGGGATTATTATAATCTAAATTATTGAGCCAGATTACTATAAGTTATATTGTTATAATCTGTAGTAGAATAAGGCCCTCTTTGTTTAGGTTTATAAGCCAACTTATAAGTCGAAAAGTCTAAGTCTAAACAAACAAGCAGCTTTTCCGTTTGGCTTTTTTGAAGCCATAAGCCACTCTAACACTATTAAGCCAAAAGCTAGGTTAGAGAAGCTTTTTTGGCTTATGTGAGGTAGATGTATGACTCAACTACTAAACTTAGGACATTAAATCCACCGGCTTATAAATCATATAAGCCAATAAGCTGACTTAAAAGTCTAGGCCAATAAGCCTAAGCCTAAACAAAGAGGGTCTAAGCGGTTAGTTGTTTCTTTCCTAGATTATTAGAGCCTAGATTATTGGGTTTGCAAGTCTAAAAAGGGAGTGGGGTGGCATGGTGGGTAATTTTTCACCCAATAATCTGAAAAAAGCTCACCTAAATGAGCTTATCAGATTATAATAAGCTGGACTCCAGATTATAATAAGCTACTTCAATAAGTTGTCTGTTTCTTTCAGCTTACTCTCAATAATCTAGATTATAATAATCCCAAGCTGAAAGAAACAGGGCCTAAATAGGCTGGACATGTGTGGCGTGTGAAGAAGAGTACTGATTCACCTAAAAGAGATAACACCAACATGTGACAACATTTTGTGTCTAACAAAAAATCCCAATCGTTCAGCTTCACATTGGAAAACAATAGAACACCAAACTAAAAGGTAAACGATAAAAATAAAAAAAATGAAAATAGCTACTGTTCAAACATGTAGCTATTAACACGCTAAAACTATCGCAGCTAACAGGGAATCGTTGTACACTATGCATAATTTATGTACAACCATGTAAACTGAATCCTTGTTTGATACTTTTGAAGTGGTCAATGCATGCACATATGTGGCTATGGGTCTCCTATAAATACCACATACTTAGACATCGAAGTATCATCAGCCTGATCATCGAGCACTTCTCTCTCTTCCTGTTATTAGCTATAGCAGCTTAATTAGCTTAAGCACAAAAGGTACAGTAAGCCTAAGCTAGCTACACACTAAGCAAGCTTATTAGCCATGGCTTCATCACCAAGTCTGCCATTGGTGACGTGTGCCCTGCTGCTGCTGCTGGCCGTGGCATGCCAGGCTCACCCTTACTGGCCACTGGAGTTGGCGTACTACCGCGACAAGTGCCCCCAGGCCGAGGCCGTCGTCAAGGCCGTCGTCGGGGAGGCCGTCCGCCAGAACCCCGGCAATGGCGCCGCCGTCATCCGCATGCTCTTCCACGACTGCTTTGTCGAGGTGCGTACGTTAGCTTCTTCCTCTTCTCCGGCGAGATCGATTGATCGACTTGAGCTATGTGTACTTAGATGTGCATGGTGTTTTGTTGTTAGGGTTGTGATGCTTCGATCCTCCTGGACCCGACGCCGTTCAACCCGACGCCAGAGAAGCTGAGCGCGCCGAACAACCCGTCCATGCGGGGCTTCGACCTCATCGACGCGATCAAGCACGCCGTGGAGGCGGCGTGCCCGGGCGTCGTCTCGTGCGCCGACATCATCGCCTTCGCGGCGCGCGACGCCACCTACTTCCTCAGCGGCGGGAAGGTCTACTTCGACATGCCGTCGGGCCGCCGCGACGGGACCTTCTCCAACGACTCCGGCCCGATCGACTTCCTCCCGCCGCCGACGTCCAACCTCAGCGACCTCGTCTCCAGCTTCGCCGTCAAGGGCCTCTCCGTGGAGGACATGGTGGTGCTCTCGGGCGCCCACACCGTCGGCCGCTCCCACTGCTCCTCCTTCGTCCCCGACCGCCTCAACGCCTCCGTCTTCTCCGACATCGACGGCGGCTTCGCCTGGTTCCTCAGGTCGCAGTGCCCGCTCGACGCGACGCCCGGCGGCAACGATCCCACGGTGATGCTGGACTTCGTGACGCCCAACACGCTGGACAACCAGTACTACAAGAACGTGCTCGACCACAAGGTGCTCTTCACCTCTGACGCGGCGCTCCTGACGTCGCCGGAGACGGCGAAGATGGTGGTGGACAACGCCGTCATCCCCGGGTGGTGGGAGGACAGGTTCAAGGCGGCCATGGTGAAGTTGGCGAGCATCCAGGTGAAGACCGGGTACCAGGGGCAGATCAGGAAGAACTGCAGGGTCATCAACTACTGATTAATCTACAAGTTTAGCTGCGTGATTCAATTACCTGGTGAAGTACGTGCTCAACGATGACGACGTACACGGTTTGATAGTTTCACACCCTCCTTGATCAAGTCGCAAGCGTACGTGTTGATGATGTTATGATTGGATGTGACTTTTGCTTCACATTTATGTTCTCCCTCTTTTGTTACCATTCCTTAATTCCTCATTTGTGAACCCCAAGGTTTACATGCTATGGATTTCTTTGTTTTGACCTAATTGTGTAATAAGGTCATATGTACTTGGAATAATTGTAAGTTAAGTTTTTTGCAACAAGTGCCCGCTATATATTGATGTTTATCTGAAATTTGAAAAGAGAAAAATCTAGGATGGCTCGAGATACCCATGGATGTAATGATATAGATGTGTGAGTGCATGACTTTCATTTATTCTCTTATTCAAACTAGATGGGTGGCCCGCACAATTGCGCGGCTAGCACCCAAACAAAATCATATATCTTTCAGTATGATTTTACTTAAAATTTATTAAATAGCTATACCCGTATTCCTAATTATGTAGTTTTTAAAAGTCACACTAGCTGCTACCCCTTACTTCTATCATATCCTTCTTTATTTGCTTGCTTGGTCTATCACTATTTCTATTCATTCTTCTTGAAACGTTTCAAAATTGGATCTTATAGTTTTTTGAGTTCATTATCTCGTTGGGTTTCGTTTTTATAATATCTGGAAGTCCCGTCAAACGCTGCCATTATACTCCTCTACGGTCCGTCCACTGTCTTTTCTCTTTTGTCATTGGGATTTTACAAATCGAATATAATTATCGTTTGAGTTCATTTTTCACTTTCTATAAGTCCCGCCAAACCGTCAGCGGCTTTTCCATTGTACTTTATGACTCGTCCGCTGTCTACCTTCTTTATTGTCATTTGTCATTGAGATTTTAAAATCGAACATGATTATCATTGGGTTTTTTTTTTTTACTTTTTAGAAGTTCCGAACCTTTAAAAATTGGACCTTGTAGTTTTTAGAATTTATTATCTTATTGGCTTTTATTTCTTATAATTTTTAGAAGTCACGTCAAACAATGCCACTATACTCCTCTACGACCCATCCGCCGTCTACTCTTTATTGCCATTGGGATTCTAAAAATCAAATATAACTATCATTGGAATTCATTTTTTATTTTCTAGAAGTCCCGCCAACCGTCAGCAGCTCTGCAACTATACTCCTATACACCCCACCCGCTGCTTCTCCTTTTTATTGTCATTGAGATTTTAAAAATCAAATATGATTATCAATAAGGTTTATTTTTTTTACTTTCTAGAAGTCCCGGCAACCGCCTTGCCCGTTTGCTTCACGGCTTGCCTGTCGTCCCTCCTTTTAATCATCATTAGGATTCTATCTGTTGTTTTACTAATAGTTTTTATATGTCGTATCAACCGCCACCACTCTACTCTTTTATAGGCTTGTTATTTAATTTATCTCATCGTGTGTTTTAGATAGTCTTTTTTTTTCAATAGTCTTTATTTTTATCACCAATTTTAGTTGTTTATAAATTGTATTCCTAATTGAAATCTTTTTTCTTTTTCTAATTTCAGAATTTAATTTTTTAAACTTTTATTTAATACCGTATAGTATTCTTTTAATATTTTTATTTTTTATTTTTGAATTTTGGTCGTTTCAAAATTGTATTTCTACTTGAACTCTCTTTTAGTTTTTCTAATTTTTGATATTTTTTATTTTTTTATTCTGAATTTTAATTAATTTCGTATTGGATTGTTATATGGATTCTTCATTCAATATTGCTTATTTTTAATTCCGAATTTCAGTTAATTTTAAATTGTATTCCTACTTGAACTCTTTTTTTTCTTTTTGCTAATTTCGGATTTTATTTTTATTTTTATTCCGAATAGTAACTAATCTCGTATTGGGTTCTTATATGGACTCTTCTCTCAATATTCCTTTTTCTAATTCCGAATTTCAGTTATTTTTAAATTATATTCCTACTAGGACTCTCTCGTTTTATTTTCTAATTTTGGATTTTATTTTATTTTTATTTTGAATTTTGATTAATCTCGTATTGGGTTCTTATATGGACACTTCTTTCAATATTGCTTATTTTTAATTCCGAATTTCAGCTATTTTTAATTGTATTTCTACTTCGACTCTCTTTTTCTTTTTCTCCGATTAATGTGGAAATTTCTAGCCCTCACAGCGAACGTGGCGACTTCTTTCAAAGCTGTTTTAATAATATAATAGATAGATAGATTATTATAACACACAATTCATATAGTTGTATGTTAGGGGAAAGCCGATCATGCATACACACTCTTTTTATGTATATCAACTAAATACTCATAAAAAATAGTAAAATAGATCAATATATCATATATCGCTTCACAAACATGCTTGTTTAAATTTGACCTACACAACAAACAGAAACAAACATAACAAAAAATGATGATAATTAAGAAATTGTGTACTATTTACGGTTGAGATTTGTTATTTTTGTTTCTACTTATATGTGTCGAATTTTAACTTGAATATTTGTAGATAGTGAAATATCATATTTTGATCTATTTTACCATTTTTCAACAAAATTTTGATGGCTTTGCAGTTGGCATCTATGAAATGGGTATATGTCATCATATCCTTTTAAAAGAAAAACAGCTTACTAGAACTACCATATATAGGGTCAATTGGCTGGCTACTTACCGTCAACCCAAGTACTCCCTCTGTATTTTTTACTGTATTTTTTAAATGTGTTACTGTTTACTTTTAAGCATACGACCATTCATCTTATTAATTTACTATGTAAATAAAGATGAATGGTTATTATTTCTTCTATTATTATTTAACTTTTTTGTGATATGTTCATCTAGTAAAGGTACTTTAAGTATGGCATATAGTTTTGTATATTTACATTGAGTAAAAGAATGGTACGGTCAAATATATATATATATATATATTAAAAGTCAATGATATTCTATATTTGAAAACAAAGGGAGTAGTTATTTCATTTTGCGACTATCTTAAAAATTATCGAGAGTTTTTTTGGTTGTAAAACTTTAAAATATAACTATAGTATAACTACATTACAACTCATATATATAACTACAATATAACTAGATGCATATATAATTTATATGTAACTAGAATAAAACATGTATGGCGCGATTGCAGTGCACTCCCTCCACAAACTGAAGGCCGCGAGGTCAAATCCCAACAATTGTGCTTACCAATTTATTTTTTCTCATCCTTGCTAGCACGAATCTTAGAGCAAATATGACGGTCTAAAAGTCGAAAGTTTCCCTAAAAATCCGTCGAAAGTAATCTAGCAATTCCGTTTCATTTTCACTTCCTTGAGGAAATATCTATACCGCTTGAAGGAAAGCAAGTTTAATTTGTTAGCACTAATTAAAGCAGTAATACCTTAAGCCTCTTCAAGAACTAAAGAACACTTCAAATTATTTTTTAGCACAGTATTATTGTAGCCATAGGGAGTACGTACAAGCATATCTAACAAACTTACGGTGTCGGTGAAATTAAGTTTGACGCTGTAAACCCAAAAACTCCACTAAGCTTTACTAATTTGTTGATTACCTTATATAAACAAATGCTCGAGCACTATAAAAAATTGATTTTTCATGGCATCACCCTATTATTTTTATTGATGGACTAATGAAATAAATGCTTGTAAAAATGTATTGGCGGATTCTGGGTCACAAGCCGTCAGCGAAAAACTCACTTAGGAGGTCCCACTAAAAAAAATAGCTCTATTTTTTTGGGCGAACCTCATGAGAGCCCAACGAAAATTGGTTTTTATTGGCAGTATCTAAGAGCACCACTCGCGAAATCTTTTCTGCGGTATTCAAAAGTCCCACCGCCAACCAAACCCTCGCTCCCTTGGCTCCCTCGATCACCTCATCTACCTCCTTCCATGCCCCTCTGCCTCTCTCACTCCCTTCATCTGACACTTCCTCCATCGTCACCGAGATGCGTTGCACTACTGTCGCGAACCGCTACCGCATCAGCCAACGAGGAGGCCAAGGCCGCTAGATTTGGTGACCCCGACCTCCTCGCTGGTGAATCCAGTTGGCCCGAGCGGATGACGCCCGAGAGGATGACAAGGAGTTACATGACGACACAGGGAAGGTTACTGTTGGTGTGATTCATGACCGCCAGATCTAGCGGCGGCAATAACAAGGGTTGCTTTTCGACGACACCAGCTGTCCTCAGCGATGGCTCTGCGACCCCGACTCTTGGTTGTGATGGTAACTAGGTTTGTGGCTCTGAGATGGTGGTGGCGATGACAACCAACGCTCGGTGATGGCATCTACGACGTCGATCTTGAGCAAACGTCCATATCTAGGCGGTGGTTGACAAGGGACGACGACAACACGAGCTCCTCCTTGTTAGGATTCGTGGCCTCATCAATGGTGTTGTGGGCCAGCGGCTCGATCGTCATGGATAGGGTGAACCCCAAGGAGACCGAGATGCAGCATGGCGATGACTTCTCCCTCTTGATCTACACGTGGAAGTCATAATGACAGTGGCATTGTTCCGCTTGGTAACATTATTCAACATTGTTCTTGTGCAATTTGAGCCTCGAGGGATCAAATTGATCTTGGATTACAGTAGTAGCAAAATGCCAAGTGAAGTCCCTGCGGCAACGCATCTCCGGGTACCGCCGCGGGTTGCACATGACGTACTAAAAGTGTGACGGTGCGATTTGATGTCAAGACACCTTTCCACGTTACCAACAAAACAACTACTCAAAGCGGATAGCAATAGGAAATAATTTTAAATTAGTTAACATACTCTATGTATTAATGGATGTAATGGGAGAGGTTAATGCTGCCAAGTGGCAGCTAGCTTGTTTCGTTGGTTGAGTTGGAGGTATTTGGCTACCGGGCACGAATAGCTAGTTTGATAACAAAAGAATTGCTCTAGCATTACTAGTTTGAGCCTTTAATTTGATGCATCCCTCTAATGAAAAGTCGTTTTCAAGATTTCTGTTGCTGCTTAATTAATTAGATATATAGTTGCTTATACTTTTGTCCTGTGGCCAGTCCTAACGGTGCTTACATTTTCGTCTAAAGTTGTTCATATTACTATATTTTGTGCACCGTCGTCCTGTCGTCCATGATGGTGGCATGTGCCAATTTGCCAAACTGCAGCTAGTGAGAGCCGTGTTTCTTTTTTGCATTGTGAACTGTTAGTTTGAGTCTTCTATCCTTGTTGCAGAACATGAGCCAATTGTATCATATCCTTATCTTCCCACTATATATATAGGTGTTTATAATGTAGTTGTACTACTACGCGATTGGAAAGAAGCATTGTAGATATTCTAGTCCCATCATATTGTGGGCACCCTTACTCCTTCCTGAGCCACTGATGTAGCTTTTTGTTTTTTCCTTTGGCACTCTATGTGTATTTCTCAATCTTATCCTTGAAATCTCCCTTATACTTCTACAATGACATTTGATAGATTTTATTATGAAAAAAAATACCTTTCCCTTCCCGTCGTTAACATACGGTGTTGGAAGTCCTAAACTTAAAAACTATGTATTAATTAGTGGTGAGGTTTTCTCCTATCTTAGGATAGTTGTATTTGTATACCTCCTCATACAGAAGATACCTCTAAATAAAGGGAGTTACCAAAACTAATCTAATCCGATTAGAATAATATTGAAAACTCATCTTTTATATATGATCTTAACTTTCCCCTTTTTGTGGGGGAGTAGGTATATCCCTTCTGGGGCAGATATAAACACCTCCTAACTTAACTAACACTGTGAGGTATGTATAGCTATATACTCCCTCCATTTCAAAATGTTTGACATCGTTGACTTTTTAGTACGTATTTGATCATTCATCTTATTCAAAAAATTTAAGTAATTATTTATTCTTTTCATATCATTTGATTCACAAATTTTTTATGTACACATATAGTTTTACATATTTCACAAATTTTTTTAATAAGACGAACGGTCAAATATGTGCTAAAAAGCCAACGGTGTCAAATATTTTGAAACGAAGGGAGTATCTTAAGTACTAAAAAATCTCTCTATTGCCAATTGTGAATTTATCTTCTAATGATGTCAAGCGGTTTAGTTTAATTTTCCACCTTTCAAATGTAGGAATTATATATAGTTTTCTAAGAATAGGAGGAAACCTCACAAATGATAGGATGGGTGATTTTATTTGACTAGAGTACAATGAGCTTTTAGGTGATATATCTCTATCTGTATATATACCAATTTTTATCCAGCATTTGTCAATTATGCATTTAACGTGGCAAGGGTAACTATATTTATGGCGTCATATTTTTCACAAAAAATAGTGGGCATGTATTTATATTGTAAGTTCCTAAATTACATATGTAATTTTAGCGTATTTACAATGTAAGTCCAAAATTTACATATGTAAGTCTCAAAATTACATATGTAAGTCCCAAATTTACATATGTAATCAGTATGTAATTATAGTGTAAGTACAATATAATTAGTATGAATAATTTATCCACCAGTGATATAGTTTAATCTCTAAGTGAAAGCAAATACTATAACAAATCTTGAAGATAATCGACTGCAAAATATTAGCAAAACATGGATGGTCGTATGAGATGTGACTATAAAACTAACAAATTTGTGGCGACACAAATATAGCAATTCTGAATTAAAATGCAGGCTTGAACGAAGCTTCCGCCATGCACAGATTCTCGATATGCTGCCAAAAAAATGTTGACTTACATATAAAAATAAAGTAGCAACACCATTGTACTCCCTCCTTTATACTCCCTCCGTTTCGTTTTATTTGATACCGTTGACTTTTTAGCACATGTTTGACCACTCGTCTTATTAAAAAAATTTAAATAATTATTAATTCTTTTCCTATCATTTGATTCATTGTTAAATATACTTTTATGCATACGTATAGTTTTACATATTTCACAAAAGTTTTTGAATAAAGCGAACAGTCAAATATGTGCTAAAAAGTCAACGGTGTCAAATAAAACGAAACGGAGGGAGTATATATATGATGTTAAAAAAAAGAGGGAGTATATATTGGTGGACTGGATGATGAAGCTATTTCAATCAATCTAATACAATGAACTTTTTAGTTTGATATGCGCACCAGCTAGTTGGTAGATTTTTCCTTTTTTTAGCAGTTGCTTGAACAAGAGCTAGTGCTGTTATTAATCAGTAATAAAACCTGCTGTATTTGTTAATTACTAAGAGCTAGTCAAGGTTTTCACTCCTTCTACATATTCTGAAAAGAATTTGTTAATTTCTGCCCACTTGCCGAGAGAACTTTTCATCACGTAACCCTGACCTATCATAATTAATCCAGCTGCAACTAGGGATGAAAACGGATCGGAAACGGACGGAAACTAGTTTTATCATACTCGTTTTCATATTTTTTTTGGAATCAGAATCGGAATCGAAAACTCGGATACGGAAATGAAATCGAATATTATCGAATACAGATACGGAGCGAATACGAGACGGAACAAATGCGGTAGCGAATATTTACCGGCATATAAAAAACCCCTCAAATTGAGTTTCTTGATAAATGAAGAGATATCGCTTATTATTTTAGTTCAACATCTCTAACATTTATATCGTCAATTTTGTAGACGGTCCCACAACTGTATGTGAAAATCGATTTTCATGGCTGTTCCTCTAAGAGATCCATATGCAAATATGATTATCATTTTCTATTCCCAAGACCGTTTATTAGATGTATAACTTACTTACCAGTGTATAAATTGGAGATGTTATTTATTTTACTTCACGTCTTCGAAACTTGTAATATTTGTATTATACTTTAAATACTTTTAAATACAAATGTTATAAACTACAAAGTGGTAGATCCCATTGTGCTCTACAATTTTGATATGGAACACATCTCCATCAGATGTCGTTTGAATTGTAGATCTGAGATTTTGTAAAAATTAATATGGTATATTATAATGAATATTTAGACCCTTAAATGACCTCAAATAATAAAATAGTCAATAATAAAGTTATAGATCTCATCGAGCTCTACAATGTTGATATAAAGTTTGTCTTCATCTGATTCCATATGAAAAAGTTATACATATATACGTATATACATGTTCTTTCTAAAATTTGCTCAATGTGTACGGATATCCGGAAAAAAATCCGGATAGTTTCCGACCGTTTTCCGATTCCGACGGATAGTACTCTTAATGTATTCGTTTTCGTTTCCGAGAAAAAACATCCGAATTCGTTTCCGAATCTGAAAATTTCCGGATAATTCCGACCGAAACTATCTGAATCCGAAAAATGGTCCGGACGGACGGAACCTATCCGAACCAGGTTCATCCCTAGCTGCAACGCATAATCAACTGCTTAAGAGACATTGTCTGACACTAGCTAGTACCTGCCGTGCATAAGTATACGCGCATATGCTTTATTTCAATAATGCTTGCTGAGTACTCCCTCCGTTTTTTCTTCGGGGACTATACTTTTTATATGGCGTTATTAAATTTGGTATTTGTCCATTTGATATACAACGATGTTGATATTTAGATATGATAGTTTGTTATTTGTCTTATTCAAATAAAGGATTAAGTCCGATTTACCCCTCAACTAACGTGATACAAGGATTTACCCCTTGAACTGTAATATCAAACATTTGATGCTCCTAAAATAATTGATTAAGTTTGTGAATTATTTTTATTTACTGAAGTAAGTATATAATTAATTATATATTAGTGAAAGATAAATTCACTACTTCAATTGTCAACCCGTTGTGCGATGATTTTGTCAACCCCATGCAATTATATCATAGAGGATTTAACTAGAATATTATGTGTTAGCTTGTCCTTGATTGCTATCTATCTTATATTCGAAGGAAGTTATCGATCTTTTTGTTTGACCTCGTCGTTCAATAAATATATTGGTTTTTAATAGAGATGTTAATTTGATCCGTTGTGCAAAATGCATGGATGTGCAACTAGCTAGAGGTAAAAAAAATATCAGTGAAAAGGAGGAGGAAGAAGAACTACGGTGACCCATCCGGTTATTGCTCTGTACAAGCTAGCTACTTTTTATAACCATACTCTATACAATCTTGTGTATGGAGCTAGCTAAATACTAGATAATTTAAGGCCATTTGTAGGTTGATTGATCCGCCACGCAAGCTTTGCTACCTAACCATTTCAATGAAATAGTAATAATTAAACTCACATCTTAACTGCAGAGCACAAAAGGTGTTTGGGAGAGACTTAGTTTGACTTGCATTCCCTGACTAGCTAGCTAGCTCGCTCGCTCTGGAAAGCATGCTTATGTCCATCACTACGCTTTTTGTCCAGTTAATTGCCCGTTATAAGCTCGGATTAGAGGAACGATTCCGAATAGCACGTGGTTTAGCGAGCCAACCAACGTCGCGGGTCAAACCGCAGAGTTGTACACACTTGTGCTGCAACAAACAAACGTACGCGCATATTGCGCGGTCTCCTGCCACCACCTTACCCTTTGCCAACATGCATCCGCTCCAAGATTAAAAAAGCTTGCGATCCAGAAGCTATCTATCAACCGAACGCTCCCCTGATCTCATCTTACCTGGAGGCTGGAGCTCATCTTCACCTATAAATACTCGTGCACATCAGCATCACTTCATCACCTCAACCATCGCAATCCATCAAGCAAATCTCACTAGCTAGCTAGCTATCTCAGCTCACTCTCTCAGTAGCCACTGATCAGAAGAAGAGCAAGAGAAGCCAATTAAGCTAGCTAGCTAAGCTGGTTAATTGCCATGGGTAGTGGTAATAAGCTCGCTGCCACCGTGGTCGTCGTCACCTTCGCGGTGCTCATGGCGGCGGTGACGACGACGTGCCAAGCAGCTTACGGGCCACCCAACCCTGCTTCGTGCGGGCTCAAGGTCGGTTACTACTACGCCAAGTGCCCGCATGCCGAGGAAATCGTCAAGAACGTCGTCGGCGCCGCCATCCTCCACAACCCCGGCGTCGGCGCTGGCCTCATCCGCATGCTCTTCCATGACTGCTTCGTTGAGGTACATTCCTATATATATATATATATATATATATATATATATATATATATATATATATATATGCATGTGTACTATACTTGTTTTATTTTATATTATAATTTATAGAAAAATTCGACAATTTGTAAAGCACGAAAGTACTAACCATCGAATATATTTTAATAATGTATTTGTTTTATATTAAAAATAGTACTACATTTTTCTATAAATTTGATAAACTTTTAAGAATATTTAATTTATAAAATCAAAACGAATTATAATAGTATGAAACGGGCGGAGTGGTATACAATTAAGGCTTCGACATTTCGAACTGAAATTTTCGAAATTTCGGTCATTTCGTACCCTCTGATATGATATTATTTTGCATGAAATTTTTATTTATTTTTATTTTTTCTTGAATTCTGATAATATTTGTTTAAATTTGACTACATTTTGTTTCGAATTTTGGACCGAAAACGGGATTGAACCCACATATAATTACGAGTTTCTCAGCTTTGTGGCCGTGGATGCATGACACGTTTACACCGCCAATGCCGAAAATGTGCAGGGATGTGATGCGTCCGTGCTGCTCGACCCGACGCCGGCGAACCCGCAGCCGGAGAAGCTCAGCCCGCCCAACATGCCCAGCCTCCGCGGTTACGAGGTGATCGACGCCGCCAAGGCGGCCGTCGAGGCGGCCTGCCCGGGCGTCGTCTCCTGCGCCGACATCGTCGCCTTCGCCGCGCGCGACGCCTCCTTCTTCCTCAGCAACAGCAGGGTCGCGTTCCAGATGCCCGCGGGGCGCCTCGACGGGCGCTACTCCAACGCGTCGCGCGCCCTCGACTTCCTCCCGCCGCCCAAGTTCAACCTCGGCCAGCTCGTCGCCAACTTCGCCACCAAGGGGCTCGGCATGGAGGACATGGTGGTGCTCTCCGGCGCCCACACCGTCGGCGACTCCCACTGCTCGTCCTTCGTCCCCGACCGCCTCGCCGTCCCCTCCGACATGGAGCCCCCGCTCGCCGCCATGCTGAGGACGCAGTGCCCGGCGAAGCCGAGCTCAGGCAACGACCCCACGGTGGTGCAGGACGTCGTGACGCCCAACAAGCTGGACAACCAGTACTACAAGAACGTGCTCGCGCACAGGGTGCTCTTCACCTCCGACGCGTCGCTCCTGGCGTCGCCGGCGACGGCGAAGATGGTGGTGGACAATGCCAACATCCCCGGGTGGTGGGAGGATAGGTTCACGAAGGCCATGGTGAAGATGGCCAGCATCGAGGTGAAGACCGGCGGCAATGGCGAGATCAGGAGGAACTGCCGGGCTGTCAATCACTAGCTCATACAAATTTACGAGCATGCATGTTTAATTAATTTATTCATGCATATCTATGTTCTATCGTTAACTGCTGCATCTTGTCTGTTTATTCTTTCTTTTCCACTGATTTCATTTCAAGTCAAATGAGGCTTATGTACCATTATATTGTATCATGTTTGAATATAATAAAATAACTTTCTTACGGACACTACGGAGATACCACAAGGATCACACTTGTTATTAATGTTAGGAGAAATTCTGACTGATATGTAAACTTTTCCATTAATTGTTAAAGGGACAGCATTAGCTTTGACAACAAATTAAACTAACTAATAAAATGGGAGCACTTATATTTATGGTGCCACATTTTATTTTTTAAAAAAATAATCAAATCGTTTTTACACTTTAAATTACCTACACTCACGTTATAATAACAATATAAAGTTAAAAACTTACACTGTAATTTATAATATATATACATTAGAGTTTTTCTAATATACAATGTATAATTAAGAGAATTCATGATTAGGATTAAAAGTGATTTATTATATATTTGGAAGAGAAGATACAAGAGATATAAGCATAGTTACATATCGGAGAGAGCGCAATCACATAGAGAAAAAGTGACTGAAATTATGTGAAAATGTGGCATCATAGTTTTAACAAACCCGATTAAAAAGTTTAGGGATGAAAGATAGTGTGTTTTCCCAATATTTCCCAATTCCCATCCACATATTTAATCTAAGTAAGGCCATAGAAGGCACTGAAATATTTCATTATACATCAATATAAACAATAGAGTAAATTCTCTTTATACTCTTGAAAACTCATCCAATCCCTTTCAACCTCCTGAAATTTAAATCCCTTTTGTACCTTTGAAATTTCAATTTGATCCTTTCCATGCCCCTGCCGGTACATTTTCCTTCATTTCACTTTTAAGTTTGGTTGAAAATATCTTTTATACCCTTGATGATTTAGATTTGAATATAAGCTTGAAAAACGATTGAAAATTTTGTTTGAGTGCACAATATGTGCATTTTATGAAACTAATGACACTAAATAATTAGTGCAAAAAAATTTGACATAAATTTTGAAAGTAAAACAAATTTAATAAATTAAAACTTTTATTTGAAATTTCAATAGGACAATGGATTTTTTTTATCAAGAGCATTCATAAAAATATATGGTGAGCATTGGTAGTCCTATCTTTGTATGAATGCTCCTAAATAAAATAAATACATATTTTTTTATTTCATTATCTAAAAATAATTTTGTCATAAATAATATATCGCACAACAAACTCATAACTATTATAGTCTCATGTGTCAATCTTTTACATTTTCAATAATGTAATTCATAAATTTGTATGTTCATCCAAAGGGTAACATGGTCATTTTTATAGACATTAGACGGTCAACTGACGAGAGGGGTATGGAAGGGATCAAAATCAAATTTTAAGGGCATATAAGGAAGTAAGTAAAATTCAGTGGCATAAAAGGGATTAGCTAAAATTGCAGGGATATACAGGGGATTTTCTCTAAACAATAAGGGCAATGTATTTCCCTTTCAATTTATCAGACTAATTGCAGGTTTGTAGTTTGTACAGTCTATTATATGTACAATCTACTATCTTTGTTCTTAAATAGATGGCATATCCCAGATTGTATGCCATCAAACATCAAAATTTTAAGTTTTTTTATGAAATAAAAATATTATAAATCAATACATGAAAATAATACTAGTAGGTTTATAATATAAAGCACTTTCATACAGCTGCCTTCAATAAATATTATAAACATATTAGTTATTAAAAATATTGATAAGATGTGTGTATTAAAGATTGTCACGAATAATTTAAATGTCAAGTACAAAATGAGAATGAGGTATTGGCTAGTTTATTGTGGGATAAGAGTCAAACTTTGGACCATACCAACTCGATCACCAAGTCAACAAATAATCAATTAGAATGTTAGAAGATTGTTTTGAGGAAATCAATAATAGTCTATAACTAACATATTCGAGACTTCAATTTTCAACTCATGCTTATAATGCTATTTTTTTTGACTGAAAGTACTGCCAGGGCTTTGCCCAGCAGTTTAAATTTTATAAATCATAAATATGTACAAAGTTACAAAGGACAAACAAAACAGCTAAACTATAAAGTTTGTATCCAATCAAAAAGAAATTGCTTGAGTGGGTCTTTCATTCTGCACATATGCAGAAGAACTTCTTTGACAAATATAGATTTCCATGATTGAGGCGATGGCTTCACATTCTGAAAAATTAGCCCATTTCTTTGCTTCCAAAGATGCCATGCTGCCATGAAAAATACCTCAAGGAAACCCTTTTGAGCAAATCTGATTCTCGCCAAAACAATCATCTGAAAAAATTCCAGATTACAATTCTAGGAAATGCCTAGCTACTGCCAACAAGCCACACTGAAAGGGCATGTAAAAAAGAGATGAAGCCTAGTCTCTCTTTGATGTGTATTACACAAGGCACATGTGAGATCGTCATCCTCTTTTGCACAATGTCTCATGTCAAGCATATCCCTTGTGTTAAGTCTATCACAAAACAAAAGCCATGCAAACACCTTTATCTTCATGACACATTTGGTTTTCCACAGCCAAATCATGGGTCTAGGAGGATGCAACGAGGAGTAATTAAGCTTATAAAATATTTTCGCTGTGTACATATCTGTTCCCCAAATAAAGCTCCAAACATCACCTCTTCCAGGCTGAAGTTGCAGATAATTCAATTTATAATGCTAATTTGTCAATCCCTTGCACATACTCCGAAATTATAGTTTGCTAAATATCCGGCATTGACTTGTCATTATCAGCCGTTATAACCTAAAACTATATCGCAGGGAGTTCGATTTATTTTATTCTTGAACATGCTAATTGTTAGAACTAATCATGCGTAGTTTTTCAGTAGAAGTCAAGTTACACGCTAAGTCATACATACAAGAATAAATGGAAATAGGGGTAAAACAAAATAACTTCAAGCAAATTGTACGGTAAGCCAGCTAGTTCCTCCCACCGAGGAACTTGTGGTTTTGGGAGGACTCAGCTTTGACTTTGACCCATTCATGTGTAGACTAAGAAATTAAACTAAAATGCTACTTCTTCCATCCTAGAATAAGTTTATTTTTTGTTGCTCCCATCTGTCCTAAAATAAGTTTATTTTTTAATAATTGTTGCATCTGAGTTTTTGAAAGTTGGGGATAAATGCATTCGAAGTAGATAAAGTGAGGAATAAACACATCAGGATTTGATAAAGTGGGGGTATTTTAATCTTTTTTTATTGGGATGTGTGAGATGGTGAAAATTAAATTTATTCTGGGATGGAGGGAGTCCTCAATATATGAGGATAGGGGAATTTTAATTTTGATTCCTCGAGGAAATGTGATTAGCCATGATCCCGATCTTCTGAAAGATATTGATAAACCGATTGTGGTGGACTTGACGTTGATAATCTAAAGGCTCCTAGTATAAGCGAATACTAAGAATACAAACAAGGAAGTAGGAGAAGAAATCTAAAAATACTACAAACAATCCAAAATAACAGCAAAATTACAAGTGGCGGAATAATCTAAACAAAAGCCAACTCTATATGATGATGGCTATGTGTGTGTGTGTGAACTAAGCCATGGGGAGTGTGCTCTTTACACTCACACACTCCCTATGGTTTAGCTCATGACACAAATGCAATCTCCAAGACCCAAAATTAACTAGGACTCGATGAAGTATATGGGCATATGGCTTGTTTTGACTATTCCAAACATCTTAGCACAAAATCTGACATGAGACAAAAAACCATATGAAGGAGGGCTTCTTAAGCTTTCCAATAAGTACTTATGGGTTTCCAAGGAATCTCCTGTATCATCAGAGTCAGAAGGACCAAACCCACGAATAGGAATTTGCTTGCACGTGATGGTTCGTGGCTCCTCTTCTACATTTGGCCGTTTTATCTTCTCCATTGTCTTCTCCTTTGTTACTAAGGACAATCAAATCATCAAAAGTAATAAATAGTATGTCATTCTTAGAAACATTTGTATCAAAGCATAGAAACCCATTCACCTTATGGCTAAATTGAAGTGCATGGGCACGACTTACTGGACTTTGCATTGTTGGTTCATCTTGTTGAACTTGTTGAGGAGATTGTATGTGAATTTCCACAAGAGCGATGTCATTATCATTACATCTATTTGCATAAACCATATATAGTTAAGTAGTTATGAAAAATTCTCAAATTATAAATAACATTCATGTACATATACAACTCCACAAAAATTTCAAGGTTAAATACAAAACACACATAAAGGGGGGAAAAGGATAAATCCAAGCATATAAATAGTACCGATTTCTTAGTGTGTAGTTCGATTTTAAACATTAAGTGATAAAGGTTTGCCAAATGTTTTTTATACAAAAAAAACTATAACCAATTACATGCATTTGAGATATAAATTATCAAGAGGGAACATTATTCACTTGAGGTATCAAAGTCCATTCTGATGTGGATAGGCATGATTTTAGTTAGTAGATTCAAACATACAAAGCCAATTATGTTTTTTTTTAAATAGACACTCCATTGTCGTAGTTTAGGGGACATGGCTGTTAAGAATAAAATAATTAAGCTCATCCTATATCTATACCTTATATAAGATTACAACCCACTAAATCCTAAAGCTTAACATGCAAACATACCACGTCATCATCCACTAGCAATTAATACATCTTAACATGCAAACATTCTAATATACAATTTATTACATTCAAGAGCGCAACATGCAAGCATATCAAATCATCCTCATCATATTTCAACATGTCCATCCAATCCTATATTTCCTCCTCTTCATTCAGTTAATTTGATTTGGATTTATGTTTTATTAAATAAAGGAACTCAAATTGAATAGTTCTTGATTCATTGGTTCGCCCATCGTAATATGTGCTCTAATGTCTGTTGGTTTTTTTTTTACCGTGTTACAAATGTTTTCTATATTAGTTCCCCTATTGGACTATGTGATTATTATCCCTTACATTACTTCTACTAATCTTAGAAAGTTGGACCCCAAAAAGCATTTTTCTACCTCTAGTTTTTTATTATATAAATACATCCTAATTCATGCTGCACTAACATAAAAACCAATTATTCTAATACACCGTATGCCTTAGTTGTTTAATTCAATCTTCAAAATCTTGTAGCAACGCGCGGGGTATCAACTAGTATAAATAAAGTCTATCCCCACCACCTATAGTTAAAGTTATTTTTCACTCACCTTGTTGTGCCACATCACCTAAATTTGAGTTAGCCATCTGATTTAGCCTATGTGCTCTAGATAATATTGATTAAGCAATCAAACAGCCCATGACCCATCCCAACTTTCCTCCTCCTAGTACTGAATCGTCACTCCATCGTCTCACATAATAACCATCACAATTGATAGGGAATCTGAGGCAACGCATGTTAATCAGTTTTAGCTTTCGATCTTCATCAAAACATTCTGGTAAGCCTGCTAATAAGGTAACCAAACATTTCTTTTATTACAAATCCTTATAAAATATCAGACATGGTGAGATACCAATCATACCATTCATCATTAAATCATGGTAACCAAGTGTTGTTTTCTTCACTTGATAATCATAACAACTCAATGCAAGCATAATTGATTTAGAATTTAAGAAGATCTGAAACTTTTACACATTAAAGGCAAATTTTGATAAACATGATATGCTACTCAAGTGAGGCACCATGTCAAGAATGATGTATCACTGCCAGTCTGCCACACTCACAATTATAAAAAACTATGATTAAGCTTAAGGCTTTACATCCTCTTTCACTATATGATATGGAATATAAGGGCATCATATCTGCGATGAGTTTATTACCTTCAAAGTGAACCATGTAATTGTACTACTTAGTAATAATAAACCTATTTTAGTAATGAGTTCCATTCTGACAACCATTTCGTAGCATTTTGATTCTTTTAGTTGGCACATCTGAGCCTGCAGAATGAATGAAGTACAAAAAGTACACATTTAGGAATAAACTGGATTACTTTGATAAGTTGGCAACTTGGGAGTAGTATTACTTGTACTTTTCTCTGTACAGTTTTTTCTCTGATGGAAATAGATGGGAGTACACAATTTCTTATGGCTATTGTACTTCTCACCTCAGGATAAAAAAAAACCCTTATATTTCTGGACAAATTAAGGAGACATAATCCCCTATATTTCTGGACGGAGGGAGTATCTAATACTACCTCCGTTTTAGGTTATAAGACTTTCTAGCATTGTCAACATTCATATAGATGTTAATGAATCTAGGCACACATATATGTATAGATTCATTAACATATATATGAATATAGGTAATGCTATAAAGTCTTATAATATGAAACGGAGGAAGTACTTAATTAATCATGTGCTAATGAGTCGCTCCATTTTATGTGCTTAGGGATTAGTTCCCAACCATGGGTGCCGAGCAAAGCCTAAGTGTCATTTCTAAAAGACGGTTGTGTGTGAATAATATTCATTGCAAGGATGGATTTACTAACTTTAGATGCCTCCTTTACCACTATATGCATGATGGATCATCTGGACTTTTAAGGGGATAAAGTTAAATAAACTATATGATATTATATATGACTAGCATTTTACCGTGCGTGCAACAGGAAGAAATTCATCTTCTCTCGTGTAATCGGGATTCTATGATAATGCCACGCTGCTAAATTCCATACCGAGTCGAGGTCTAAGATGATTCAACAGAAGTAGATTGGATTGGGCATAAGGCTGACATGGCATTTGATGACTTCATCCATCTCATGCGCAACTCGTCGCTAGGTGGGGCTCGATTCGATAGGTAACAAACCTAATTACTATTAACTGCAAGCATATGCATATATTTTGAATCAAGCAATGATATATCTTGTGTGAGTAGTTTGGGCAAAGTCAGGGGGGTCTTGTATAGAACTGTTAGTCTGCTCAGCTTAATTGGAAACAGAAGATTGCGATGCCGTTTCGATCCGGATAGGAAAAGACATAGAAACACAGCTGCGGTGGGCTTGCACGAAGCAAAACGTGCGGCATGTGTTGGACTGGTGCTAAGAGATGAGGTATCCATAATATAACGTCCGAAATTAAACAAGTGACTTTCAGTTTCACTAACTCACAAGCATTACGAAGATATACACCAAAGCTTTTAGAACAATGGGTATGGTGTATGAGTATATATAATAAAACCATCTGTGAGCATGAAAGAATTACTTAGTTTATTACTGAATCAAACAGTTGGTGTCGTAGTGAAAGGGAGGGAGCAGTCTGCAGCATGGCCACCACTGAAGACCACCTGCGGCAAACATTGAGGCCTACATCAGCGGCTTTGGCAATGGTGTCATTGAATCATGGGCCAGCTTGGGCATTGCGACGGTAATTTTCCTAGACATTCGTGGGTATCAGCGGCGAGGCCTGAGATGCTGGCATCGACAAAACACGACAACAATACGACGTGGTGGAAACAGGTGAAGGCTAGGAGCGAGTGATGATGTGGTCTTCGACGACGGTTGGTGGCGGCCCGGAGGAGATCGGTAGTGGCCACTAATTGGGAAGGGGAGGGAGCACGGGAAGAAAGGTGGGAGGTGGAAGAGATTAGGAGAGGGAGTGCGTGCATGAATCAGGGGATGTGATCAAGGGACCGTGATTAGGGGATCCAGATCGCTCTCTCTTAAAAGGGTGACCTCGATACAAACTCGGTGACGACAGACGAAAAATCATACGGAAGCCTTACGTATGTTTTAAGTAGGTATAGATGTCATGTATCCTATAGATACAGATCTACTACTACGATATGTATTTAATATTTTAATATGTGACCAAATGTTATATTTTTGGGACATGTTTTGATATATCCAACTGATATGCAACTGATCTATGCAATCATTTAAAGTATGATATAATGATATATATTACCGATATACAATATGTGCATATATCAATACAATTAATAACTTATATGATCTATACAAGCATTTAATATATGAGATACTACTGTATCTTACAGATATGCAATATATGCATATATCAATGCAATTAATAACTTATAAGATCTATGCAAGCATTTAATGTATGAGATACTACTTCTCCCTCCGTCCCAAATTAGATGGCATGTATTTTTCCCCTGTTGTCTCAAAACATAAGGCACATTTTCAATTGTTGCAGCTTCTACCCGGTAATGCCCTCTCATTTACATGCATATGTGAATAAATGCTGATAGAGGGCGAGCTGTGCATGCAGCCGGAACGTGGGCCCGCACCGTGTGGCCGTTTGGATTGACTTATCAGCTTCGTAACAGAGCGCTTCAATCTCTATACGAGATTTGCATGCTTAGTTAGTTGATTTGAATGCCCGTTCACATGGATCCTGCTAAATAGGGGTAAAAATAGATAAAACTAAACTGCATGCAAAGTCTTTGGTCTTAGCAAAATAAATTTCACACCCTCTAATTTGGGACGGAGGGACTACTAGCAAAGATGGATCTGATACCAACATGCTTTACATGATCATGAAAGTTGAAAGGCTGCAACTTTGGTACTCCCTCTGTCCCAGATTGGAGGGCGAGTATTTTTTTTCCCCGTTGTCTCAAAACATAAGGCGCATTTTCAAATTTTACACCTTCTACCCGATAATGCCCTTTCATTTACATGCATATGTGATTAAATGCCGCTAGAGGGCGAGCTGGTGCATGTAGCCGGAACGTGGGCCACACCGTGCTGCCGTTTGGATTGACTTATCAACAGAGTGCTTCAATCTATACAAGATTTGCATGCTTGGTTAGTTGACTTGATTGCCCGTTCGAATGGATCCTATTAAATAGAGGTAAAAATGGATAAAACCAAAGCATGCAAAGTCCTTGGTCTTAGCAAAATAAATTTCACGCCCTCTAATTTGGGACGAAGGGAGTATATCTTATAGATATAGTATATATCAATACAATTAATAACTTCTATGCAAGCATTTAATGTATGAGATAGTGTTATATCTTACAGGTATGCAATATATGTATATATCAATGCAATTAATAATTTCTACACAAGAATTTAATGTATAAGATATTGTTATATCTTACAGATATACAATATAATGTATGAGATGCAATATCTTACAGATATGCAATATATGTATATATCGACGTAATTAATAACTTCTACGCAAGCATTTAATGTATAAGATATTGTTATATCTTACAAATATGCAATATAATGTATGAGATGTTATATCTTACAGATATGCAATATATGTATATATCGACGCAATTAATAACTTCTACGCAAGCATCTAATGTATAAGATACTGTTATATCTAATAAATATGCAATATAATGTATGAGATATTATTATATGTTACATATATGCAATATATGTGTATATATCAATGCAATTAATGACCTATAGATAGTAGCATTCAATTTCCACTATAGACCTCCCCTATTTAAAACCCAAGCATCCTAATCAAACCACTCACCACCACTATCAACACAACTCTTGCATCACCATCTGAGAGAAACCAGGGAGATACACACAAGCAATAGCCATGGCGAGACAACAACTCCTAGGTTTGTTCTTGGTCCTCGCCATTATGGTGGCGGTCGTGTGGGGCGACCCTAGCGGCGGCTGCGACCAAGACCGGCAGGACATGATCCGGGAGTGCAAGAAGTACGAGGGGTGGCCGGCGGAGCCCAAAATCGAGCCGTCAGAGGCGTGCTGCGCCGTGTGGCAAAGGGCCAACATCCCCTGCCTGTGCGCCGGCGTCACCAAGGAGAAGGAGAAGGTGTGGTGCATGGAGAAGGTCGTCTATGTCGCCAAGTTCTGCAAGAAGCCGTTCCAGCCTGGCTACCAGTGCGGAAGTAAGTGAAACAGATCTGTAGATTTTATCCTATTATTTCTACTTGTATATATGTACATGTATTGGACTATATGCCTGATATTGCTTTTGTATGGTTTTGCAGGCTACACTGTTCCATCGAGCCTAGGGCAATAAATAGTACGTTGTTACTGATTTTTATTTTTCCTTGTGACAGAAGAAGTACTTCTGGGATTAGTTTTCATGTCTCGTGACATGCACAATGTATAACTTCTGTGATTTGTGTGGACTGCAAAATTGGGAAAAACTGAGAATTAATAAAAACAGAAACTTCTTCTAATTATATTATCTAGTTCGTGTATTTACTTTCACTTGTAAAGTATAGTAGCAGGCCCCGGTCCAGTAATTTATCCACCATGCGATTTTGCTGCCAGCATATTCTACTGATGATTAACTAAACCATCTTAAGAATAATCGAAGTCAGTTATTCGAGAGGCATTGTTTGGCTTTAATCCATCGCTATTAGAGAGACATATGGTTCAATCATATGAATATATGCAGCGGTGTACATATATATATCTTTACTTATACAACTACTAGCCATTAGCCACAATAGGCTACGTACTCAGCACTTGGTACCACGCCTAAATCAACCAAATGAGCAGGCCTCAATTAAACCAACGTTAAGCAACACATCCCAATTCCCCGAAAACCTGGGTCGAGCAAACATTGTCAGGCCGCGCCATCTGGTGGTCAACAAACTAACCAACACACACATAAACACCGGTGATCAATTCTCGGTACAATGACACCAAAGATATATTATCTAAAAAAAAATGACACCAAAGATATATATTACATCCTTCGTCTTATATTATAAGTCGTTTGAATTTTTTCTTAGTCAAATTTCTTTAAGTGCAATCGAGTATATAAAAGATTATACTAATATTTTCAATACAAAATAAACATATTATCAAAAAATATTTTCAATGTTAAATGTAATGAAGCTAATATTGTGTTGTAGATGTTGCTACTTTTTTTATAAACTTAATCAAACATAAAGAACTTTGACTAAGAAAAAAGTCAAACGCCTTATAATATAAAACGGAGGGAGTACAATTAATCATTACTCATATTAACAACATTTAGCTATAACCAAATTACTCATCACATACACGATCTTATGGATCTCTGTGGTGAGAACGGACAACATGGGAGGGGAGAGGGATGATGATATATAAGTGATCGACCAAGGTATTGTTGTGTATGCTATGTATGTACTATTTCCAGAATACATCTGGATGTTGACGTCATTAAAATGAAATGTGATACTGTCATAGAAAATTTGTTTAATAAAATGGTCACAGATGGAGATTTCAAGTGAAACCGCGTTTATATTATAACAAAATAACGTTAAAAGTTTTTTTTAAGCTCATGCAGAACATCTCATTCCATATGTATGTTTACTGAATAAGTACTTCTACGGTGGTCTATACTGATATAATTCTACAACCGGTATTATAATTAGTATAAATAATCTAAGTCATTGATTTATGAGTTTACTACCAACAGTAAAAAGGTAATCTACTTCTATTACATGAGGTGGTAGTTTAAATAGATATAATTCATTTGATAAGAAAATATGAGAGTTCTAGATTAATTCTACTATAGTAGGGACCACTGTCTTACCATTTCCCTAAATTGCCTATGATATGCCTTTGATGGTTGGGCAAACCATTTTGTTGTTGTGACTACTGTGATGAACTATATCATCCCACACAAACATCATTGATGGTTTTCTGAAAGCTAGCCTCATCATTGTAGCGCAACCTTTGAGTGAGGATATAAGAGTAACTATATGGTGGAAACACTAACTTAGATGAAAACCGGTGTAAACTCCAAACGAAAAATCATCTAAATTCACTAAAAGATGCCTAAAGGTAGACAAGAATATATTACACGACAAATGTAAATATCTTATCCAAACTCGCTTTCGTCTGTGAGATATAAAAATAAAAAAAATTTGAAAAACGAAGTTAAATTTGGACATGGATTTTTTACATGGTTGTGTAACATTAACTTACCTACATGTATAATTTATTTTGTGAATTTAGACGAAATTTCCATTAGGGCTTACACAAATGTTCAGCAAAGTTGAGTTTTCACTATATATTTACCCACTGTATACCTCTGTCATGAAAGCATGTGATTTACAACAAAAGGTTATTCAACACTTTTAAAATATTTTGATTGCGGTTTCTTTTAAAAATTTGAAAAGAGGAGAGATACAGATTGAGACGCAAATCATATATTTATAAATTTATCTTAAAAAATTATCTGAAAATAATATGTTACAATGTTCACGGTCCAATAAGAATTTCTTTTTTATGCATAGAAGTATACGCGTGTTTATATAAGTGTTTGCATATGTACTATGTTTTAATAATAATAATAATAATAATAATAATAATAATAATATAAAATGTTTTCGTAAGCTTGAAAGAAGGCATTTGGGTGTTATGCATGCCGGCCGGCCCGTACGTACCTGCACAATATATTATGCCAACTACTCACATCAAGGGTCAAAGTGGTGAGTTGTATTCAAACAAGCGGTAATCCCACGCGCATTGTTCGCTCCCCTGCCTGCCTCCCAACATGCGCTCCAAAACCTTAAACAAATTCGCACTCCAGAAGATAACCAGCGCGCGCTGATCTCGTCGTCTTCCTTGCATTGGCGCCGCTCAACTCATCTCCAACTATAAATACGCACACACAATAACACCATCTCACCCATCGGTCGAGTCTCTCGCAGCTTTAATCTCCTTCAAAGCCAATTCAATTAATCAGCTCGATCATATCACATTACTGAGAGAGGGTGCAAGCTAGCTAGCAACAAGCTGCCATGGCTAATAAGCTCGCTGCTCTGCTCGTCTCCTTCGCGATGCTCATGGCGGCGGCCGCCGGCTTCTACACCCCGCCAAGCCCTTCCACGTGCGGACTCAAGGTCGGTTACTACCACGACAAGTGCCCGCACGCCGAGGCCATCGTCAGGGGCGCCGTCGGCGCCGCCATCCTCCGCGACCCCGGCGTCGGCGCCGGCCTCATCCGCATGCTCTTCCACGACTGCTTCGTCGAGGTAAAATCATACTCCATCCGTTTTTAAATATTTGACGCAATTGATTTTTTAACACATATTTGATCATTCGTCTCATTAAAAACTTTTGTGAAATATATAAAACTATATATATATATATATATATATGTATATTTAACAATGAATCAAATTACAGGAAATGAATTAATAATTACTTAAATTTTTTAAATAAGATAAACAGTTAAACATATTTAAAAAATTTAACGGCGTTAAATATTTAGAAACTAGAAAGGGAGGGAGTATATATAATGGTGTCACGTTAAGTATGCCAAGTGTGGCCAGTCACATGTCGGAATGTTACTGTCATGGCTGCATTGACACGGTCTTATGACTTGAGTTGACGACATGAACGCGTGCAGGGATGTGATGCGTCCGTGCTGCTCGACCCGACGCCGGCCAACCCGCAGCCGGAGAAGCTCGCCCCGCCCAACAACCCCAGCCTCCGCGGCTTCGAGGTCATCGACGCCGCCAAAACCGCCGTCGAGGCGGCATGCCCGGGCGTCGTCTCCTGCGCCGACATCGTCGCCTTCGCCGCGCGCGACGCCTCCTTCTTCCTCAGCAACAGCAGGGTGTCGTTCGACATGCCGTCGGGCCGCCTCGACGGGCGCTACTCCAACGCGTCGCGCACCCTCGACTTCCTCCCGCCGCCCAAGTTCAACCTCGGTCAGCTCGTCGCCAACTTCGCCGCCAAGGGGCTCAGCGTCGAGGACATGGTGGTGCTCGCCGGCTCCCACACCGTCGGCCGCTCGCACTGCTCGTCCTTCGTCCCCGACCGCCTCGCCGTGCCCTCCGACATCGACCCGTCGTTCGCCGCCACGCTGAGGGGTCAATGCCCGGCGAGCCCGAGCTCAGGCAACGATCCCACGGTGGTGCAGGACGTCGAGACGCCGAACAAGCTGGACAACCAGTACTACAAGAACGTGCTCGCTCACAAGGGGCTCTTCACCTCCGACGCGTCGCTCCTGACGTCGCCGGCCACGATGAAGATGGTGCTGGACAACGCCAACATCCCCGGGTGGTGGGAGGACAGGTTCCAGAAGGCAATGGTGAAGTTGGCCGCCGTCGAGGTGAAGACCGGCGGCAATGGCGAGGTCAGGAGGAACTGCCGGGCTGTGAATTACTAGTTGAGAGCCTCAGACAATCATGAGCGTCCAAAGCGTTCACCATTCCAAGCCTATCTTTGCTCTCTGTTAACAGCTGATATGCTGATGCATCTTGTTTGTTTCATTCCTTCATTATTATTGATTTTCATGTATTGAGTCTGTTGTATGAGTGTAGTGTGTTTCAACATGAAAGTTAATAAAGTAACCATTTGGGAAGTTACATTTACAACTCCATGTTTGCTTGCAGGAGGGTGAGATTACTGAAATTTCAGAATTTTTGAACCGAAATTGCAATCTCTGGTCTCAATTTCCTTATTATTATTTAATTAACCCCTCTAGTATTTAGAGAGGATTTATTTCACACCTATTATGGTATATAATTATTTTCCCTCAATCCCCTCTGATGACTCTCTTTTGGGAATTAATCAAAGAATGTCTGGGTTGAACTTGCACAACCAGGTACGCAGACTGGGGAACCTGAGCTAAAAGATGAGCCTTGGAATCCTTAGGACCCAATAGCAGTGAAAGGAAGGAATCAAGGTACACCAACAGTAGCAAAGTTCCCAACCACACCAACGAGCTGCCAATAGAAGTGCTTTCTGATACTTAGTTATTTTGATCGGCAATTTCATTGCGCTATCTTGACCCAAAATTAAATCTTTTTACTGTGGGTACTGGGTAGATGAACTATTGTATAATAGGTGGTAGAGTGGAGATATTAGCTGTGTTTTGGTTGCAACAAAATTGTGAAGAATGTTCAGTATTATGTTTTTATTCCTGTTTTAGCAACTTTGGCTCATCTAATAAGGTAGTAAATTAAGTGATAAAATTATGCCAACTTCCAGAGAGCTATTAATATGTCCTAGTATTTTTTTTTATATTTTTCCTTGAGCTTTTTAGTGCTAAGCATAGTTGTATGAATTCACAAATTCAATTTTATGAATGAAATCATGCATGTATGCAAGAAAATCCAAATACAAGCCAAAAACAATTCTAGCATAGAATATCAAACACCTAGTACTTCTCACTACATCATTTGTATAACTTTCCATTACGTCATTCATATAACTTTATTCCTAGTTTATCATACGAAAATTGAATTTAATGTGTATTTGAAATTTACTTAATAACCTGATCTATTTGTCTAAAAAATTTTATTATAGGATCATGTGGCTAGTTTACGTAGTCTATAAAGTTTCGACATATTTATAAGGGACAATTGATCATTTGACCCTATTCTAAAGCTTAACTATCAATTCAACCTACTATTTTAAGTTTGCTTGTTTGACCTTGTGTTGATGCGAATTGAATTTAATGTGTATTTGAAATTTACTTAATAACCTTATCTATTTGTCTAAAAAATTTTATTATAGGATCATGTGGCTAGTTTACGTAGTCTATAAAGTTTCGACATATTTATAAGGGACAATTGATCATTTGACCCTATTCTAAAGCTTAACTATCAATTCAACCTACTATTTTAAGTTTGCTTGTTTGACCTTGTGTTGATGCGAAAAACAAACACTGGCCTGAGAGATCTGCTTAACTCCAGTGCAGGTCTAAAGGTTGGTGAGATGTAGGCGTGCCAGTCAGTTTGATCCTACAACTGACAAGATATGTAAACAGTAGATCAAACAGCCGATCGGCTGACAAGCCGATGTAGTAGTTCCAGCCGATGCCAATGCCAGCCGATAGCAATAGGGTTTTGAGCTATCGGCTATATGTCCAATGTATATAATGATATGAAGGCAATCGGCTGATGATAATATAATATAGCAATATAATCCAGTATAAACCAATTGGCTAACAATATGATAGAATAAGCACTGATCCGAAGGTTAAAGCATACATCGGCTGAAGGTCCGATGTCATAAAATCCAAACGATTAGATAAATCAATGAAACCTTTGTCGTAATCGGCTAAATCCAATACGTATGCAATCCTTGTAAGCCGATGCAACGTCCAGATAACTCATCGGCTGAAACCTCGATGAAGCTTATTGGCAATCAAGAAGCAGGCTAGAGATTATGGTTCTAAGCACGACTTAGTAGATCAAACTTAACTGATGCAACACTAAGTATGAAAAGAAGCATAATATCTAGACAATCAAGCCGTTGACTGAGTTTTCAGGGTGGTAGATGTCTAAGCTAATCTAATCTAGCAACACGATTTAGCCGATACCGGCGGAAACCCTAAAACAAGAAATAGCCGATAGAACTAAATTGATATGCTAAGACTAGATTAACAGAGACATATGATAAATAGGTAGGCAAATATACAGTCCAAACCAGAGCAATCCAAGAGGTCGAATGTCCTGATGCAGCCTTGAACGACGCCAACGTAAACGATACAATTGTCTGGGCCGGCGGAACGTAGGACTTATCCCTTCACCGGAGATCGAAAGCCGACGCAGCCCCGCGTCAGGTGCCAAATTCTGCCGGATGATAAATAAAAACCTCAGTAAAGAGGGTGGCGATGCACCGAGAGTAGTTGTATTGATCGATATATTGATAGATTACAATGACCCCGGGTGTACATATTTATACCCATAGGGAGATACTAGTCCTTATCGGACAAGAAAGAAACTAAAGATAAAAGGAAAAGATAAAGTCCTTATTATAGGACACTAAACACACTTTCCTAAAGATAAAAGGAAACTAACAAACTATTCCTAATTAATAGGTAACTTGCCATGCTGCATTCTCTTTGAACTCGGTCTCTTCTGGATAAGCTTCCCTTAGTAGATCAAATTCCTTAACCGAATATAGTAAGAATCCGACAACTGACGACTTGATAACTCTCATCGGCTAATCTCAGGACTTCGAAGCCGATGCTGACTCTAAGCCGATGATTACTCCGGGCTTACCAAATTTCACTGTTAAATGAAAAAAAAAATATGTATTTACAAGCCCAAATAACTAAAATGTCCATATAACGACATTTGCCCCTTGTAAAGAGGTAAAATTTTCTAGTTTAATTTAAATTTGACCATATCCTCCTTTCCAAAATATAGTTACTTCTAACATTAAAATTCTGTGTCACAATGTGCAATTTCTCCTCCTACTCTCTTATTTCAATCAATCACAACTATCTACTATTTAATTTTTTAACATACTTCCTCATCTGAACCAATCATAACTATCCCACACTTAATTTCCCCCTCTACATAACCTCCGTAAAAAATCCATAAGTTATTTTAGGACGAATGAAGTATTTGACAAAGTCATTTGTGATGGTATTTTGTTCACGAGAGTAGGTGCTTATGGGACTTCCATTTATTTCTTATTCAGTGCTGATTTTTTCATACCAACATTCACAGAATTAATGAAACATTCTCAAAATGTATTTTAACAATTTTAATAATCTATGTTTCCATAATATAATTTCTCAGTACGTTAAAGGTAAAGATCCCATTTCAGGGTGTGTTCTTGTGGCAAAACCATATTTTTGCAATGTGTTCAAGCAAGGCCTCAATTTTTAATGTGATCCTTGTAGTTTTACCTTTGAACTACCCAATCGAATTTTCCTAGCTCAGCTATATATTGTGGCCTTTGTGGAGAAAGGTCAAGCTTCAGAGTTTGGACTTACCAAATCAGCAACGTACGTACCAACCGATTTATAGCTTGTTAATTGCGTTGAGGAAGCCAGTATAATAGTCACTGACACTTTGACAACTTCAATTCAACTCGATTTCTTTTCTATTTTCTGATTTTTCAACGACAACGACTCCCCCTACTTTGCAATGATATATAGCGTAGTTGATTGAGGGGAGTTAAGGTAGACTATTCGGCATTGACTTGTCCTTGATCGGTAGCTAGAATATAATTGGGATTAGATATCGGCGCTTTCACTTATATGTATGTGCAGATATTTGATCAAAACCAACCCCATTGACAATGCATACGCAAAATGCAGCATGCTCCAAAACTTGTCATGTCAACGCCGTCGACTAAGCTAGAAGAAACTTTTATCAAGGTATATAAATGTGTATGACAGCACACATAATATCGAGCCGATCCATATTATTGGACAGAAACTGTCCACTAGACCTAAACAATCATGGTAATGCTTTGTCCATGCTAATTGCTGTGCACTAGCTGTGCGTTGGCTTTTTTTATGTTAATTATTTTCGTTTGAAAAGGCTAGTTGCTTGACTTGCTCGTACATATTTTTTTCGTATATAAATGTCAAGTTACATTTTACTTAGAAAATAATTTGGATTAGATGGAACTAGGGTTAAACCAAGTTTAAGAAAATTGTAGAGTAAGCGGTCGGTTGTATAGTGCACTAATTAAGTAGCTGTGAGAATGAGATCAACTCAGAATTTCATGGAAAATTTTTCTACATCTTGCTAAATGGCATAGGCCCAAATACCACTCTCTTGGATAGTTGGATTTTCTTTCCCATTAACTCGCACTAAGACTCTTCCATATACCACTATTCACACTTTTATCATTCCATGTGGCATCACTTTTGCAATCCAACCCCTCCCCCCCCAAAAAAAACAAAAATTGATGTAGAGGATGAGGCAAAAAGACCAAAATATCCTTGAGACCAATTGTAATTAAGGTGCATGGTGGCGTCTATGTTGTTTCCTCCCTGGCGATGGCATCGTTGCCACCTTCTTTGAGCCAGTGCCCAGCAGGGAACACCACCGACTTCAACTACAATCCCTATTTGACACACGCCATCATGGCTTGAGGCCCACGTCCACGGGCGTAAATCATTGATATTATTCAGCTACCACTCAAGCGGAACTCGCTGACTCGCGAAAGTGTGAAATCATTGTCATGATTAATATTTGTGATGAGCAATTGGCTTTACAAAATGATTTAATCAACGAATTGGTTTGAAAAGATGTGTGGATGTTGGTGTGAGTGCGTGTGACTAATGTGGGTCAGGTTGTAATATCTGTGCCCAGGAACGGTTGTTTTGTCTGATTGTGTGCAGGTGACTTGAGGTCAGCCTTGGTCAATGGTGAGGACCGGGACTATGCTCATGGAGAAGCAGAAGTCTAGTACGGTCAGGATACCATGTGAGAAGGTAACTAGAGTTCGGATTCTTGGAGGTCAACTTCAGTCAACGGTGGGGATCGGGACTAAACTCAGGGAGGAGTTGAGATCCAGACGGTCAAGGATACCGGGTGACGAAGTTGGATACGAGATGGCATACGGTGGATGGACATCGTGTGGGAGAGATCTTCGCAACGGGTTTCACGAGGTGTGCGTGCAACGTCGGTGTTCGCAGAAGAAAATTGTGGAGTATTATATGGTTGCTACAGTACTTGAGGTACTGTAGCGGTGTTACTGTATTGTGCATATATGTGTACACTGTGGCGTGTATGCGTGTATGTGGATGCATGTACACGTGCATGTGGCTGCATGCATGTGTGTTGATCTGATAGGTTGGCTCGAGGCTGTGGCAAGCCGAGTCGGCTCAGGAGAACAGGAGGACGTGTCGCTGCTGTGACGGCGAGGAGAGTCCGACTTGTCTGTGGCCGGTGTGGCTGCAGGTTTTGGGAAATTGTAAAAGGTATGGAAATTGTGTATTGAGTCCTAGTGGAACTAGAAGTTCTACTCCTACTTTAAGTAGGAGGTTTTTTGGTATAAATAGAGAGGGAGCGTGAGGCTTCCCGGTATCGCTTTGAGAGCAATTGAGTTGATAGTTTAGTTAGGGTTTCGAGTTTAATCGAGATTTTTGTAAGGAGTGCTGTTGTTGCACTTTGTAAACACATAGAGAAGCAATAAAGTTGTCATTTACTTTGAGAGTTCTTCGATTTGTGTTTCTTCGGGTTCAGGCGGCAGGAAGGCGGTCTAATCGGCGGCGTGCGAGCGGTTCGACCGGCGGCAACAGGACTACGTCGAGATTTCCATCGATTTGAGGGTAACTTTTATTTCCGCTAAAAGTTTTTGGGTTTTTGGTTTTCCTTACCATTCACCCCCCTCTGGTAGGCTTAGTTTCTTGTGTTCGATCCTACAGAAAGTTACTGCTTCATTCCCCTTCTCCATCTCCATATTTGAGCAGAAGTGAGGGGAGAAGTCTCCAACAATTATTAGCCCTTAGAGAGCCGCTACTCCTACTTCAGCTCTCTGACTCGGCTCAGCCAACCTCGCTACCACCGGTGGTGAAGTGGAGGTCTTCCATGTCAACCCGCCATGGCATCACCAAGGTTGTGCCTATCAACGAGGAGGCACATGCATCATCGGTATCCCTTGTGCTTGGGCAGAGGTGCTTCGTCGACAATGACTTATTTGAGCACTCTGTGATGATGCGATGTGATCCACTTTCTCTCGAAGGAGCAATCGATCCAGACCAAGGGTTTCCTGCACTGCTCACCCGTGGCAGTGGGCACCCATATATTCGTCCTCCACCACATTCTTTCGCTCCTACCTCCCCCATCCTGATTTCTTCTCCTGTGCATACTCTGACATCGAGAGGATGTGGCAGTGACGCCACCATGTACCATACAGCTAGACCCAAGGGCATTTAGCTCGATCTTTTTGCCTCATCCTCCATGTAGAACAGGGGAAGAATTGTAAAAGTAATGCCACGTAGATGATTAAAGGGTAAATATTCTCCATACAGAAGAGTTTTAGTGGGGACCAGGTGTCAAAGGAAACGAAAGTCCAAGAAAGTGGTGGTAATTTTTTTTCGAGAAAAAGTGGTAGTATTTGGGTACATAACATTTCAGAAGATGGTAAATAGGAAATTGTCCCGAATTTCATAGAGCACAATCTCTACCAAACCCATTATAATAATCCAACATCTCTTCAGAATAATTGAAGTGTCAAGCTTGCAGGTCACAATAAATATGCGTTTGAGAGACTTAATTGGTTTGACTTTCGTCCCTAGACAGCTTAAGAAAAATAATCCGTGTTGATGCTTCAACCATATGCAGGTCGCATTTGTGTTTACGTACAACAAGGTGCCGCTCGCTCCACACTTACAACACACACGGTTCCGAGCTGTCCATGATCAAGCACGGTACCCGTCAATTTAGCATTCCATTTCATTCAGCACAAAACAACACTTTCACTTTGCAGAAACCATCTTTGTCGGTCCACCAAAAATAGTCCCGATGGCAATAAAAACCGGGACTAAAAATATTCCCGGTTCAAAAGGTTAGAGCTACTTTTTTATCTTTAGTCCCGGTAACTAAAGATTATTTTTAGTCCCGGTTAAAAAAACGGCAGGCGGTGTCAAACCCCTCCTTTATCTTTAGTCCCGGTTGGTAACATCTATTTATAGTCCGGGTTATTAAACAACCGGGAAAAGAGATTGGCATGCGCGGAGAGGACGAGGCGTGCGCGCAAGATCAAGGAGGAGGACACGCATGGATCAGTTAATAAGTTATATCTCCTTCTACTCCCTTACCTTTATCTCCTCTTCCTCTCCTCTCCTCACTCACCACATCTCTTCCTCTTCCTCCTCTGGATCCGCCCCCTCCCCTCTCCTCCCCACTTCTCAGGCGGCCTCGGGCGGCGGCGGCCTCGCGCGGCGGATCCAGGAGGGGAGGCGGCCGGGCGGCGGCAGTGGCCTCGCGCGGAGGGCCCCGCCCGACGGAGGCAGGCGGTGGAGACCAGTGCGGCTGCACATATTTTTTTTTTCTTTTTTCCTTCTCTGTGTTGAATGTGTGATTCGATCTGTGTTGAGAATGAACTATGTTGTTGTGAATGATTTTGAGAATGAACTATGTTGTTGTGAATGATTTGGGATGAACTATGTTGTTGTGAATGATTTCAGACGATGGGCGTGAGCTATATAAAATAGAAAAAAAAACTTAGTCCCGATTGGTGTTACCAAAGATATCGATCTTTAGTCCCAGATTCGTAGTCCCGGTTAGAAAATCAGGACTAAAGAGGGTTATCAACCAGGAGTACAAACCATTTCTACACCAGTGTTTATAAATTTTCAAACTTTCAAAACCTTCATATCAAACCTATATTTAAAATGGTAAAATCTGATATATCATCTCTCAAAAACGATCACGCTCGCGTTCGCCAAAAAAAAACGATCACGCTCACGAAAACAATCAACTTGGCAAATTCACCTTAACGAAATCCTTGTAAAAAAATATTAATAATGATGTCGGTCCAACCGGAGTGTTTTCGTAAGCCTGAAAGGAAGCATTTGAATAGTTTCCATGCATGTATCGCCTACCTGCCCATTTAATTTGATCATTTTTGCCAACGAACACATCACAGGTCAAACTGCTGCGTTGTAGTACGCTATCTAACAAACAGAAATCCAACGCGCATTCCGCGTTCGCCTGCCTCCCAACATGCATGCATTGCTCTCCAAACTAAACAAACTTGCAATCCAGAAGCCAATTAACCTTCTCCATCTATAAATACGCGTACACAAGAACACCACTTCATCACCTCCTCACAAAGCTAGCTAGCTCCATTGTTCGATCTCATCTCCCTTAGCTAGCTACTCGATCTTAACAGTGAGCTTCCATTACTGAGAAGCTTTGTGCATTCTTAGCTACTACCATGGCTAGGCTGGCTGCTCTGCTCGTCTCCTTAGCGATGCTCATGGCGGCGGTGACGGCAGCCCGGGTAGAAAGAGCGGGCGCCGGCTTCTACACACCGCCAAGCCCTTCCACCTGCGGCCTCAAGATCGGCTACTACCACGACAAGTGCCCGCACGCCGAGGCCATCGTCAAGGGCGTCGTCGCCGCCGCCCTCCACCGCGACCCCGGCGTCGGCGCCGGCCTCATCCGCATGCTCTTCCACGACTGCTTCGTCGAGGTACGTACGTACGTACATTCATGTGTACGATATGATTGCTCGTTTCTGATCATCTTTGTGGCCGCGTGCATGACACTTGACACGTCTACATCGCCATTGCCGACATGTGGGTGCAGGGATGTGATGCCTCCGTGCTGCTCGACCCGACGCCGGCCAACCCGCAGCCGGAGAAGCTCGCCCCGCCAAACAACCCCAGCCTCCGCGGCTTCGAGGTCATCGACGCCGCCAAGGACGCCGTCGAGGCGGCGTGCCCGGGCGTCGTCTCCTGCGCCGACATCGTCGCCTTCGCCGCGCGCGACGCCTCCTTCTTCCTCAGCGACAGCAGGGTGTCCTTCGACATTCCGTCGGGACGCCTCGACGGGCGCTACTCCAACGCGTCGCGCGCCCTCGACTTCCTCCCGCCGCCGACCTTCAACCTCGGTCAGCTCGTCGCCAACTTCGCCGCCAAGGGGCTCAGCGTCGAGGACATGGTGGTGCTCTCCGGCGCCCACACCATCGGCCTCTCACACTGCTCGTCCTTCGTCTCCGACCGCCTCGCCGTCGCCTCCGACATCGACCCGTCGTTCGCCGCTGTCCTACGAGCCCAATGCCCGGCGAGCCCGAGCTCGAGCAACGACCCGACGGTGGTGCAGGACGTGGTGACGCCCAACAAGCTGGACAACCAGTACTACAAGAACGTGCTCGCGCACAGGGCGCTCTTCACCTCCGACGCGTCGCTCCTGGCGTCGCCGGCGACGGCAAAGATGGTGGTGGACAACGCCAACATCCCCGGGTGGTGGGAGGACAGGTTCAAGACGGCCATGGTGAAGATGGCCGCCGTCGAGGTGAAGACCGGCAGCAACGGCGAAATCAGGAGACACTGCCGGGCTGTCAATTAACCAAGTTATCAACGTTTTCATGCTTTTATATCTATATATATGCTCCTTATCAGTTACATCTTGTTGTTGGATTCCTTATACATTGATTTCGTGTCAAATGTCAAATGTGACTTTGCGAGACGCCTGTACTATGATTGTATCATGTTTAGTTAAAAAAATAATAATGTTTACCAAGCAATTACATATATTGATTACTTCAAAAAAATAACACATATATTAATATTTCTGCTCTAGAGTGTCAATTTCAACAACTATATACTCCCTACATGTATGACATCGTTGACTTTTTTTATCAATGTTTGACCATACGTCTTATTTAAATTTTTTGTGTAAATATAAAAATATTTATGTCATGGTTGAAAAACATTTGATGATAAATTAAGTCATAATAAAATAAATAATAATTACATAAAGTTTTTGAATAAGACGAACGTTAGTCAAAAAAAAATCAACGATGTTATACATTATAATACGGAGGGAGCACTTCTGCTAGATCAACTAGATTGGATGCCCTCAACATTGGAGCAGAATGTTCTGACGACAGCACTAGATTGCAGAGGAACAATATACTACCTCCGTCCCAAAATAAGTGCAGCCGTAGATATCCGTGTCCAACGTTTGACCGTTCGTCTTATTTGAAAAATTTGTGAAAAAAATAAAAAAAAAATTAGTCACACATAAAGTACTATTCATGTTTTATCATCTAATAACAATAAAAATACTAATCATAAAAAATTTTCAAATAAGACGAACGATCAAACGTTGAACGTGAATAGTGCAAAACTGCACTTATACACTAATAACCCTACTAAACCCTGATAACAAATATAAACCTTTGTGCAAAAGGGTAGATCAAATTCCCTTAAGGGGATGTCCCTTGTTTCTTCCATGCCATTCAAATAATTATTTTTTTAAGAAGAAATTGACAACATAGATCAATGTTGTTCTAAATTTCCTCAACAAACGATGTTGTTCTAAATACAAGGTGAAATACAATGTTGTTTTTTTTTTATTTTTTTAGTTTTTATTTGCGAGTTTAAACTTCGGTATCTGTCAAGTGATATATATCACATATTGGTCTATGTTGCCCTTTTTTAAGAAAAAAAATTATAACTCTTTTAATGGTACGCAAGAAACAAGGGACATCACCTTAAGAAACAAAATGACTTTACTCGCCAACTTACTACTTAACACCACCGCAGTTCACCGACATTGAACTGTGGAGCGAGCGCGGCCGCGGGAGCGGGAGTGGAAACAGATGCTTCCTAGCTGTGGTGGCTAATGCCAAGAAGGCCACCACCAAACCCGAAATTAGGGTAATCGTACCTTGTCGCCGGAGCGTTGTGGGCAATGCTGGGATGGTGATCACTAATGGAAGCTTGAGCTTGAGCTTCAGACGGTGCCGGTGCCGCCATGTAGCTCTACGGCCAATCGATAGGGAAGCTGGGAATGGCATGCCGCCCTTCGTAGGAGTAACGCCTAAATGCGGGGTTGTGGTGTACAGAGGAGTAATTCTGGTTCATCATGCTCGCACCGCAGTAGCTGCTGCTGCCACTGCTCCCGTCTGACTATGTTTCTTGAGGCCATGGAATGGCGCCTCCTCCAGGTGGAATGACGAAGGTGGGCACCGGCGGCGTTGCTTGTGGCGGTAGATGCAAGAACGCCAACGCCGTAGTCAAGTATGGGACATCCAGCGGTAGTGTGGCGGCCATGGCTTGTTGCATCTGCATTGAGTAGTCTGTGTTGAAATTTAAGGGTAGATGATCATCGAGGAGTGTGAGCTATGTGTCCATGAAGACATCTCCTTGGGGATGGAGGTGCGATGGTTCTTCTGGCAACGGTGGCATTGGCAACGCCGGTGATCTCTTCTCGAGAAGGAGGTCAGCATTATTCTGGTTGGCATTTGTAGATTCCTATGGAGGATTGTTGCCTTTCTTCTTCTTCTTCTTCTTCTTCTTCCCCTTTCTCTCCTTGCCGCCCTTCTTAACACCGGTGGAGTTTTTGTTCTGCTCCTCCGCCGATGTATTACCTTCATTGCTGCCGGAATCAGGACTAGGTGCTTTCCTCTTCACTGCCTTCTCGTTGTTCTTGCCGCAGTTCTGCTTCTTCTGTATTGTCCATAGGGCTGGACGAAAGCCCGTGCCTCGTTAGCTCACTTGGCTTGTGCCTAACTCGGCTCGGCTCGGCTCGACTCGATATGGTTTTGTAATGAGCCGAGCTGACATTTTAGCTCGTTACACATAACGAGCCAGCTCGAGCCGGCTCGCGAGCTGCTCACGAGCTTAACGAGCTAGACAAATAGGGAGTAAAATCAGACTTTAGAAAATAGCAGGCCATAACCAGTGGCCCATCGCCCATCTTGGTGGCATGCCCAGACGGCCAGACCAAAATATAGAATATAAAAAACCCTAGACCGGTCAATGCCTCATCGATTCCTCTGCTCTCCCATCAGTCGTATCCTCTCTTCTTCCCGATCCAGATCCAAAGCGCCGCATCGAGCCGCCGCCCGTGCGCCACTCCCTCCAACCCACCCACGACACCGTCGAGTCTCCCATTCCGGCGGCAAGCATCGCGCTCCATTCCCTCCATCTCGTGGCGCTGTGTTCCACTCCCTCCATCCTACAACGTCGTTACTTGTTCCAGCGACCAGTGTCGAACTTGCTCGCTCGATGCCCATGGTCCATGGAGTAGGGAGAGCAGGTAGTGCTTGTGCCGCATGCACACGCTGCCACGCATCCATGTATGTATGCATGGATGGATGGAATTATGTTGCTTGATACTATGAATGTGAGTTTGTGAAGAAGTCTATTGCCCAATTTCTTGTTTGAATGGGGGACAGCCACATCCATACGAAGGATTTTTTTTTATGGGGCAATTGTGTTCTTGCCCTTACTTTCTATATCAATTGTGATTTTACCCCTGTTTTTTTAGGGTTTGTGGTTTTGCCCCTACTTTTTTGAAATGAAGTAACCGTCTGCCCTTGGTTTCGACGGTAGTTAGGTGGGCCTGTAATTTCCGAATTAAACGAAGGAAGAAAATGGTATTGTATTTTGTGAATGACCATAGTACCCTTGTTTCACTTAGGGTCAACCACTTGCTGGAAGACCGATTTCCCCAATCCAAAACCGTAGAGCGGCGGCGGCGGCGATGCGCGAGCACGGACTACCGGCAGCGCCAGCGCGCGGCAGGGAGGCGCGGCGGCCCCGTGGGCCAGCTTCCGCGGGGCCAGCGCGCGGCGGAGAGAAGCGGGGTCCTCGCGCGCGGGCAGGGAGGCGCGACGGCCTCGTGCACGCGCAGGGAGGCGCGGCGGCGGCCCCGCGGCCAGCGCGCAGGGAGGCGTAACGGCATCGGCGGCTCGTCGGCACGACGACGCGAGGCGGAGACGGCGGCTTCTCAACATGAGCACCAGGCAGCAGAAGCTCTTCACGGTGGGTACACGACCACCAGGACGCGGCGGTGGCTCGATGCGAGCATGAATGTGGGAGGTGTCATCGCGTCCTGCACATCGACGGCCTCCCCGGACACCGCCCGCGATGGCATCGGGAACGAAAGGAGTCGGCGGAGGAGTTCGATGGTGAGGACGTCGTCGGGCAGGCCGTGGTCACCGCGTGGCCAGCTCCGAACGGCGATACTCCTGGATTGTGCTCGATGAGTCCGTGGAGACGCATGCAGTGTGTTTGGCTGCTTGCACAGTCCTGCTATGAATTAAACAAGTTAGGCCTGCATGGTTGAGGTGGGCTGCTCCTAATTTCACTTGTAATATAAATGTTGTCCTGATCCCGTTTGTGATGAAATTGCAAGTGTCAAAATTTTGCCAAAATATTTGTTCTAGTTCGGCTCCGATTTAAATTATTTCACAAAATCTCAGTTCAAAATAATTGTAAGTTTCATATACAAAATAGGGGTAAAAGCACTACTCCCTCCGTTCCATAATATAAGGCGCAACTATTTTTTTCAGATGTTTCATAATATAACGCGTGCATGCATGTATGCAATTAATTAGTACCTCTTCTCCATTAAATTATTGTTTTTTAAAATCCTTCACCCTAAAGATCTCTAATTGTATTGGGTGCATGCATTTTATTTATTAAGGTAATACAAATTAGGAGGTGATAATAATTGTTTCTTGGTGTTTGGATTAAGGGTAGTTGTGCCTTATATTTTGGAATGTAGGGAGTAGTAAGCAAGGGTATGTATGTATTTTCATGTCCGACTTAACACCGTTAAACTGTCCATCCAAACCGGGGGTAAAACTTTCCTTCATTTCAAAAAAGCAGGGGCAAAAACACAAACCCTAAAAAACAAGGGGGTAAAATCACAATTGAACTTGAAAGTAGAGGTAAGAATGCAATAGCCCCTTATTTTATTGTGATATGTGAATATATGATGTTATAAGCATTTTTTTTCTTTGTTGTTGTTTTCGAATTTTATGAATTTTGTGTTGTTTTTGGATTTTTATGATAATATGATTTAGACAGAAGAGATGTTCCATTGAGCTCATCATGTTTAAAGTGCTGATTGCTAAACAAATGTTTTCAGAATATGTTCTTCCCTGTCTGCTATCTCTGAAGTGATGAAATGGTTGTATTAGCTTACGAGCTAAACGAGCTAGCTCGAGCCAACTCGAGCTAGCTGGCTCGTTAACCTACCGAGCCAGAGCGAGCCGAGCCGAGCCAAGCTAGCTCGATATCCATCCCTAATTGTCCGTAGCACCCACTCATCCAACTACAATGATCAAACAAAGAGATGTTATATGGTCTCTATCCCACTGTATAAGGTGTGGTCGTACTTGGAATGGGCGACGATAAAACTATTCTTTTGACATAATTTAGCTTTATCATCATATTAATGATTTGTAGCAACAAAATAGAAATCGAATTCATATATCAATCTAATGATATTAATGTTATCAAATAAAATTTAACTTAGTATTAGATTAGTTGTTAGTCAAATATTTCTATTTATAGAGTTCAATCTTAAAATAAGTGTGTGTCTCCTTCTGTGGAACAGAGGAGGCAATAAAATAGGAGAGTATTAAATTGACATCTTTTCATGCCAAACTATTTAATTAAACAATTGCTATTGAAACATTGTTCACAAATTTATATACTGTCAAACCGCGTGTTCTCAAAACCAATTTGACATTTTTAAATGTACAGACTATTTGACATTTTTAAATGTACAGACTATTTTTAATATATTGTTTGGGTTTGACATATTAGTAACAGAACAAAAACTTAGACCGGCCAATTTATGAAATAAACAATCATTTTTTGTGGAATTCAAATATTTTAAAATATCTAAAACTAGACAGTGATTCTACTATTGTAGAGTCTTTGGTAAAACACATCTCTACATCTAGTCACCAATGAGATGGAGATGTACTTGATAGTGTGGTGATAAGAGGTATGTGATTTTAACCATAAGTTCATGTATATGTTCAATACTTAACACGCTCACAATTTCTTTTTAAAATATTTGGAGGAACGTCTCTCCCTCCAAATCTCGTTTTTATCTATACACCAAAGGAATCCAATAGACGAGGGTGATCACCAACCTTATGGGTGTTTTTGTTCTGGACCTCTTCCAAGGATGCAACGCTCTCGTAACTCGTACAGTGTCCAGTCGGTCGGCTTGTTGTCATGGTTGGCATAGTACACGAGCGTCCTGACACGGCCGACCACCTCTCCATCTCCATCTCCTTCTCCGGCGCCGGCGGTGTAGATGATCCCGATAGAGCCGGTGGCCTTCTAGCTCCCATTGGGAATCCGGACCGGCCGCGTGCCAACGTTGTACTTCTTCTCCCTCTTGGTGAAGAAGAACCACCTGCCGTCGCCCCACTCCCTGTACTTTGCTGCACAATTAATTTTCATTAGGACCAAAGTTAGTTTAGAACAAGCGACCGGCAAATTAACTCAGATCAACCCAGAAGCAAAGACATATACACACGTACCTATGAGAAATCTGGATAGTCCATGTTATGCTGCTGCTCCATGTCCGTGAGATGATCGGGGCCCATGTTGTGGATATAGTACTATGTGAGATGATCGGGGCGTTGCTCGAGGAGATTGATGAAGATGGGTAGCAACGGTGGCAGGCCGGCGATCTTGTGGCGGAGGAAGTGAAGGACGAGGTCATCGTCCGTGGGCTGGAAGTGGAAAGCCAGGGGCAGCTTCAGCGCCAACTTGTTCTGAGCAGAGAACTCCATAGTATCTACGCATGCCGACGGAAAGCTCCGATCATCTGAATGAATCGGGAAAGATTCTTGGATCTGAAGCTACGAAACTGACTCTGTTCCTTCTTCCTGTTGTTTTTATGTGTGTATAGAGGCAGGGCTTGGGAACGTAATGGCGATAGACTTTGAGAAGAAAATTTGGAAGTAGAGACGCGAACTGCAGCTGCGTTGGGAAAAGCCGCTTCTTTTTCTCTTTGGGAGGAGACACGTTGCGGGCTTTGCAGCCCAACCCAAAAGGCTAAAATGCTGGCCTTTCACCGAAAGTGAGCCCAAAAAAAAAATGCAGCAGCGAAACAATGCCGACTCCCATCGGTGCGCACCGCGCGCCCCCGGCTACCTCCGCACCGCCGCCGCGCTCGCCGCCGTCGTCCAGAGCCTCCTCGACGAGCCCCGGCCCCGGCCGCGGCCCGGGTCCCAGACCCTCCACGCGCAGCTACTCGAGTCCGGCCTCCGCCCCACCGACGACCTCTCCGTCAAGCTCCTCCTCCTCCACCTCCGATGCGGCTCCCACCACAACGCGCGCGCGGTGTTCGACGGAATGCCGGCGCCGACCCACGCCGCGCACAACTACCTCGCCGCGGGGTACTCCCGCCTGGGCCTCCCCGAGGAGGCGCTCGGGATCGTGAGGCGGCTGGCGAGGTGCACGGGGAGGCTGAACGTGTTCGTGCTGTCGATGGCGCTCAAGCTGTCCGCGGCGCTGGCGCTGCCCCGCGCGGTGAGGGAGGTCCACGCCCGCGTGGTGAGGTCGGTCGTCGAGTCCGATGACGTCCTCTTCGCGGCGCTGGTGGACGCCTACGTGAAGAACGCGTCGCTTCGGTACGCGCGGCGGGTGTTCGACGTAATGCCGGTGCGGACCGTGGTGTCCTCGACGGCGTTGATCGTCGGGTGTATGAACGAAGGGCTGTACGAGGACGCTGAAGAGATATTCAACACGATGGACGAGAAGGACGTCGTGGTGTACAACGCCATGGTCGAAGGCTACAGCAAGACGGAGGAGACGGCAGAGAGCTCGATGGAGGTGTTCAAGTCGATGCATCGGGCGAGGTTCCGGCCGACCGTGTCGACGTTCGTGAGCGTTCTCGGCGCGTGCTCGCTCCTGTCCTCACCGGAGATCGGCGAGCAGGTGCACTGCCAGGTGATCAAGAGCAGCCTCTCCTCCGACATCAAGGCCGGGAGCGCGCTGCTCGACATGTACTCCAAGTGCGGCCGTGTCGACGACGGCCGGAGGATCTTCGACCGGATGGCGGAGCGGAACGTCATCACATGGACCTCGATGATCGACGGGTACGGCAAGAACGGCCTCTCCGACGAGGCTCTCCAGCTGTTCGAGCAGATGCTGCGGCGGCACGACGACGCCATCCGGCCGAACCACGCCACGTTCCTGAGCGCCCTGTCGGCGTGCGCGCGCGCCGGGCTGCTGTCCCGGGGCCAGGAGGTGTTCCAGAGCATGGAGCGCGAGCACGCGCTGAGGCCGCGGATGGAGCACTACGCGTGCATGGTGGACCTGCTCGGCAGGTTCGGCAGCGTCCGCCGCGCCCACGACTTCATCAGGGGGATGCCGGCGAGGCCCAGCTCCGACGTGTGGGCGGCGCTGCTCGGGGCGGCCACGCTGCACGGGGACGTGGAGACGGCCGGCCTCGCCGCGAGGGAGGTGTTCGAGCTCAGCCGCGCCGCCGGGAGGCAAAGGCCCGGCGCCTACATGGCGATGTCGAACACGCTCGCGGCGGCCGGGAAATGGGACGGCGTGCGTCAGGTCCGGGAGATGATGCGGCGGCGAGGGGTACTGAAAGACGCTGCCTGCAGCTGGGTTGGCTCCGAGTGAAAGTTCTCCATCCTTTTGGATGGTGTAATCATGTACATTAGCTAAAACATTCTATAAATTTTATTGTCTAGTCTTCTTCCTGCAAGCAAGCAATGGCCTGCTCGTATGTAATATTTTGAGCAGGTCGTATTCATTGTTTTTGTCGCAAATTTCTACCGTTTCAGATGCCATAGATGCAGAATTTAGCTAGAACTTTGGTATATTGAAATTTTGACTGGTAAAAGATCTCATCTCTATAATGCATTTATGCACACAACCAAAAGGCCGGGGAGTATACAAGCATCAGACGCGGGAATCTACTGACTTCATATCTAATACACCAGGGAATAAAATATACAGGCACTAAGAATTTTACAGCATGTCGTAGTATCTTATGACCGCAATTAAGCTACTCTGAAGAAACGAACTGAACTCCGCCTGCATGGAACTTGCAAGCACAGTCATCATAGACCTCTGATAATTTCTACCGACAGCAGTCTCCTGTTACTAATCTGGAAATTTTGAGCAGGCGGAGCAAGTCCTGGGATGTCGCGGATGTTCTTGTTATGTGGGTTGACAATCTGTTAAAAAAATAAAATATTGTGATTAATTGTTATTCAAGTTCAATCGTGGCATAGTAACAACAGTTAGTGGTATGATGCCTAAGAATTGCAAAAACGAAATAGAAGTTTGAACTCAATTGGCCAAAACAAAAGTGCCAGATATGTCATTTGTGTAAGCAGTTGGACAAGTAGCATTAACAACTAATCATAACTCGGTTTATAGTTAAAAAAATGTTTCAGAGCATTGTTTCACTCCTAAAGTAGTGAAGGACAAATAAGCAATATGCTATAAGAATTTTTCATCACCAATGAAATTTAGTTGTGTGTTTGATTGGATAATCCACTCATAATCCTCAGGAGATGGAAGTACATAGAAAAAACCTGAAGAACATACCTTAACAACAATAATTGCAATCACACCACAAACAATCAGAAAAAGCAATGCCATAATGCATTTGTCAGTTGCAACCTGCAAGGATTTCAAATTTCAGGTACTGCTGGACATGCAAAAGCACAAGCGCACGCAGAGGGAAGAGAGAGGGATGGGGGTACCTGACGGCCAATCTCTTTCACCAGCTGGCTAGCCTTCTTTAACGAAAAGTGAACAGTATCCAGCTCATTGCCAATTCTCTTCATTTGTTCTGTCTGTAAAGCAAAAGAGATTTGTTGTACTAGATTGCATACTAAACACACAAGTATACCAGATTGCCAAAACAGGCATGTCACAGGAAAATCTTGTATAGTATGTAATGTAGAAAAACTTACTTGCTGTGATAGCGCTGAAGCAGTTTGTGTTCCAGTTTCAATAGTTTGTGCCACAACCTACAAGAAAGATGTCCTGTAAATTTGACATGAAAGAACATTGACAAGAGTGAGTGTAGTTCGTAAAGCAACCATTTTTGAACGGTCAATAGCTTGATCAGTCTGAGTCATTTGTTCTCTTCCAGCATCCATCAGTTGTTGGTTTGTCATAGCTGCAAGTTTAGACAGGTGATTACATAAGAACTAACAGAGATATCTAGCTTTCCATAGTGTCATTGTCAGCGTGATAAGATCAATGAGCCAGCAAAACCCAGTAATAAGATTTTTAGTCTTGAAATAAATTCTTTTAGCTCCTCTTCAGTTTTTGAGAAACTTGTATCTTGCAACCTACCAGGCAAAATTAATCATCGTGAAGCGAAAAGGTATTTATGAATTATATAACACTATTGCCTTCAAATCAAACAAGATAAATACCATGCTTCATTTGCATTTCCATATAGTGGATGCTGTAATGTTACTTAACCAAACAGCTCAACCATGTTCGAAACTAATTGTTTTCTCTACTTTGTTGTTCAAAAGAAAATCTATAATATAGTCTACTTGTCATTATAGTATCAAAAGTTAAGAAATCGATCCATCACAATACTTTGTAATTTCATATACTCTCAACATGATTGCAAGCTCTGCATCTTATGCTCAGCAATCATAAGGCAATTATTACATTTAAGAAGATTATTAGCATGGCATTAACCACATTTGAAAAAGATTCACATGATTATTTTCACCTGATGCTATTTGGATGTTGTCCTCGGCAGCAGGTTCACTACTTCCAGCGCCCATATCAAAGAGCTCAACCCTCTTATTATTATTACCTAGGCTACTTTGATATCTGCAACAGATAGTTTGTGTTAGCATTACTAGAAGTAACAAAAGACATTACAGAAGAATATTGCAGGAGGTACGGATGTTATAAACAAGAGCATTTTTTTTCAGTTTAAGAAACTGGGTTTCCTCCCAATGGAATTGGTTATATATAATACAACAGAGACTAAACTAGAGGTTCTGTGAAACATATTTATTCATCAAGAGAACTTGCTGACTTACGTCTTCCTCAAGGTGACATAGGAATTCAACTCTTTGATCTGTACAGTTCATAAGAAACTTTTACATGAGTATGCACAGATGGGCTACAACAAATAGCATATCAAAGGGAGGTACCAACCATATATTGCTTTCTGTCATTTAGCTGCTTGTGGACCTCAGGAGGGTTGTTTGACTCCTCATCTTTCAATATACGATCAAACTCTTTGATCAAACTGGAAAGGACGTTTTAAAAACAGAATCAGTGTATATTCAACAAAGCGGAAACTCTCGTAAATCCAACAGATTACATCTTGTTGTCTGTTTAATTGTGAATTAAAAATAATAATATTAACACCGTATATCAACAAATTATGGTCTAGAGGGTCATACATTATGGAAAGACTTCCATGCTTTCATTTAGGAATAAAAGAAAGCTGAAAGGAGGAGCCTATGAATAGGAAAATAACAACAGTATAGGCATCAAAAAGAAAACAACAATTTCGGGATAGCAGACTGAAGAACGCTCAGCTTAACCTACCGCTTGCACTCCTTCATTTTTGCTGTGAGATCCTCCAGCTGTTTAGCTTGCCTACTTGAATCTTTAATCTTGTCCATCTTTTGAAATCCATTTCTGCAAAAAGAAAAAAAATAATAGGAAAATTAAAATTCCCTGCAAGATCAAGTTAGCAATTAATAAGGCAGGTAGTACAGAAATATTTCAAATGTGACCAATATAGATTCAAACATATGTCGCTATGGTCCAATGTTATCAAGAGTACAATTGACTTTGGACCAACTCGTACTGTGCAATTGTTAGGCATGCTCATAAGGTCAATACGTTAGTGCTTGAAACTTGTCCCTTGGGAAACTTGTAACTGTTTCATTGGAATTAAATACACTCAAAATAAGAATGGTTTCATCAAGAAAATATCATGTCCCACTGAATGCACTAAAGTTTGTTGTTTCAAGTTCCGACGGTACTCTTATATTTTAAATCTTTAGCTGCCATGGCCTCCCAGATGTGAATTTGAATTTGTTGATTTTAAGCATATTGATTTTTGGAATGTTTGACCGCGCAACCTATAAAGTGCCATATTAAAAAGGATGGAGTGCCCTCAAGATTCTGAAAAGCAGTAAGGTAGTATCTATGTGGTCACCCACCTTGCGGAAATCATGTGGCCTAACAGGCCACTTCTGCAGCCTAACTACCAACTATTCAGTTACAAGTTGAGTACTCATTCCTTATACAGCCTTATAGAGCCCTTTTTTTTCTTTTTTTGAAAAAAAAAGAATACTGAATTATACATCAGGCTGTCAAAAATATATGTTTGTCGGATACTCAAGCAGTCCAAAAAGTTCAATTTGCAAGGCGCGCATGTTATCAGACAATTTGGTATCTAAATGTTCCGAAAACAAGTCGAAGTATACTATCATTATCCAAATTCATTTAGTTAAAATCGTTGAAATCGCACCGGAGCAAACAATCTGACGATCGCTTGGGACAGATTAGGCATCCAGTTGGCTCAAAACAGGAGGGAGTAAAGAAGATAGAAACAACGATTGAACCAGCGTGGGTTGGCCTCAGCGCAGAGTTGTGTGTGCGCATATTAATAGTACTACTAGTAAGTACTGAACAGAAGAGAAGAGTAACAGTAACAGTAACAGGGGAGGGAGAGATGTGGCTCACTGGAGGGCGCGGAAGATGTCCTGGACCTCGCCGTCGATCTGCTCGAGCTCCGGGCTCATGGGCACGTCGCTCGCCATGGCCAAAGGCTTCCTCCCTCCTCCGAGACCGCCGCCCCCAAACCCTACTATAGTAGAACTCTACTCCAGCGGTGAAGCACCAACCACGTAGCTCAGGGTTCCATCGCGATCGGCCGCGGAGGGGAGGAAGGAGAAGCCGAACAGGGATTGGGGATTGGGAGGAGAGGAGGAGCCTAGGGCTTGGCTCCGAGTGGTGGCGTGGCGTATTAGCTGGGGTTTAGAATAGAATCCAATCTGCCGCAACACACAAAGCCAAGAAACGAGAGGAAAGGGGACGGGAAAAAAAAAACTGAAAGAAAGAAAGAAAGCGACGCGCTCAAGCAGCTTACGGTTGACAGCGAGGACTCTCAAGTCAGATAACGTTGTTAAACAACAAGAAGGTCGCAATCTATCAGAGTGTCAGGCCCAACTACCTGCTGTGCTGGCTGCTTATTCTTCTTCTGCTGCTGCGCCAATGGCATTTTTAGGCCCCCATTGAATCAAATAAAAAACCATATAAATTATAGAGGATTTTATCCTATAAGAAATAATCCTATAGATTCCTTTGAAACAAAGGATTAAAGGATTGTTCCTATGAAATGAATCTTACTAAAGCAATTTTGAAGGAAAATAAGCATGAGGTTTCACCATGTTTTCCTCTTCATGTGTCTAAGATTCCTTCCTGCGTTTTTCCTGTGTGCTAATCAAACAATAGTTTGGAGACTTTATTGTGTTTTAAAATCCATAGTAATCCAATAAATATGACATTTTATTTCTATGTTTTTTCTACTCCTATGTTTTTTTCCAATCCTGCGATTTAAGTGGGCCCTTAATTTTTCTTTCTTTCTTCTACTAATTACTCCGTTCCTACCGTTCCATTATATGTGGTAATATTTTGAGACGGAGAAAATAATCTTCTTCCGTACGAAGGGTTTTCACAAACTTGCATTTTAGGATTTTGCCTGTCTGAAACGTACTAAATGACTTTTTAGCCTTGAATAGTCAGCATAATTAATATTTTTGGTAACAACAACAATATCCCAAATCTCAACCTTACCCTTTATTTTGGATAATGCTCAACCTTACCCTTGAAAACACAAGCTAAATCCATTAGGCATGGAAGAAAAAGAAAAGAAACGGTTGAGGCCTTTCACAGCGCTCCACGGTGGATCGGTGCTACACCCTGCCACGCATGAGTTTCGCTGAGGTGGAGGGGGAGACCGCACCCACGCTTTGTACCTCGTCCCCACACATAGCGACGCAGTACCTGCCCTTCGACGCGAGCACGCGCGGCTAGGAGGAGGCGACGGCGTGTGCGGCGGAGTGGGAGGAGGCGCGGCGAGAGGAGGGCGAGGCGGAGAGACGAGAGGAATGGCTGGAATCGTCGAATGGATAGGGTCGACCCTCGCTCTAGGAGGGGTAGGTGAGGAAAATTTCTTTGCCCCTCCCGTGACCTCGCGCATTGTTGGGTAACGCCCACTGTGGGCTTGGTACTCTTCATCAGTGTCTCTATGCACATAATATATGGGTGCTTGCTCTGTGGGGTGAGTATCTTTGAGCTGTGACTTTGGGCTATGGGTATGGGCCCCATAGCTTGTAGTGCTATTGCCCTGATATGTTAGGGCTATTTTGGAACGTAAGAATCTAAAATTACTGAAATAGGAAAAAAATTGTATATCTTGGTCCATTGAATCCTGCGGCAGATAAAACCATAAAATTACTCAAAATAGTAGTAGATGTTTGGAATTTTTGAAAGAATTTGAAAAAAAATGAGGCCAGACCTCATGCTAGAAATCCTCTAAGGGCCCCTTTGATTTGTAGGAAAAATGTAGGAATTTTGGAGGATTTCAATCCTATGGAAAAAAATCCTATGAAGGCCTTTGAGACAAAGGATTGAATCATATCCAATCCTTTAAAATTCCTATGGAATGGGTAATCCTATGCACATTTTGGAGGAAAGTTAGCAAGAGGTCTAACCTTTTGGAACATTTCCTCTGAGTCTATCTCTCTCATCTGATTCCTGCGTTTTTCCTGTGGTCCAATCAAACGGCCATTCCTGTGTTTTTCCTGTGTTTTGCAATCCTCTGTTTTACAATTGTATTCCTGTCAGAATCCTGTGTTTTTCCTATTCCTCTGTTTTTTCATTCCTACGATTCAAAGGGGCCCTAAAATATGAAGGGTTTTTCCTATCCTAAGGCCCCCTTTGAATCGCAGGATTGAGAAAACGTAGTAATATGAAAAACATAGGATTTTGATAGGAATGTAAGTGTAAAACAGAGGATTGCAAAACGCAGGAAAAACACAGGAATGACCGTTTGATTGAACCACAGGAAAAACACATGAATTGGATGAGAGAGATAGACTCAAAGGAAAGTTAGCAAGAGGTTGAAACTCTTGCTAAATTTCCTCCAAAATCTCTATAAGATTGTCCATTCCATAGGAATTTCAAAGGATTGGATAGGATTCAATCCTTTGTTTCAAATGGCTTTATAGAAAATTTTCCTATAGAATTAAAATCCTCTAAAATTCCTATGTTTTTCCTCCAAATCAAAGGGGCCCTAAGAAGTTCTTTTGAATCAATCCTACAAGCCAATATATCATATGTAAGCTGGAAAAAAATCTCAAGAAAAAAAAGGAAAGGAGGGATAGAGTCGGGTGTAATGGGCCATATCTTATTTTTGGGCTCATAAAAGAACAGTCTCACCATTGGGCCTCCAATGATAAACCTCTTCTATCCGTTCGATTCCGTTCCGTCCCGGCGGCAGAACCGCTGCCACTCCGTCATGTTTGAGCCGGTGAGGGTGAAACACTAAGGAGATGTTTGGATGCTATACTAATTTTACCACTATTGACCATACTTTTATGCCATACTTACCTAAGTTGTGGCTTACAAATAGTGACCCGCACCTTAGCTAACAAAATAGGATTGTGCCACACTTTGTTGAGTTGATGACATATGGAGCCATAATGGATGAGAAGGAATCTTGCCACAAGTGTGACTATGAACGAAACAATAGACTAACTTGGTAAAACTTGCCTAACATGAGGTGCGGCAACCTCTGGAGTAAACCAAACAACCCCTAAGGTTTTTTTTTCTTTTTGAGGATGAAGCAGTTAAGTTTAGACGTGGTTATGTATGTTATCTATTTGATAGCCGTCATCTGGTTTATTTCTTTGACTATAAAATTCAGTTGTAACCCCAATGATCCTATTAAATTTGAATTGTTGCAGTTTTGCATTTCTGCTTTATGGCCATTCGACAATGAACCTATGATTTTGAGGAGCTTTTCTCCGTTTCAGTACAGCCATCTGAAGGGTGTCCTTGTTACAGGATACAAAGGGGCCATAGAGCAACCTGAATTTCTTGCACATATCGCGGAGCTATTAACTGTTGATACAGTCGAAGCACCGTGGAATGATATCTTTGGATACGTCATACGAATCAAGCATCAGCTTAGAGCACCATTTTCGTCAAATTGCAGCTAGTTACCTTCATGAAAGGCTTTCACCTGCAACAAAGCTTTGTGTTGTTAATTTCTTATTGTGTTTCTTAATTTCTTCTTCATTGGTGCACCTGCTATGCTGGACACATGGCTTCGACAGGCTTGGTGTTTCTTTGGGTTTTTGCCCAGTCAAAAAAATGACTCTGGATAATACCACTGGTTAGTCTTGAACATTTTGTGGGATTCTAATGATGAACATTTTGTACTCCGACACTAAACTCTACAAGAAGGTTACTTGATGGCAACTTAATTTTGTTTTTATATTTAAGCTATTGTTCATAGACAAGGAGACTCTAGAGAATGCTTTTATGCTCAAATTGTAGCATGTTTACCTGTCTATAGGCCAGCTTGAATTTCTTGTTCGTATCGCTGAAATTAAAAACACCCCTGGGCTGGAGTTATCAACTGTTGATACACTTCAAGCAATGTGGAATGATGCCTTTGGATATAATAAATCAAATATTAGCTCAGTGCATCACCATGCTCGTCAAGTCGCAGCTTACCTTCGCAAAAGACTTGCACCTACAATAAAACTTGTAATCAAATCCACTTTCTCCGAGACCTTGGATAGAGGAAAACCAGAATGTCCACAGCTAAAGTCATTCTCAACCCAAGACGCTAGGCATAGTTTCCATAAACTCCATATCATCAAGAAACTAGTACTAGAAACTAATCTTCCAATGCAAACGCCACTATTTTATACTTAAATTTAATGCTACTTATCTCACATGATGTCTTGGATGTTATGTATAAACCATGTCTTATTCAAGACATGGTTTCCTTCTCTTTCCTCATTTATTCACTTGCTACGTCATTTTTTATTCTATGTGGCAACTTATTTAATACTATGGACACCATCCTAGTCATTGGGTTAGGAATGACCTAACTGCCTCCTCCTCCTGCTGCTGAGGCAATGGCCCTTAATTTTGTACTACCTCCATCCTAGTTTAGTTGTCACTTTGACTTTTTCTTTGTAACATTTGACTATTCGTTTTATTTGAAAAATTAGTGCAAATATAAAAATTGATAAGTTATACTTAGAGTATTATTGATAACAAAGCAAATCACAAACAAAATAAATAATAATTTCATATATTTTTAATAAGAGAAATGATCAAAAGTTAAAAAAAAACTCAAAGTGACAAGTATTTTGGAACGGAGGTAGTATCTGACAATGAATTACCTGATTATTTGCTGATTTACTCAACCATGGAGTTTCACTTAATGCCTGATGATATTTGCTTTGTTTGTTCTTTGAGATGTGTATTGTTGCATTGGCCATATAATACTTGTCCAATTTGAACTATTGCAAATTATAATAACTAAAAATTGTGTACAAGTTTAAAAATGTATACCCATATAATTAATTTTAATTCTAGCAATTAATATTAAACTCGCTAAAACCAGAAGTTGACAGTTGACGCTTTATGTTCAACTTATTTATATAAATGTTCCTCTTCTAAATTTGTACAAAAGATGTACTAGATATGATAAAATAGCAATAAATTACAGAAAATAGCTTAAGAATTATCTAAGCTAATTAATTATTACGTGTTAAATACTCAATATACACAACAGTTATGTCGCGCAAACACCATGCGTCTTAAAAACCTACATGTATTTATCCAAATAATTAACATTCTGATATTACATATAAAATATAGGTCATAGTTACGTAAATGCGTGACTTAACAGGCTAGTTTTCTTGTGCAGTTTACTTGATGGCCACTTATTTTGTTTTTTTTAATTAGGCTGATTATTTCAAAAGAATGTTTTAAGTTGAAATTGAGTAACGAGAGAGCTATGTCTCGCTATGCAGACCTCGGTTGTCAGCCATAATCACGAATAGCGTCATAAAAAAGGAATGATTAGCTGCAATGTCACCCTCAGGAAAGAACTTTATCTATCTCCTGTTCTGAAAGAAATATGAAAGTGGAGCCTTTTTACAATGAAAGCACTAATTTTCACTATTTATGATCATACAAGTGTTTCAGCTAGCTGAGGTAAGTCAAGGGTCAATATATATATATATATATATATATATATATATATATATATATATAAATTTTCATTCGGTCCGTGTCCCCGAATCTTGGCAACTAATGGTACACACGTACGCAGGCATAATCAAATATAGCGTTCATGTGAGTGGCCATGTGAAGTTATAGTTTGGCATCAACTTCTTCAGATGTTTAACATGTATCTTGTGAGCCTTTCATACATCTTCACGATAAATCTTCAACTTTGTTAGTTATAGAAAATAGACAATAACAGACTAGCTGATTATTAAGCACATGAAGGCTGTTGTTAATTAGCAGAGTTGTAATCTGAAATCAACTCCTAGCAGTCTGAAAAAGATGAACTGCGTGTCACACTACTAGAAAAAGTATTTTTGCAAGCGGCCAAAAGCGATTTTTTCAGGCGGAGGGGAGGCCCGCCTGTAGCCCAACGATTGATGATTTTCGCAGTCGGGGCAATGGCAATGGCCCGCCTGCGAAAATGCGTTGAAAAAGCAAAAAAAAATCGCGGGCGCTGCCGCCACGCGCCTTGCTGCCGCCGCCCTCCCCTGGCCGGAGCCGCGCCGGGCGTCGTCGTCGTCGCCGCCGCCCCACGCCGTCGTCACCGCCACCGCCCCCGCTGGCCTCCTCCCTCCCTCCTCCGGCCAGATCTGGGAGGGAGGGGGGAGGGGAGCCGCCGCCACCGCCCCTGCCGACCTGCCCCTCCCTCCTCCGGCCAGATCTGGGAGGGAGGTGGGAGGGGAGCCGCCGCAGCCGAGCCGTCGTCGCCGCCGCCGCCGGTAGAGGGAGGGAGGGGAGGGGGCGCCCAGACGCATGTTGAGGGGAGGGGAAAGTGTTTGAGGAAGAGAGAGAGCTGAGTGAGGGAAATAAGTGATGGGGAGGGGTGGAGGAGAAGATAAGACTTATAAATTTTTGGGGTAGGTACCATTTTCGCAGATGCGGTTTGAGTGGTCCGCCTGCGAAAATGATTTTCGCAGGCGTCGCTTAAGTGGTCCGACAGCAAACTTCATCCTGATTTATATTTTTGTAGGCGGTCATTTGACTTTAAGGGTTATGTCTGTCTGTGGAAATCAGACATCTACGTTGAGAAAAATATATTTTATAGTAGTGTCAGGCTGTCAGCAACCCATGAAATGGTTAACAAAAGGCTAAGTAATGCGACTCGACCTACCAGACCCCAAAGTAGGTTCGTAACTCATCAGTATACTAGTTAGCATCTCCACGAGTATACTTGATTAGCATAAGATAAACAAACCTGACTGAAATCGAGAGTCTTATTAAAAAGTACTGACTGAAATCAACTTGTATTTTTGCTCCTGCTCTTTATACCAACAGCGTCACACCTCACACGCAAATTTACACAAAATTTGACAATCGAAGGCCAATTCGAATACTCCTATCTCTGACCAAACGCACATCTTAAATTTGGTCACAACAGACAACTACAACTCCTTTATATATATACAAGTCCAATGCAAAAGATCCATGTAGTTAAGCTGCGTAAGTAGAGTGCTCATTCCGTCTCATAATACAAGAGATTGCACTGTTTAACCACTCGTTTTATTTAAAAAATTTTAGAATTATTATTTATTTTTTTACTTACTTTATTATCCAAAGTATTTTAAGCACAATTTTTTGTTTTTTATATTTGCATAATTTTTTTTAAATAAGACGAGCGATCAAAGAGTACAAATAAAAAATCAAAATCCCTTAAATCATGGGACGGAGGGAGCATATGTTAAGCTGGTAATGATCTGATCAAAAAAATCTATGCGTCGTCAAAATTGATCGAATCGAGAGTTCGTTTGCAAAGGCGACAGGAAGATACACACGCTTTGATGCATGCATGTCCGTGTAAAGATGGTGTTCTTTTTTTTTTTTATGACACGACACGGACAAGTGACGTGGCGATCCCTTGTCCCCACCGATGGGGGAAAACAAGCAGCTGCATCCACCGTTTTGGACCGGCTGGGGCCGGCCAAGTCGATCCGGCGTGGCCCATCCATCCGTCCGAGTCATCCCGCAAAATCCATCCCCCAACAAGTGGCAGATGGTGTGCATGCATCTTCACTCACACACTCTCTACAAATGTCTACATCGTCGATCAACTTAAAGTGAAACAAAATTACCGGAGCATTTATATGTGCTTAATTATGGCATGTGCTCGGAAGATAAGGTTAGGAATTTCTTCTTCAATACATAAAGTGGGGTAGCTAATTAGCACATATTTAATTAAGAATAGTTACGAAATGAATCAATACGATTTTAAATTACTTTTCTAACTTCTTTTTCTTTTACAAAACACACTGTTTAGTTTCCTACAATCACACGATCCAGCAGCCACAGAGCCAGACATCATGGAGATTATCCCAAAGACCCACGCACGATTCGCCACGTCGACGGTGACCCCACCTGTCAGAGACACCGGCGCCCCCCGCTAGATTCCTTCCTCAAACGTCCCGTCGCGGCGGCATCGCATACCACGGGGACCACGCGCACCCCCTACTGTAGTCTGTACCCTACGCCATCCCAGGAATCCGCGCCCTGGGCCCCACCACCCTCCCCCCGCTGACGAGGTGGGGCCCACCGCCACCGCGCTCTTCTAGTAGCCCAAAGCTCCTCCCCCGCTGCTGCTTCTTCCACGCGCTCACGCGGCTCCCGTTTTCGCGGCTGCGTTTTCTCGCTTTCGCCGCAGCTCCTCCCTTCGTCGTCCGTACGACGCCGGCCGGCCGATGCGCCGCCGGTCCAGGGGCGCCGCGGGGTGGTGCTGTTGTCGGTAGGGAGGGAGTGGGGGTGGGTGGGGGGATGATGGCGTACTCGGAGCCGGCGGCGAGGGCGGTGGCGGAGGAGGTGGCGCGGTGGGGAGGGATGAGGCAGACGGGGGTGACGCTGCGGTACATGATGGAGTTCGGGGCGCGCCCCACGGAGAGGAACCTGCTGCGGTCGGCGCAGTTCCTGCGCAGGGAGCTCCCCATCCGCATCGCCCGCCGCGCGCTCGACCTCGACTCCCTCCCCTTCGGCCTCTCCACCAAGCCCGCCATCCTCAAGGTGACCACCCCCCTCCTCTCTTTTCTTTCCCCACCAGAGAGGATGAGAGGAGGATGAGGAGTGCTCCACCGCTTTGCGTTTCTCTCTAGATTTGGGCCAACCAGTGCCTCGACTTTTCGGGAAGATTTTTTTTTTTTGCTCTCCTTTTGGAGAAATCCGATTTGGGACTGGGATTTTCTATGAAGTTCTTTTTTTTCCCATTTGCTAAAAGTAGTAGTACTAGCTTTCTAGTAGGAGTATTGGTTAATCTACTGGGATGTTTATTTGCGACCATTTTTAAAAATAAAAACTGTTCTGTTAGGATTTAGTGATATGTTCTTCCAACTCGATTGTTAAAATTTTAATAAATTATCACCCCGCTCCATTCCTCTTTTTGGTGAGTTTTTTTTGGAGGAGGAACGGGAGAGATGGCCAGTGTTGAGACGGCCTCATTTGTTGGGGAATAACAAATTAAATTGGTCCTTCTAAATTATAGTAGTATCTGTTTTTTTTACGGAAAACCAAATTTTATCTGTTGTGTTGCTTTCGTTTAATTACGCAGATTTTTGTGAGTGGTGACCGTCAATTCTCGACTAACACTGTAGAGTAGTTTAAATGTCACACTCTTTCATATCATTCGCTTGAAATAACATCACCGAAATCTTCTTGTTCAATCCCAGCCAGCTTTTCAAATTTTGCTAAATTTTCCATTTGTTTGGTCGTTTCAGTTCTTCGGAAGTAGTGTAGCACAGCTGTGTTTTAGGACTAGAGGAATTTGTTAGGTTCCTTCTCGCCAACTTGCTTAAATCGCTAGTGTCTTTTTTTAAAAGACGCATTGACTCCTCGAAATTATCAGCTCGGCCAATCTAAAGGCCCTGAACTTGTCAAATTGTAAATTTTCTAGGAGGATTTGCAAAGTTGAGTCATTATGTTCTTGCCAGGGAAAGATCCATTTGCAGGACTAACTTTTGGTCTTTCTCCACTGTGAAGGTGAGAGATTGGTATTTGGACTCATTCCGCGACTTACGGTGCTTCCCGGAGGTGAGGAACCGGGATGATGAGCTTGCATTCACCGAGATGATCAAGATGATTCGAGTGCGGCACAACAATGTGGTGCCCACCATGGCGTTGGGTGTGCGGCAGCTGAAGAAAGACCTGGGTGGCACAAAGGCCTTTCCCCCTGGCATTGATGAGATCCATCAGTTCCTCGACCGCTTCTACATGTCAAGGATTGGGATCCGCATGCTGATAGGTTAGCAGATTCCGCATGAAGTATTTATTAAATGATGATGGAAATGGAATCTATCTACTAATATAATGGCCTTACTTTTAGGCCATTGATATTCCTTGGCCCTTGCCTGCTGGATAAAACTGGCTAAAAGCCTTGTCAGCACTTAACAATCTGGAAAATATAGTTTTTCTTTGCACATGAATATTTTATTTATTTTGGTATAACATGTTGGCTATATTAGAGCAGCAATAGCTGTAATGTCCAATCAGGATGTCTTTTTCCTCAGAATGTGGTGATTAGAGGATACTCAATCATATCGTTCTAGCTTCTTGTCCAGAAACTAAAGTTACCACAGAGCAGCTATCAACCATTTACGGTTACATGTCAATAAGAATAATCCTTTTTTACTTTATTTATGAATGGAAGAAATTGTTTTTCTTTTTTTGATGTGAAAGTGATGCTAACATAACAAATAAGTGACAATTGCTACTGCACTTTTTTTTACTGAGTTGTACTAACTTGCTTGATTTCAGGGCAGCATGTTGCTTTGCATGAGCCTGATCCAGAACCTGGTGTTATTGGACTCATAAGCAAAAGATTATCCCCCATGCTGGTGGCTCAACATGCTACTGAAGATGCACGTGCTATTTGCATGAGGGAATATGGATCAGCCCCTGATGTGAACATATATGGAGACCCAGATTTCACATTTCCGTAAATCCCTGATTTAAATACTTGCTACATGTTTTTGTTTAATTTGATTTAATAGCACTTCATTGTTAGTTCTTCTTTGCTATTAGAAATATTTGTTGGCCACCTAGTTTCTGTTGTCATTTAAATCTTCCATGACTTCTACGCAATTGTCAACTAAGCTGCTCTGCTTACTAGTCCATGCACAAATCACATTTTTTGGCCTTATTTCTGTTTGTCAGAAACCACTCTAGCTGAACAACCTCTATACTGAATTTTAATCAGAATATGGCTGAAGGACAGGAAGTATTAAAACAGTTGTCCTGAACTGCTTTGCCTTCTTGATTTCAGATATGTTAAACTACATCTACAACTGATGATGTTTGAATTGGTGAAGAATTCCCTCCGTGCAGTACAGGAACGATATATGAACTCTGATAAGCATGCGCCTCCTGTTAGAATCATAGTCGCTGATGGAGCAGAGGACGTAACAATCAAGGTATGACTCCTTCCCCAAGAATTATGCTGACTTTGAAGTGTTTTCTGGACTCAAATCATGCTAGCAGATATCAGTTTTCGCAATTTTTATTGATGTGTAAACAATACACAGTAGTGATTAGAAATTCTGAGCTATTTTTAAATATGGTTTTGAGTTTATTTAAATAGTATGGTGGTCACTTTGGTCTTGCAGTTTCTGTTTAAAGAAAGACTGGTGTTGCAATAGCATAGCAAGTTCTGCTGCATTTTCTAAAGTGATCGTTATTCTGTGCTGATAGTAATAAGGTCATTACTGTTACAGAAAATTGGGTCAGTTTTTATGTGAAAGCATCACCCATTTCTCCCTTTATTTTTCATGTTCTTCTCTCTTTCCTAGTTTCTCCGCGTATGATAGCTTTGTTGTGACTTTTTATATAGATAGTTCTTATGTATATGAGATTACAAAAAGATATTACGGGTTTATCTATCTTTGATAGTTTAATTATTTGCAGTTACCCAATGTATTTATTATAGGTACGCCTATTTCAGTTAGAACCTTTTTGGTGCAGATTAGTGATGAAGGTGGTGGAATACCCAGAAGTGGTCTCTCGAGAATTTTCACATATCTCTACAGCACAGCAGAAAACCCACCTGATCTGGATGGCCGTAACGAAGGAGTGACCATGGCCGGGTACGGCTATGGGATCCCGATTAGCCGTCTTTATGCTCGATATTTTGGCGGGGACCTGCAGATCATTTCTATGGAAGGATATGGTATGTCCACAGTTCACTTTCTATGTCCTGTGAATTGAAGCTCTTCTTTTTTATATGGTAAAGAAGAGTAATGGCCAAAAGCCCAAAACCCTTGGGATTTGGAGGCTTTCATCTACCATGCGTTCTCTCTCTATAATCTTCATAAACTGCTGTGAGAACTTACCACTCATGAAACATGATGCAGATGTTATACTATCATCATAATTTTGCATAAACAAGACAGTTTCATCATCTAATTGACTGTCATTACCTCTTTTGTGTAGGAACCGATGCTTACCTCCACCTATCACGGCTAGGAGATTCGGAGGAGCCCTTGCATTAGGAGATCTGGAGGAGGAAACCCTTTGCCTCAGTTCTGATACCACTGCTGTAATTAGGATGCTATTGCTTTTACCATTGCTGTGCTGGTATGCAAATACATAGTTCCCAAGGCCAGCCAGCTCTATGTGCTTCCAGTTTGCTGGAGCGTGATCATAATTCAGATTTCAGAATCCCCTCTGGTTCACATTGCCATTAGAACTCGTTATCCCTCGCCCTCGGTGGCTGCCTGAAAAATGTGATGTACAGTTGTCCGTTTTCGGAGTTCTGCATGGGGAGTATCTTTTTTTTCAGAGTTCTGCTTCTGCGATTTGGGTAAGCAAGGATATTGTTAGAAAAAAGGAATTTCTTGTTTTGCTCAGATAAAAAAAAATCGGGGGCTGCTAGCTCCCAAGTAAAGTAACAGCCTGACATCTTCGGACCTTACCTTCCTATCGCGGCAGCCGGTAGCCATGTGTTCGGCAGTGAATGTTTCTACTACGGCAAATTTTGCTACAGGACATCGCGACTTTGTGGTTTTAGCTGTAGGACACTGCACGTAGTCACTTTTAGAAAAAGACACTCAAAATGTGGTTATTTGCCAAGGGACAAAATGTGGTTATATTTTGTTTATGCAATAAAATATTAATTTCTGGTTCAATAGAAGAGATAAACAGTGTAAAAGGTCAAAAATGCCCTCGGGCCCACTTGTCATATTCTTCCCCCACCCCAAACCTCCCTCCTTGCCTCCTCTACCCCCACCGCCGACAACATCCTCACCCCACCCACGGCCACGAGCAACGAGCTCGGCACTGGGATGGGCGGCCAACTTGGCGCAGGGGGAGGCGGCGTGCGCCGACGGCGCCCACGGCGGCGGCCTCGCCGTAGCTTTGCCACGAATCGAACTCACGGGGTCGAGATGAAGAAGCGGAAGAGGCGCGGCAGTGGCACCTCCGCCGCCTTTGACCGGAGCGTCTTCCTCATCCTGCTCGCCACCGCCGCCGTCGGACAGCGCTAACCAGTGACCCCGAGCAGCCTCCGCCACCGCTTGTCGCCGTCCCACCGCCCCAAGCTGCGTCCGCCCCCCGGCGCTGTCCAACGCCCTCCTCAGCGCCGCCCACCGCCGCCGCATCACGCGACGCCCTCGTCGGCACCGCCCGTCCCCGCGCGCCACCGCCCACGCCCGTCACCATCCCGCCGCCCGCCGCTGCTGCATCACGCGACGCCCTCGTCGGCGCCGCCCGTCCCCGCGCGCCGCCGTCTTCCGCGTGTGCCTGCGCGCCGCCGCCGCCCACGCCCGTCGCCATCCCGCCGCATCACACGACGCCCTTGTCGGCGCCGTCCGTCCCCGCGCGCCGCCGCCCACGCCTGTCCCCACGCGCCGCCGTCTTCCGCGTGTGCCCGCGCGCCGCCGCCCATCGCCCACGCGCCGCCGCCCACGCCCGTCCCCACGCGCCGCTGCAACGCCTCAGTAGCGACCTCGCTGTTAAAGGAGGAAGAGAAAGAGAGAAGAGGGCAATTTGGTCATGCCACTTAAAAAAGTAGGCCCCTTTCTCGCTTAGTCAGCACAAAAATATTAATTTAATGAATGGAGTGTCCCCTGGCAAATAACCACATTTTGAGAGTGTCTTTCCCCAAAAGTGACTCCATGCGGTGTTCTACAGCTAAAACCACAAAGTCGCGATGCCCTGTAGCAAAATTTGCCCTACTACTTATCGTTATCTGTACTCACGCTTTCAAGCTAGTATTAAGAGCAGGTACAATAGCAGATTATTAGCCAGCTATAAACATATTTTAATGAGATAAAAGATGAGAGAGAAGAGTAACAGGCTACAGATCTATAGCCAGCTGCACCGCGGACTCCAAGACGCAATGTGTGTATAACAGGTGGGACCATGTATTAATAGTATAGTAAGCAACTATTGTATGAATTGGCTATAGATGAATTGGAGCTAGTAGTGGGCTATACTATTAAACTTGCTCTAAGGGGGTGTTTAGGTGCATGGGTGTAAAGTTTTGGCGTGTCACATCGAATATACGGATACACATTTGAAGTATTAAATATAGACTAATAACAAAACAAATTACAGGTTCCGTCTGTAAACTACGAGACAAATTTACTAATCCTAATTAATCCGACATTAGCAAATGTTTACTGTAACAACACATTGTCAAATCATGTAGCAATTAGGTTTAAAAGATTCGTCTCGCAATTTATACGCAATTTGTGTGATTAGTTTTTTTCATTTATATTTAATACTCTATGAATGTGTTCAAACATTTGATGTGACATGGTGAAAAATTTTGCCAGAGGATCTAAACATGCCCTAAACAAAAATTATATAGGAAAGTTGTTTAAAACAATCATATTAATTCATTTCTAGAGGTCTTTTTATCTGAAGTTACTTAACCATGTGTCAATCTGTCGCTCTATTTTATGTGTACGAAGGGTTAGTTTCCAATCCATACTGAAGAACACAGTTATGGATGCATTTTTAGTCAAAGCATATGTATCCTTTGTTGGCACACTGACAACATGCATGCGCTCTAAAATACCAGCGTAGGTCAAGAGTTACACATGGACTCTATCCAATAGCATTATCACGGTTTTATGTCCAACCATTATTCTAGTAGAATACATATATTCAACACGAACTATCTCCTTAGATCGTCTATAAAAACCGCCTATTCATAATTGTAACTGTACTCAAATTTGATGAATAAATTTCCACTACATATCTCTCATGTAATACAATGAATTTACTATAATTAAGTTTTATCACTTATTTATTGTCGGTAGCACAATGTCAAAGTTTTCGGTTACTGATCATTCAAACAGTACAACAGTTGTATTAATGTTACACTATTCAAATCTCCCGCCATGAGTCAAGTAGTGGATGAGTAAATGACAACGTCAAGCCTGAACAACAAAGAGTATTCCTTCTTCGCCAGCAACATTTTACAAGTATTTTCGTTCTACAACAACAGATATACTGAGCCTGGGTACGCAACCACTTGATTAGCACGGAAGCCGGCCCTGTCACTGAAGCCGCCAAGTTACCTTGACACAACTCATATAGGTGAAGATCAGTAAAACACTAGAACATAGCAGTGGGCCTGTTTAGAAGAATTTAAGATTCTAAAAGTAATTGGTTGGTAACCAGTTTTTAAGAATTTAAAAAAGCTGAGTTTCCCAGCTTCTGACTACTAGTTTATTTTATGGATTCTACAACTACACCAATAAAAAAGTCACAACAAAGCTATCATACACGAAGAAACTAGGAGAGAGAGAAGAACATGAAACATAAAGGGAGAAATGGGTGATGATTTCACATAAAAACTACAGCTTCTAGAAGTTAAACGGTTTAGTGAGCATCTAATTATAGAAGAAGCTGCGGTAACTAGAAACTCCCCCGGACAGACCCTGTGTCTTTGCGTAGCCGTGCCCTTATCGATTTCTTAGTGTGGAAGAGTTGATATGATCCATTCATCTTCCATCGGACGGCCTACATCGACTACAGTACAGGCTCACCTGTCTCCGACTCCGATTCCTTCTCCGCGGCGGACAGCGCCGGCGCACCAATAAAAAGAGGCCCCACCCGCCTCGACGACGCCTTCCGCTTTCCCCCTCCCCCGCCTCTCTCCGGCGCCGGCGAAACCCTAACCCCGGCAGCCACGGCTTGCCACCCGAGGCAATGGGGGATCGCGCGGCGGCGGCGGCGGAGGCGAAGACGTCGGTGTGGTGGGACATCGACAGGTGCGGGGTTCCCCCGTGCTGCCGCGACCCGCACCGCGTCGCCCACGGCGTCATCGCTGCGCTCGCCGCCGCGGGGTGCGCGGGCCCCGTCTCGATCTTCGCCTACGGCGACGCCGCCCGCGTTGCCCCGCCCGTCCTGGCCGCCCTCTCCTCCACCGGCATCTCCCTCAACCACGTCCCCGCCGGTATGAATGCTCTCTTTCCGTCAAATATAGCAGCATCTGCACTTGCTCACTGCGCGCTACTGGTGTGAAATCCGCATCATATTTAGAAGGCTATTGATTTTTCCACCTCCAATAATTTGCAGGAGCTAAGGATGGAACCGACAAGAAGATGCTCGTCGACATGCTCTTCTGGGCATTCGACAACCCGCCGCCGGGCAATTACTTGCTTATTTCGGGCGATCAGGACTTCTCCGACCTGCTTCACAGGCTCAGGATGAAGCGATACGGTATCTTGCTGGCGCAGCCCTCAAATGTGTCATCTCGAGTGCTTGCTGCGGCGGCGAGGACTGTCTGGTCTTGGGAAAAACTTGTGGCTGGAGAGTCTCTGTTGGTAGAGTCCACACATACGCATGGATTGCCGGATTGCAATCCTAAATTAAATAGCTTGGATGTATCGAAGTGCTCGCAGAATAAGAGCTTGGATGCGTCGAAGTGTTCGCAGAATAAGAGCTTGGATGGATCGAAGTGCTCGCAGAGTAAGAGCTTGGATGGATCGAAGTGCTCGAATAGTAAAGTTCATGCTGTGTGTGGTAACGGTGACAGTAATGTGAAGGCATGTGATCGGTATAAGGTGAAGCCTCTTCAAAAGTATGTAAAGAAGACTAATGCAGTATCGAGTTCCACAAATAACCAAGGTCAAGTAGTCGTGGTCGATGGATTTTCTGATGATTCTGCAGGAAGCACTGGTAGTGAGCAAGATAAGAGTTCTGTTTCGTCATCGTCATCAAGTTCTGAATCATTGGAGGTCGATCTCCCAAGTCTGCTAGGAACTCCTCCTTTGGCTGACCTCCCAAGTCTGCTAGGAACTCCTCCTTTGGCACAGTCATCAGCTCAGGAGCCTGTGGTGTCTACTAGTTCTCAACAAGTTGGACCATTGAACATGACAGGTAAGAAACCTAGCACATCAGTCAAATTTGTACCAAGAAAGGGAACTGTTGATCTTGGTCTCAGTAAACATCATCACCAAATGTTTATGCAATCACAATCGTCTGAAGTAAAGAGTAAGCTTCATTCTGAGTATGATATAGCTGAAAAGAATGCAAAGAAGGGTAACCAAAGCAAGTCAAATCCAATTCAAAGGTATGTAAAGAAGACAAATATTACATCTAGTCCTGCTAGCAATCAGCTTGATTCAGATGGAATGCCTGAGTGTTCCACGGGGAACACTCCAAGTAAATTGAATCAGTTGCCTGTCTTACCACCACCAAACTCTGAATCACTGGAGGAAACAAAGGTGGATCACTCGAGATCGCTAGGTATTTTTACCTTGCCCCAGTCATCATCTCAAGCACCAGTGCTGTCTACTCATTTGCATAAAGTGGAAGAACCACATGAACTGATTGTTGGCAAGCAGCCCTCTTGCACATCAACTGAGCTCGCATCAAGAGATGGAACCAATGATTCTCGTGTTAGTATTGGACATTATCATTCAACCTCTATGCAATCCCAATCTTCTCTGGCACAACATACGCTTCATTGTAACTATAATATGGGTGATAAGGTTGGCAAGGCAAAGGCAAGAAATCAGCATAAGGTGACACAGCGTCAACAATATATAAAGAAGGCAAATATTGTATCTAGTTCTGCACACAATGAAATAGATTTGGTTAAAGGATTTTCTGGTAATTCTAAAGGAAGCATCTTGAGCAATCCAAGTAAATCTGTGTTAACATCGTCAATTTCTGAATCTCTGGAGGAGGCAAAAGCGAATTGTTCAACTCCGCTGAAAAATCCTCCCTTCTCCCTGTCATCAGTTAATAAACCTGTCACACCTACTGATTTGCAGCACCTGGGATCAGAGTTCATCTTTGGTAGTAATCATAGCTTATCAACTGAATGCATGCCAAAAGATGGGATTTTTTATTTTGGTGACATTAATGGTCAGAATAGTCCAGCATGTCAGCAAGCCCATTCTTCTCTTTTGCCAGAAATACATAAATCAATTCCTCCTAGTGCAGCTGGCCATTCTAACTCAGTAAATTCAGATGTTGGCAGCTCATACCCAACATCAACTGGGTTTAATGGTGTTCCTTCTGCTCAAATACAAACATCGCCAAGCGGCTTAACCTTTCAAAACATGCTTGATATTTGCTCTGATTTCAGTAGATTGACTATTTCTGAGTGCCCTCCAGGAACAAGTGAGAAAAGGCCACCTTTTCAAGGTATTCCTTCTAACTATACTGCTTTTGGTATGCCAAATACTTCTGGACATCTTAGAGTTCCTCATGAGATCGGATCCACTTTCCATCCTGGTTCTGTCGTCAGCTTCCATCCGAGTCACTCTAGTGCTCGTCAGTGTGCCCGATCTCCTTCCTGCAACATGCAAAACACTGGCGATCATGGAGAGACGGAAGGCTCTCCACCAAGTTCTTCTGAGCCTGAAGTTACTATAAGAAATATATTACATGCTTTGCACATACTGAAGGCTGAGAAGATATTCCCAACGGAATCAAATATTGCAGACTGTATACGTTACAGCGAGATGAATATATCAGGTTTTGATGTTAAGAAGGCTCTTGAGCTTGCCATTCGACATCAAGCCGTTATCATGAAGAAGTTAGTAAATGACATGCCATTGTTTGTTGCGAAAGATGAAAGCATTTGGAAATGCGTCAATGTGACAAATAGCAATGCAAAGCATTCGAAGGAGACACTAGATGCGGTTCATAAGTACATATCATCCACTGATGGTTGGTCAGCAATGAAGAATTCTCAGTCAAGGTGAGGCTTTTTAAAATCCATTCATTCTTTTTTGTGTTGATCATTTCATCTTCTGTTCTTTGACACGCCATTACATGTTCTCCCTTTATTGGTAGGTACCAAGCTGCGACTATTTTAAAGAAATCGTGCTTGCAGCAACATGCCCTTGGTGATGTCCTCCAGATTTTGCAAATTATAATTGTAAGGAAGAAATGGCTTTTGCCTCATTCTTCAGGTTGGCAGCCGTTGTCCATAAACACAACAGTAGTTGATGCAACTGCTGTCGCTGTTGGAGAAGCTAGATCTTGATTATGTTCTCTGCTGATGTTGGAGGGATGTTTTGGTGCGCTGGTGAATGGCGACTACAAAATATCTTCAGCATCTGCGTTGGTCTGAAGGTTATCTGAATGCCGCAATAATAGTCAATCTAAATTCTACGGTAAGCAGTTGGGCGGCACCAGAAGCTGTCAAGACTTTACTAGTCCCTTATGGGAAGATTATGCCCCAGATCAATGGACTGTGAAGATGCTGGTTTTGCAGCAATTCAGCTATCAAATTGGTTCTATGTCATCAGCAAGATACACAGTACAAGAGAGAGCTTGTCTCTCTTCCTAGTTGTGTAGGATTAACTCCTAGTTGTATAGAATTTCCTCCTAGTTGTATAGAAGTGCCTGGGGGCTTAGAAGACGATTGGAAAAGGCTTATCTGTTACTACGTGGTTGCAGAACTACATTACTGCCCTGATCTTCAGTGATGTGGCAGCCCTTGGATTAGCAAAACTCCAGTGGTTCTATTCCCAGGAACTGGTGCCCTCTTAGCTTGATGGTAAGCATCTGAAACGCACCCAGAGCAGCTGCAAAGACTGCGACCGCAAAGAAGCCAGATCGGTAACTTGGGTGGATGTTTCAGTTCTCATCTTGCTTTCACTTCTCTTTTGATGAGTCCTGTCATGTGGTACTAGGTGTTGGGTGTGCAACTTGTCATATGGTGTTGCAACTGTTCAAATGTACTTCACCTTTTTTTTCGTCAGTTTCTCGCATAAATAATGTCAGTATCCGGGGCTTTGTTTGGTGCTTTTTGTGTTCTGATCGATGCAACTCTCTGTAACTGTACTCCTTTCTGTCTGTAGCAATCACTATTCTCTCTACACATCACATCATCATCATATCATAATTCACAGAGGCATTTCAAGATGTTCCATTCCATGTGCAGTGCAGCACTAACTGATGAGGACCAGGCAACTAATTAAATTTTGCACAAAACAGAAAAGCTTTTTGATGATTCTGATAACTCAATTATTTATTCATACTACTAATTCTTATGTGACAGAAGCAGAGAATGTGAGGGAGACTGATGAATATTTAGCGACCTGAATCAGAATCACACAAGGAATAATCATAATAATACCCCTACTGTCCCAACCCCTCCTGCTAATCCTATCTGCAAAACAAACACCTTCATCTTCCTTCCCTGTCAGGCTAAGCGACAATGTACTATGAGGTGCTGACGTCACTGCGTCGCCGGCGGCGTGGACTTGAGCTCCTCCAGCGCCGTCCTCACCTGGTCCTGCAGCAGGTCGATGCGCCGGAGGTACACCTCCAGCTCCAGGATCCGCTGCTGCCTCCACCTCTCCCCTTTCATCGGGATCCCCGGCGCCGGCGGCTCCAGCGACGGCGGCGCCATCCCGGCGGTGAGCATGGCGCGCACCATCTCCTTGAACAGCGGCGCCAGGATGCCGCCCTCCGCGTTCGCCGCCGCCGACGCCGCCGCCGAGGCGGGATCCACGCCGTGGACGTGCGCGGTGGCGGTGACCGCCGCGCCCTGCGGGAAGAAGTGCGGGAGCGCGTCCTCCGCCTTGACGGGCGCCGGCGCGGGAGCCGGTGGGTAAGGCTGCGGCGGCTCGGATGCGTCGGCGGCGGTGGCGGTGGCGGCGGCGGCGGCGGCCGTGCGCCTGCGGCGGCCGCGGCGCTGCTGCGCTCTTGTGGAGGAAGGGGACCTGACCTCCCCGTTGGCCGGGGCAGGAACGGCGACGGCGGCGGCGGCGTCGGGGAGCGCGTCGTCGTCGGAGTCGGCGTCGCGGCCGTGCTTGTCGGAGGTGGGGCGCCAGATGCCGCGGGCGATCTCGAAGATGGCCTGCTCGTGCGGCGAGCGGAAGGAGAAGGACTGGCCGGTGGCGCGGAGGCGGTCGACGCAGTTGCGGTACTTGCGCTTGAGGCGGCGGAGCTTCTCGACGAGCTGGCTCTTGGAGAAGTCGAGCTGGAGGCGCCGCCGCATGTCCTCGTAGAACGGGTCCGTGTCGTACTGGTGCGACGCGAACGCCGTCCCGCGCTGCGCCGTGAACTCCGCGAACGCTCGCAGGATCACGATCTCGTCCTCCTCCGTCCACAGCCGCTGGAACAGCGGCCGCCGCTCCCCGCCCGACCCCGACCCCGCGCCACCGCCGCCGCCCGGACCCGCCGCCGCCGCGGCGGCGGCGGCGGAGGAGAAGGCCTGGGTGGTGGCGTGGTTGGGGTCGGAGGGGAAGTCGATGTCGTCCGAGTCCCCGTTGCCATAGACGTCGGCGTCGGGGAAGGAGGAGGAGGCGGCCGCGCCGACTGCGGCGGCGGCGGCGGCGGAGGGGTCGTCGACGACGGTGGGGAGCATCGGATTGGGGGATCGGATCGGATGGGGATCGGTCGCGGCTGCGGCTCGAGTCGGGATTAGGGTTGGGGTGGGGTGTGGGATTTGGGTTGTTCCGTGCTTCACGTGACCGAGAGAGACGGACCCAAGGGGGGGAAAAATCGTAGGACCTGGTCATGTTCTCATCGGGATGATCTCCACCCTCCACGTCACATAGCACAAATCTTGGAGCAAACTTCCCTAAAATTAGGTGTTTGTTTAGGGTTTTCAAAAACTTGGTTTTGATTTGTTCTGCTGTGGGCTCAATCAAAACTATGATGTTCAGCCAAAACAAAATTTTGGTTCATATCCATATTCGTAGTATTAAGATGTATTGTGTTTGTTTCTTAGTGATACAGAGAGTAGTACCTACTATTTAAAATTTTTATGAAATGCACAAATTTTTCAGGATTTTCACATGAACAAGTTCAATTCCTTCATTCTAAAGGATGCCTTATCTTATACTATTACACTCACACAAATTTAAACTTTTATGAGAACACTATCTTTTCAACTCTATATTTTCTATATTGAGACCAAACCAATTCTAGAACCTCCAAAATGACTTGGCATTATCAAAATATTTGATAGATCATCGACCATGAAGCCTCAAAAAGACTTCAACCTTGTCACCAAAACCTTTTTACAGTCCCATCCTAGATCCTAAATATATCTATGTCCTTGTTCACTCATTGGCTCCCCAGGGCATATGGGCTTTATTTTTACCAACAAACGCTATACATATAAAATTATGTTGTATTCATATAAAAAGGTATTGGAGAAACAATCTATTAACTAAATTGGTATTTCAATTACTCAAACTAGAAAGGAAATAAGTCAACCGTCATTTGCCTATGTTGACACATCGATGTGGGAGGCCATGTGCGAGGCAACATCTTTTGGGCATCAATGTAAGGTGGTGTATCAACATTGTAAGCAAGGAGCGGTGATATGAGATTAGCGGCGCCGATTTCGCAAAGTGTTGTTAGTGACTTCGGCGTGCACGTGAGTGAGATAGCATTGGCAGTTGGATACTTAGTCAACAACTATGATTTGAGGGCTGAGTCACCGAGGCGCAGTAGGAGATAAAAGTTTGTGATTGTGGAGAAGGAGTAGAGATGCCAACGACGGTAATAGTATGTTGATATAGAAGGATTGGATAAAAGGACTAAAGAGAGGAAGATGCAAGTAGCGGCACCGAATCTTATATACCGAATTCAAGGTTGGAAATCAGGCATATGATTGGACCACGTGGCATCTTGAGAATTTGGGTTCAGCTCCTCTAAAAATATGCCACGTGTCCCATCGTCACCCTCATCCACCTCTTCTTCTCCCCTCCCCTCCTATCCGGTGCGACGCTTGCACGCACTGCTGCCTCCTCCCTCCTCGGGTTCTCCTCACTGCTTGCTTGTCATTGTTTCTCCGTTCCCTCCTCTCATTTCTCTGTACCACCATCGATTATTCCTTCCTATCTCTAGCGTTGTCCCAAAACCCCCCTCCCTCTGCCCATGTCGCCTTCCTCACCCCCTGTCCTCCTCACCCTTGTAATCGCCCCCATGCTCCCCACCCGCGCCCACCAAGGAGGTCTACCCCATGCCACCAACCCATTCTCCAAAGCCGAGCCCAACCGATGCTCCTCCAGCGGCGGTTGTAACGACGCCGAGCGCAGTTTGTACTGCTCCCGCTTGGGAGAGGACGAGACTGGGAGCTGCACTGCGAGGACGGTGGTAGGGAGCACCAAGATCGGAATGATGGGAAGGAGAAAGAGAACAAAAGGAGGAGAGGGAGAGGAGCAGCCGCGTTCACACCTTCTACCCAAGCTCCTCCTCCTCCTCCTTGCCACCATTGGCATCCGCCCCGCCGCACCGGTCGTAGATGCACGGCCACCTCCCGAACACCGTATCTCCGGTGCCGCTGCTCCGTGCTGTGAGCCTCTACAGTGAGGCTTGGGCGGGCAAGGGATTCCTCCATACCATCTGCTTCCACCAGTGCCGATCCACCACCAGATCCATACGCTACCACCTGTCCACCTCGACATGGAGGCATTGTAGTTTATTTGAAGCAGTCGCATGTAGCAAGGCATGGCACTGGACATATTTATATAAGATAATAACAAATATGGATATTAGGACCTCCAAACCAATTCTCGAATCTCCAAAATGACTTGGCATTATCAAATATTTGATAGATCAATCCCGAAGCCTTTAAAAAGACTGCAACCTTGCCACCAAAACCCATTTTTAGTCCCATCCTAGATACTACCTCTGTCCCTAAATATTTGACGCCGTTGACTTTTTAGCACATGTTTGACCGTTCGTCTTATTCAAAAACTTTTGTGAAATATCTAAAACTATATGTATATATAAAAGTATATTTAACAATGAATCAAATGATAGGAAAAGAATTAATAATTACTTAATTTTTTTTGAATAAGACGAACGGTCAAACATGTTTAAAAAAGTCAACGGCGTCAAATATTTAGGGACGTAGGGAGTATATCCTTGTTCACTCATTGGGCCCTGAGGACATATGGGCTTTTATTTTTACAACAAACTCTATATGTACATATAAAGTTTGTTGTAAAAATTCAGTACTAACCATATAAAAAGGTATTGGAGAAACAATATATTAACTAAGTTGACATTTCAATTACTCAAACTAGAAAGGAAATAAGTCAAAAGCCCTTTGCCTATGTTGACACATCAATATGGGAGGCCATGTGCGAGGCAACATCTTTTGGGGGCATCAATGTAAGGTAATGTATCAATATTGTAAGCAAGGAGTGGTGCTATGAAATTAGCAACGTCGATTTTGAAAAGGTGTTGTTAGCAGCTTCGGTGTGGATGTGGGTGAGATGGTATTGGCAGTTGGATAATGAGTCAACGGTTATAATTTGGGGGCAGAGTCACCGAGGCACGGTAGGAGACAAAAGTTTACGATGATGGCGAAGGAGTAGAGATACCCGATGATGGTAATAGTATGTAGATATAGAAGGATTAGATAAAAGGACTAGGGAGAGGGAGCTGAGAGTAGCGGCACTCAATAGTGCAGTGAAGTTGGGGTGTAGTGGACTAGTTTGTGAATTTTTTCTATATAAACTATTCTTTGGTCTTATAGTGAGTAACTTACAAAACTCAAAACTAGTTAACGGAAACGTTGATTGCTCTGCCTGTCCTTGACCATTCTGCTAGAAGCTCTGCGACAAATAAATTTCGCAAATCTAAGGTGCTAGTAGGTGAATGTGTAGCGGAAAGTTTGAATATATGGACCTGTTTGGTACGGCTCTAACAGTTGAATCTAGAGTGGAGTTGTGGAGTTGAGTTGAAACCGTTTGGTTAGGCTCCAACTCTATAAGAGATGAATTGGAGTTGGAGCTATGTCAAACAAGTCCTATGTTTGATGCAAATTTTATGTTTTGGGAAAACAAAGATATAATTAACATGTTTCAAATTTGCACAGAGCATGCATTTTCTTTGGTTATAATAAGTTGCATTTCACTGTTGCAGACTAGCAGATAGTAGAAAACAAATGCGCAAAAGCATACATTTCACTGTTTCAAAAGGTTCCTTTCAGGTCTGGTGCATCGGCATCAGTCTCTCGGTGCATAACACGCCTTGCCATGCTAAGTGTCGAGCAACCATATATTAGGCATGCATTGCCAATCCAATTCCCACAATTAAGTGTTCTTAACTCACAAACTAACCACACTTTTTTACCGGAGATTATGATACAGCAGAGTAGCCGATCGAAGTTTCGAACCAATGCCCACAGTTCATCACTATTCCCTTCTCCATGAACACACGACCTGCAGCAGCAAGCCAGCACACACGTTGCTGCCCCAACTCCAACTCTGCAACAAGAAACAACTCACGCTGTCACTCACGCACGCATATCTTCCAAACAAAGCAAGCGAAAACCTGCAGCCCTCTCTTCACCTCCGCATGACATGCCCAAGCAAGCAAGCGTTTGCTCACCACAAAAAAATGAGATGGCCGATCGAGCAATGCAGAGCACGCCCCGATCTAGTAATCTTAGTCCCAGCTTAAAGCATGCAAAAAGCCCTTGAGATTTCGATCGGTATCCACATCACCCCAGGACAAGAGTGCAAGCAAACCAACCCCAGAAAAACCCCAAAATTAATCCTTCCAAGCAACCCTCTCAATTACTCCCCGGACATCACCTCTAATCCAAATAGAGTAATATAATTAACCCCGCAAATATATATTCTCATGCACCAAGCAACCACACGTACACCTATATAAATCATCACACTCCCAGCATTCAATCTACTCACACACACACGCACCAAGAAAGCCAAGAACCGATCAGCTTTGGTGTTCGATCGATCAAGACGAGGCGGCGGCGGGGCTGATCGAGATGGCGGCGCCGCCGGCGAGGTCGGTGAGCGTGGCGGACAGGGCGCTGCGAGGGGTGGCGGACCTGATCAAGCTGCTGCCGAGCGGCACGGTGTTCCTCTTCCAGTTCCTCAGCCCGCTCGTCACCAACAACGGCCACTGCGCCGCCGCCTACAGCAGGGTCCTCAGCGCCGCCCTCCTCGCGCTCTGCGGCGCCTTCTGCGCCTTCTCCTCCTTCACCGACAGCTACGTCGGCTCCGACGGCCGCGTCTACTACGGCGTCGTCACCGCCAGGGGGCTCCGCACGTTCGCCGCCGACCCGGACGCCGCCGCGCGGGACCTGTCCGGGTACAGGCTCCGCGCCGGGGACTTCGTCCACGCCGCGCTCTCGCTCCTCGTCTTCGCCACCATCGCCCTCCTCGACGCCGACACCGTGGCGTGCCTCTACCCGGCGCTCGAGGTCAGCGAGCGCACCATGATGGCCGTGCTCCCACCCGTCGTCGGCGGCGTCGCCAGCTACGCCTTCATGGTGTTCCCCAACAACCGCCATGGCATCGGCTACCAGCCCACCCGCGCCACCGAGGACTTCGAGCACAAGCACTAGATCGTCGTCGACGACGACGACTAAATTATTAATTAATTTGGGTGTTTTAATTAATTGATTTCGAATTCATCAAATCTTAATTTAAACATTTTATGTGTGTGCGTGCGTGCGTGCGTGCGTGTGTTTTGCAATGTCAGGGTTTGGTCCTTTGGATTTGGAGACTCGAGTCAAAGTGTGAAGTGGCTCTGTGTACATGTGTGTTCGATTGTTTTTCATGTAATTTGATACTAGGAGCTACCGCTGAACATAATAAAGTCTACAATTGTACTGTTTTTTTTTAAAAAAAAATTCACTGTGCTTCAACAGAAAATTTCGTATTTGCTTGTAAATTGTGGCAACTCGATCGTGAGGTTTGCTTCTACTCAACAGCCTGAAATTCTAATAGCTCTCATCTGTCGCCGTCGATTCGTGACCACTGCCGACCCATCTCGACCTAATTACGTACTCTATTTAGCACACATGACTCTTGTCTTTGTGTTCATCTTTCTCGCTCTACTTATATATACATATACATATACATAAACATATACATATTTTGTTCTGCTTTTGTAGTTTTGTGCATGATATTATTTCGTTCGTGTTCGTTGCTGCCACGCCACAACCATTCCGATGTATTGCCGATACATAATAACAATCTTTTCAAAACCTGAGACATCTCAAAACCTTAATGGCTTGTTTGGCAACTTGAGGGAAGGGGATTGGGAGTTTATACGAGGGAATTGACGGTGAGATTAAGATGGGAATTTGATTTTTCATCCCAGTCTCTTGTTTGGTAGAGGTGGTGGAAATTGATAGGAAGTTTAGTTGGAGATTAAGTCATTAATGAAAACGGATGGCTGAGATTTGTTTAGACGAAGTAAAGGAGGAATTCCCTCCCAATTACCACCCCCTACCCAGGTATTGAAAAGGAGGGAGTTCATTCTCAATTCCCTATCCCCATCCCACCAAAATTCACATATCTCCCAACCAAACAAAACAGTTAATAGCCTCATCCCTCTAAACTCCCAATCCCTTCTAAAAACTTCCCCCAACCAAACGGGCTGTAAATCCTTTTCACACATTCGGAATATGACAACCCAGTTTCCAATTCGAAGTTTTTAAAAAATCTTCTCAAACAAACTCAAACATATTGGGTTGTTACGTTGGGCCGGGCCCACAGAAAAAGCCCAGTAGGCGGGGCCCAGCTCCAGCCCACAATACCTCGCCACTAAACCCTCTTCCCCCTCTAAAACCCTCCTCCTTTCTCCTCCCCCTCCCGCCGCCGCCATTCGCCTCCCGCGAAAACCCTAGCCGCCGCCGCCGCCGCCGCTGCCCAAAATGTCCACGCCACCGCCGGCCGCCGCCGCCTCCCCGGCCACCGACCAAGGCAAGACCAAGTCGAAGAAGAAGAGCAAGAAGCATCAGGAGGACACCTCCTCCTCCCTGGCCGTCGCCGCGGCGTCGGTGGATGAGGCGGCGGAGGCCAAGGCCGACGGCTACCTGATCAAGCCGCAGTCGGTGGCGCCGCCGCTGGACACGTCGGCGTGGCCGCTCCTCCTCAAGAACTACGACCGCCTCAACGTCCGCACCGGCCACTACACCCCGCTCCCCGCCGGCCACTCCCCGCTCAAGCGGCCCATCGCCGAGTACCTCCGCTACGGCGTCATCAACCTCGACAAGCCGTCGAACCCTTCCTCGCACGAGGTCGTCGCCTGGATCAAGCGCCTCCTCCGCGTCGAGAAGACCGGCCACAGCGGCACCCTTGACCCCAAGGTCACCGGCAACCTCATCGTCTGCGTCGACCGCGCCACCCGCCTCGTCAAGTCCCAGCAGGGCGCCGGCAAGGAGTACGTCTGCGTCGCGCGCTTCCACGCCGCCGTGCCCGACACCGCCCGCGTCGCGCGCGCGCTCGAGGCGCTCACGGGCGCCGTCTTCCAGCGGCCCCCGCTCATCTCCGCCGTCAAGCGGCAGCTCCGGGTCCGCACCATCTACGAGAGCAAGCTCCTCGAGCACGACGCCGACCGCCACCTCGCCGTGTTCTGGATCTCCTGCGAGGCCGGCACCTACGTGCGGACGCTCTGCGTTCACCTCGGCCTGCTGCTCGGCGTCGGCGCGCATATGCAGGAGCTCCGCCGTGTCCGGTCGGGGATCCTCGGCGAGACCGACAACATGGTGACGATGCACGATGTCATGGACGCGAGGTGGGCGATGGACAACTTCAACGATGAGTCCTACCTGCGGCGCATCGTCATGCCGCTGGAGGTCCTGCTCACTAGCTACAAGAGGCTTGTTGTGAAGGATTCTGCTGTGAATGCTATATGCTATGGTGCGAAGCTCATGATCCCTGGGTTGCTTCGATTCGAGAATGAGATTGAAGTAGGGGAGGAGGTGGTTCTCATGACAACCAAGGGGGAAGCGATTGCGATCGGCATTGCGGAGATGACCACGGCTGTTATGGCGACTTGTGACCATGGAGCGGTTGCCAAGATTAAGAGGGTGGTGATGGATAGGGACACATACCCGAGGAAGTGGGGGCTTGGGCCTGTGGCGCTTAAGAAGAAAAAGATGGTTGCTGAAGGGCTTCTTGACAAGCATGGGAAGCCAAATGAAAAGACACCAAGTGAGTGGCTTCGCAATGCCGTGCTTCCAGCTGGTGGTGATGCAATGATTGCCGGCATTGCTGCAGCACCTGAGCCAGAGAAGCCAAAGGTGAAAGAGGAGGCAGATGTGGCTGAAGAGACCAAGGAGAAGAAAAAGAAGAAGCATAAGGACTGGGCAGGTGACAATGCTGATGAGGGGAGGAAGAGGAAGGTTGGAGATGATGATCTCTCTGCTTCTGTGAGTGCGAAGAAGATTAAGGTTGAGGAAGAGGCTGATGCAGTGGAAGGGGAAAAGAGTGAGAAGAAGAAGAAGAAAAAGAAGGACAAGGCTGAATCGGCATATGCCGATGGAGAGGTGAAGGCTGAGTTGTCTGATGGGGAGAAGGGTGGCAGTGAGAAGAAGAAAAAGAAGAAGAAGAGCAAGGAAGGAGAAGCTGGGGATGATGAAGCTGAGAAAAGTGAGAAGAAAAAGGAGAAGAAAAAGAAGAATCGGGATGCAGAGGTGACACAATAGTTGGAGAGTGTAATTTTAGCCAGATCGTTGACATTGTAGGTTGCAGATTGGAGGTGTCTACACTGACCTCTGGCTTGTTGTTCACTTGCAAACAATAATCATTCTAGAGGCCTAGTTTAGCATTTTTATATCACTATCCGTTTACTGCTTTGGACATGAAATGCAAATTAACTAGGCCAGCCTTTTTATATTGCCCCACTCATGATGGCCTATTTGTGTTGCTGTTCCAGTTATCACTTAGATGTGATGAATTTTGCTCCATTGAAGTTATTGGTCTTTTGATTTGGTACATGCTGCTGCCTCATTTATGAAATTACTTGCCTTGGTGATGAAATAACATTCATCTTGATCTTTTGTAGCTATCAAAATGCTAGTTTTGGTCAGTGGTGTTGTCAGTTGTGTGACTTACTTGGATGGTGTATGATATCTATCTTGGAAATGTGACAACTTTAAAATGCAGCTTTGTTGATATTAATTTTGGTCTATTGTGTTGTTCCAGTTATCACTTAGATGTGATGAATTTTGCTCCATTACAGTTTTGGTCTTCAAATTTGGCGTATGCTGCTGCCTTGTTTATGAAATTACTTGCCATGGTGATGAACAGTATTCATCTTGATCTTTTAATAGCTATGAAAATGCTAGTTTTGGTTAGGTGTGATTCGACTTGTGGTATTACTCAGGATGGTGAATGATAGTATCTATCTTGGAAGTGTAATAGTTATTTGAAATGCTAGTTTTGTTGATCTTAATCTTGAATTATGGGTTTTGGCATGTAACTCTCTTTAATCTGGTGGAGATGCTAGGTTGGTTTTCAGAATTTCTATATGTGCTTTCAGGATTTATTACATCATTGTTGGTCACTTTGATTTATCCATTGCATTAAAAGTTACAGTAGCTATCATTGACTGGCCTAAATCTGCTTTACATGTGAACATGTCTACCATGGCCTACCTTGTTTCGTTGTACAACACTATTAGTTGGACTGCAACCTTTTCTGTTTCTGCAGCCTGTGATAATGTGTGAGCCTCCCTCCGAGGCAATTGATTTAAGTTTGTCATCCGCACATCATGGTGCATCAGGTTTTACTCGGCGAAGGACTGGATTTATTCTCCTTTTCCATTTCTGCTGAACACAAGAGGTAAGCCTGCTTTACATTTGTCATAAGGTTTGTTTGTTTAGCAGTCATTGAGAAACGAGCTAGAGAATTTCTTTGCGATGTTCGTTGAGCATTATCTGTGGTGGTCTGTACTACATTTGTCACCAAATTCTTGCAAGAAGATCAGGAGATTCAGGCTAGCACACACAAAGAAAAAAAAAACCCTGCTTTCTGTTCATTTAGGAACAAAACTTTACTTTATTATTGGTAGCTTAGCTGAACTTTTTGCTATCAAGTGCACTGTTTACAGGGAGGAAACAACACTACTAACCTCAACAACCCTGCTAACCTCTGCACCATTGAAACAGACTAAGCTAAGAACTGAAACGATCAAGAACTCCTATATTTGACAGTTGTTGCCATTTTCATTTTCCTACAAGAAAGTGTCCTTACATTGCAGGCTCTTGAGAAAGAATCGAAGAATCGAAGAAGAAGAAGCAGTGCGTTCCAGAGTATGTGATGTGCGTTGGCTGCTAGTGATTGACAATTACCCAGACGGCGTAGATGATCCCCGGGAAGTAGCCCAAGAATGTGAGCAAGAGGCAGATCCAGAACTCGATCTGATAGTCCATCCAGGCGAGAAGCCAAAATTGCATATTAGCATCGACGCCAAATCAAAATGATCAAGCAGAATGCGAAATGGGGATTCTGAATATGCAGATTTCAGAGAGAGAGATTGGAGGAAGCTTACCTCGCAGCCGACCTTGAGGAAGACGCCGAGGGGAGGCAGGATGATGGCGATGACGAGGTCCACGAACGTCGCCGTCCTGTCGGCCATCGCCGGCGGCCTGTCCGCCATCGCCGGCCGATCGACCACAAACACCGGCAAAGGCGACGCAAAGGCGGGGAGAGGATGGGAGGAGACGAGACGACGCGGTGTCAGCGGGAGCAATTCACCAAGTTTAGGGGGACACAAAAGCCTAATCCAATCGCCCAAAGTGCATGTCAATTTTTAGCCTCTTACTAATTAACTAGTATTGTGGCCCGCGCAAATTGCGCAGCTAGCTACCAATATTCCTTATTTTCTATTCCAAATTTTCTTTTTTTTTTCTAAATTGTATTTTTATATAGATTGTAAACTCTTATTTCAGTATTTTTTTATTTTTTATTTTTATAAATTAAAGTTATAAATTGTATTTCTATATAGACTCATATGTCTACTTCTATTTTCTTTTTTTAATTTCAAATTTTAGTTAGTTCTAAATTGTATACTAATATGGATTCTAGTTTTTTCTTTCAATATTCCTTTTTTTAATTCGAATTTCAGCTATTTAAAATTGTATTTATATATGGACTCTATTATTCTTTTTATCTGATTTCATATTTCAATTAATTATAAATTGTACACCATTATGAACTTTAGCCTTCTCTTCTAATATTTATTATTTTTTAATTATCTATGTAAATTGTTTTTCTATATGGACTCCGATTAATATGAGAATTTCTAGGCCATGACAGCAAACACGGAGTCTAATTTTCTTAGGCTATCTTTAGATCCAGGGTGAAAATTTTTGCCCTGTCACATCGGATATACTGACACACATTTGAAGTATTAAACATAGTCTAATAACAAAACAAACTACAGAATCTGCCTGTAAAATACGAGGCGAATTTATTAAGCCTAATTAATCCGTCATTAGTAAATGTTTACTGTAGCATCACATTATCAAATCATGGCATAATTAGACTCAAAAGATTCATCTCGCAATTTACATGTAAACTGTGCAATTGATTTTTTCGTCCACATTTAATGCTCCATACATGTGTCCAAACATTTGATGTGATGTTTTTCGCCAAATTTTTTGGAATCTAAAGACACCCTATATTAAATCTAAACTGTTATAATCTGAATCTACTATGACCCAATGGTTATTTTTTTTCTCTTTTTCTTGATTAGCATGGGAATTTCTATTTTTCTTGTCCGTTTTCACTTTTTTCTATCTTTCTTGTCCGTTTCCAAGTTATTTTTGTCCGTTTACTCTTTGTTTTTTTGTCCGTTTCCAAGTTTTTTTTGTCCGTTTCAGCTCTTAGGTTTTTATTTTTTGTCCGTTTCCAAGTATTTTTTTGTCCGATTCGAATTTTTTTTGTCCGTTTCTAAGTTTGTGTTCTTTGCAAAGTACTCCTCCTTCTATTTTTCTTTTTTTCTTTCGATTAACGTGGGATTTTCTAGGCCGTGAGAGCGAACGTGGAAGCTTCTTTTTCTATTACTTTATAGATATAATAGATAGATTTGCTACTCCTCAGAGTCAGTACTGACGCTAAAAATTATCGTTGTTTTTATTACCATTCGACAGCACAGATGATGGTGACGATGGCAACAGATGAACGATCGATCCCCTTCACTTTCGTCTGTGCTGGTATGCTGATTCTGCTCATGGAGGACAGGATGCAGTCATCAGCTTGGCTAGTGGAAACATGAGGCGTGTCCGAGAGAAAAGCATCAATTGCCACTACATTATCTGTCGCCATTTGCCGATACAGTCGTGTGCGTTTCTCAGTCTCGAAACGACACCTAGGACTTTTAGGACAGAAACAAAAGGGCAAACGGCGCCTCCGTTTTTTCTTGGCTCACTCAATCACCTCGCTTACATCGCCATTCTGTCATGGCATTTGGCAAAACAGTAGCACACACTAATCTCTCTTTGAGCAAGTTTAATATTATATCCAACTATTAGCTTCAAATCATCTATAGTCAATTTAATAGCCAATTCATATAATAGTTACCTATAAACATATACTAACTAATAATAGCTGGTCTTACGTACCATACGCACATCGTGTCATGAAGTCCGTACTGCAGTTATCTACAAATCTATTATCTCCTTAAAATATATTTATAGCTAGCTTGTAGTCCGACAACCTACTCTTATCACTAACCACAGTCTTCTCCTAGCTTATACCTTGTTCCAAAGCTGCTTTTCCTTGTTCTTATCACACGTCTTTTGACATATGGCGCACGCACCTCTCCTCGCTTTTCACGGCTCGCACGGCATCAATAGTCCCTCCGTTCTAAAATACATTCCAAATAAATCAATCTACGTGATACTTCCTGATACATCAAATCTAAAAATAAGCATTTAAATTTATTACCTCCTCCATCCCAAAATATTTGACGTCGTTGACTTTTTTAAAAGTGTTTGACTGTTCGTCTTTTTTAAAAAAATTAAGTAATTATTAATTATTTTTCCTATCATTTGATTTATTGTTGAATATACTTTTATGTATATATATAGTTTTATACATTTCATAAAAAAATTTAATAAGACGAACGGTCAAACATATTTAAAAAAGTCAACGACGTCAAATATTTAGGGGAGAAGGGAGTATATTAAAATGTGTCAGCTGTAGTGTAGGAGGTTAATTTATTTCGGAATTGAACGAAGACTACTTAATCCAATACCAACGGCCAACCTCCGACATTGTACTTGTCAGTTGTCACTCTGCTCAGCTGCGGTCGCCAACGAGGTGCTGCAATGGCCATGCCCATGCCGATGCCGCCGCCGGGGCCGGGCGGCGACGCGCCACCGGCGCCGACGATGATGCCCGGCATGGCGATGCCGATGACGACGGGCATGTCCTTCACCTGGGGCCACCGGGCGGTGGTGCTCTTCCCGCGGTGGCCGGGCGACCGCGCCGGCGTCGGCATGTACTTCCTCTGCCTCCTCCTCGTGCTCGCCCTCGCCGCGCTCGCCGAGGCCCTCTCCGCGGCGTCGCGCCGGCTCGACCTCGACCTCGACCTCTCCCGCTCGCGCGGCCGGCGGCGGCGGCGGCGGCAGCAGCTGCTCGCCGCGGGCGTCCACGCGGCCAGGATGGGGCTCGCCTACCTGGTGATGCTCGCCGTCATGTCCTTCAACGCCGGCGTGCTCCTCGCCGCCGTCGCCGGCCACGCCGCCGGGTTCCTCCTCGCCCGGAGCGGCCTCCTCGGCTCTCGCGCCGCCGCGCCGGAAATCGACGGCGCCGCCGCCGCCGCCGCCGCCACGTCGAATGGTTCTTCTCTCCATCCATCGTCAGAGCCGAAACCTTAAAAAATATGTAATTCTCTTCATGCTGTCCCGTAATTACCAGATAATGAAAGTTGTAGTCAAAGGAGATTATATTAAAAAAAGACTGCAAAATTGTACTGCATCAAAATGGTTTATTACTGATCGATCGTCTCTCGATCTGAATTTCGTTTTCACTCCTGAAATCCAAGAACTTGTCAGGCTTGTCCTGCAGCTTCAGTTTTTGACTTGTCAAAATTACAAGATAAGTGCAAGTATTAATCACACTGACTTGCTGGCTAGTGGCTACACTCTTGAGCTGGTAGTACAGTATCTACTAATAATTGGCAGCTAGGTTACTGTAGCTGTCGTAGATTGGCTCAAGCTAGCTGCGGCCATGGCGACCTTGCTGCTGCTGGCCGTGGCGGCGGCGGCGGCGGCGTGGGTGTGGTGGGGGCGGTACGCGTGGCGGGCGCGGGCGGTGGCGAGGAGGCTGGCGGCGCAGGGGGTGCGGGGCCCGCGGCGCGGCGGGTTGCTGCGGGGTTGCAACGACGAGGTGCGGCGGCGGAAGGCGGAGGCGGAGGCGGACGGCGTGGCCATGGACGTCGGCGACCACGACTACCTCCGCCGCGTCGTCCCGCACTTCGTCGCCTGGAAGGAGCTGTACGGTACGCACCCCCCTCTTGGCCCTGTGGCAACAAGAGCAAGAAGAAATTAATCCTGTGCTTAATTGAATTAATTCTTTGGATAATTCATAGAATTTTCGATCTCTATATCTACAGAATCAAATAGTAATAAAGAAATACTACTTGGTTTCCACTGAAAATTTTCCGCGTCTCACAACTGAGAAACAACAATATAAAGAACAGCAACAATAAAGCCTCGATCTTCCGTTGCCTAACATGTCATATCGAATCTAACCATTACATCGGATTCCAGCCACTCCGGTCATCACCGGCATCGACAATTGAATGAATGATCAAACTCCATCACAAGAAATTTCTGGGGTTTTTTTTTTTGTTGTTAAAAGCACAAGGACATGAAGAATAATTATATTGTTTTCATATAGCCTTTTTTTAACGAAAGATGTTTTCATGCCTTCTTTGCTAGGATCTTGTCTCAGGCGGTCAAGCCTCAAGCCCGGGGGATATATTGGACATAGTAGAAATGTAAATCATCTATTCTTTGGGTATCAAAGATGAATATACTATTAATTAAAAAGATGTTGAGCAGTGCAGAGTGGAAAGTTTTATGCCATAATATTATACCTGTCGATAGAAACAGAACATATATATCCCTGTTCTTTTCGGATGAATGGATTAACGAACAATGTTTCCCAAACTCCTAAACAATATGTCTTTTAAGACATTTTGTGTATATGACTTTCTTAGAATATTTTCTAAATCTATTTTTCAACTTTGTAATAGTTAATTTATTTGTTTGCACCCTCAAATAATTATTACAAATCATTCGGCTATTTAGCCCTTCAAGCCACACAAGATCATATGACAAGTGAGAGACACACAAGATCATATAACAAGGGAGAACATGTAACAAAAATGGGGAGAGAAAAACCTAGCAGAAATGACCATGCCTAGAAGAGAAAAAAATGCCATAGTTAAATAAGTCACCAAATACTCCCTGTTCAATGCAGAAAAATAGCCTATTCAACTATATATCTTGTAAATAAATTTCAGTGATTTATATGAACCTCCAACCTGTACTTCTTGACTGTGGGAGTGAGAATATGCAATTCTGAAGCCATTCCACTTCAGCAACTATATATATACTAACTCTTCAAATTATATGTTTTCATTTGAATGGTGTGTAGGAACGCCATTTCTGTACTGGTTTGGCCCTCAACCCCGAATCTGCGTCTCCGATTACAACTTGGTTAAGCAAATCCTTTCGAAGAAATATGGCCATTTCGTGAAGAACGACGCACACCCAGCTATTCTGTCAATGATCGGCAAAGGGCTGGTGCTGGTGGAAGGCGCAGATTGGGTGCGGCATCGTAGGGTGCTCACCCCAGCTTTCACCATGGACAAGCTAAAGGTAAATGGTCATTCTAACCTGGCTCCAATTTCTAGCAATGGATTCCTAGTTCCTTCAGAAAATCTACTCAGATTTTGTTTGGGAGAAGCTTCCTATTCCTAATTCTAATCAAATTTATTTCACTGTTCTGCATTTAGGTGATGACAAAAACAATGGCCAGTTGTGCTGAATGCTTGATCCAGGGGTGGTTAGATCATGCATCGAACAGCAAGAGCATAGAAATAGAAGTGGAATTCAGCAAACAGTTCCAAGATTTGACGGCAGATGTTATATGCCGTACAGCATTTGGGAGTAATAGTGAGAAGGGAAAAGAAGTGTTCCATGCACAGAAACAACTGCAGGCCATTGCCATAGCAACAATACTCAATCTGCAATTACCAGGATTCAAGTAAATCTATCTATTCATATTTCACCAGTACTTTTTTTTCTTGGTACAACCTTACTGCTAACGAATGGCTTCTTTTTGATTGTAGGTATCTCCCTACCAAAAGGAACAGATGCAAGTGGAAGCTAGAAAACAAGTTAAGGAACACGCTCATGCAAATTATACAGTCCAGAATTACCTCAGAAGGAAATGGATACGGCGATGATCTTCTTGGCGTGATGCTCAATGCTTGCTTCTCAACAGAGCAAGGAGAAAAACGAGATGAGCTGATCCTGTGCGTGGATGAGATCATAGATGAATGCAAGACATTCTTCTTTGCAGGGCATGAAACCACATCGCATTTGCTTACATGGACAATGTTCTTGCTCAGTGTGTATCCAGAATGGCAGGATCGGCTGAGAGAGGAGGTCCTGAGAGAGTGTAGAAAGGAAAATCCAAATGCAGACATGCTTAGCAAACTGAAAGAGGTAAGAATATACCGTGCATGGATTGCGCAAATTAAAACAGAATTTAGTTCTTGAAAGTATGTTTTGGAGGCTACGGTTTGACAAGCGTTTCTGTTTTCTATTGTTGTGGCATGTCAGTTGAATTATTCTTAGTATCTCATTGTGGCAATTTGTAGCTGTAGCTAACATTGAAGTTTGATATTGCAGATGACAATGGTGCTACTTGAGACACTGAGACTCTATCCCCCAGTTATTTTCATGTTTAGAAAACCTATCACCGATATGCAACTGGGAAGGCTCCACTTACCTAGAGGCACTGCGATTGTGATACCTATTCCAATTCTGCACCGAGACAAGGAGGTTTGGGGTGACGATGCCGATGAGTTCAACCCGCTGAGATTTGCAAATGGGGTCACAAGAGCAGCAAAGATCCCACATGCTCATCTGGGATTCTCAATAGGACCAAGGTCATGCATCGGTCAAAACTTTGCAATGTTAGAAGCAAAGTTGGTGATGGCCATGATCCTGCAGAAGTTCTCCTTTGCTCTTTCGCCAAAGTATGTCCACGCACCTGCAGATCTGATAACACTTCAGCCAAAGTTTGGTCTTCCCATACTCCTGAAGGCTCTGGATGCATGAGATAATAGTTTTGTATGTAGCTACTATTAGTATGATTTATAAAATATGTATATTACGGGGTTGCTAGAGCTTCGGGCGTTATAGTTCTTATCCACCAGAAAGTACACCATAAAACTAGAAGATATGCTGAAGAAAGGCTGCAATCTACATTGTTCAGTGTATTCTGCATGTCCAGTCTCTTATTATCTATAAAACTTGTCAAGGATATGCCCAGATTATGTGTAGAAGATATAAAACCTTCAAAGTCTAATCTGAATTTTGGATGGACCACCTGATAGCTTGGTCTAGCAGCTAAAGATAGAAAGCCCAGTTACTGCCTGATTTGGAGCTCTATATATTGGCCTGTATGACAACAGTGGAAAAGCAAAGGTTGCCCACTCAATAGCATTTATGCAGTAAGTCCAAATTGTCCTTTCAGCTTTGGGTGCTCCATTGATTGCCACAAGTCATATCTAATATTCAATTCGTCTGTATGTGAACAACATATTTCTTATGTGAAAATGAAGTACAACCAATACATGGTGTGTACATCTCGAGAAAAAGAGAGATGGATGACACCTGTTTGAATGGATTGCACATGACATGAATAGTCCAGCAGCTATGGCTGTCAAACTGATCTGTCCTGAACTAGTGATTAAAGAACAGGACAAGTGATAACGAATGCAGGGTTGTTCAATTGTTAGCACACTGTTGTGTCATATGGTTTAAAACACCTCTAGAAAATATTAAAACAGGAGAATCAAAACATCCATGTCAATCAATTGGTAAGGGTAAAGGTTGAGTGCTACTAGGAATTCTATGAGAAGGTGTAGACAGCTGCAGTGCTCAGCCTGAGGCTGTGTTTAGTTCATGAAAAAAGTTGAAAGTTTGGGGAAAGTTGGAAGTTTATGTGTGTAGGAAAATTTTGGATGTGATATGATGTGATGGAAAGTTGGAAGTTTGGGGTAGTTGGGGGTGAACTAAACACGGCCTGAGTCCCTTAACAGAATCCAATTATGATTCTTCTAGTGAAGACACAATAAATGAAGAGATGCACACATGTCTCGGCCTCAACAGAGCCCATATTTGATACATTACCTTCTCTCTCTTTTTTTTAAGAAACGACAGTAGGAGTTCTACCAGAATTTAATTGACCCTGTTTATAAGGAAAACCAGATCAAAAACCATACAACTGCACAGTTTTGCTACAGGGAACCCGGCGAAACCCCACAGAAGACAAAGCAAAAAAACCTGTGGCAAAACAACCACGAACCATAATGGTGACCGAGAGAGGAGCAAGACCTTCAAGGCGAAACCTCCAAGGAGGGAAGTAACGACGGAAGCCGCTACCAACGCCCGCCTAAAAAGGACAGGGTTTTCACCCAAAGGGAAAGAGAGTCAGCAAGGCAACACCTCCATGGAGGATACGGCACCCGCAGGCGTCGATGTTGCCGATCCTGGAATACCAGGCAGGGCTTTTGCCCGAGACTCCCTTGAAAGGTGCAGGACCTCCAAGAAACTAGAGCAGAGTGCTGAGAGTTATCGTTGCCCAGCTCATCGGCTAAACCCGATGCATTACCTTCTCTGCTGAGCCATGTAGATTGGTGGCTGTTATTTTCATTCCACTTACGGTAATGCAGTGTCCCTTTCAGTTCATCAAGGGACAGAGGATAGCATACCTGATACCTTCATTTGCTACTTGATGTTGATTGTGCCATGACGTCCTACTATCTGCATGGCGTCATGCATGACCTCATCTTCTGTATCTCCTGTACGATTTCAATTGCATACATACAAACTAAAAAAATGTCTCTACTCTGAAAGTGGCCGCACAACCCAAAAAGACCAGGTAAATGCATACGAGAAATTTGTAAAGTAAATAATTCTCTGTTCCATTATTTTTCTTCTAGAAAAAAGGCAGCAGGATCTCTGCCCCAATATTTGAGATAGAAACAGCATGGATTCTAAACTGAGATTAATACACAAGTAGGCACTGTACGGTGTACGATTAGAAAAAACAGAATGCACAAGAGAACAGAGTTCTTCCCCAGTTCTTTAATGACATAAAACACAAACTATGAAGCTAGAAGGATGTGCAACAAGGCAAAACCTGGTTCTGGTGTTTCCATGTAGTTATCCTCGATGTCACTCTTACAGCTTCATCTTCTGATTGCCATAGCCTCAAAGGTCGTATCTCCTCTTTCACACTATCGTTAAGAAGTGATAGAAAGGAAATTCAGCATGGTTTCTAGAACAAAAGGATTAGATTCATGACTACAAATTAATACACAAGTAGGCACTGTAGCATGTACGATAAAAAACAGAATGCACAAGAATAGAAAACAGAGTCCTTCTGGGCAATATGCCTTTTCTCTAAAAAAATATAGTCCTTCCCCAATCTGTTAGCGACAAAAGGACACAAAATATAAAGCTAGAAGGATACACAAAATATTGTAGAAATCCGTCGTGTCTCACTCTCACAATTTTACCTTCTTTTTTTCATAACCTCAAAGGTTGGATCTCTCTATCACACTATTGGTAAGAACCCCTTTCATGTAGTTTCCCTGGTAAATTGAACTATGCTGTTGCTCTGACATGAAGAAGTTAATTTTGAATGTGCTTACACCGAAGTCTTTTTTTTTTTCATTTCCACTCAGCCAACTACTAGAACAATGTAGAGAGAGAGAGAGAGAGAGAGCAAAAAATTAGTTTCGCAAGGACCACCTTCAGGGCTAGAAGGCTAGGACAGACACATGTAAGGACCAACTTTTTTCTTATGTCATCTTTTGTATAAATACACCATAAAAACTATAAATGGCCGAGGATATGCAAATACTCCCCAGTTCCTTGAAAAAACCATATCTCTACTACTATAAAAGCATTGCCATCCTCCTCCCTCCCCATCACATTGCGTGCACAACCAGCAATCCTCGAGAAAACCAGAAAAAAAAAATCAAATGGTTGGTTAAAAAAAACCCAGAAAAGGCGGTTAGTTAAAAAAACAACCGGTTGGATCCTATCTCAGTCATGCAGCTCATTCTCATATGGGCCTGTTACAATGCACGGGCATGGTACTAGTGACTATAAATATTGCACCACCTTCCTTTCCTCTCCTCTCCATAATCCACCACCTCTTTGCCATGGCCTCTCTTGCTCTGGTTTTCCTTGCCCTCTTGTTGCCTACCATCTCATGGCTATGGGACTACATCATTGTGCCCCATATATGGAGGCCTTACATTGCAGCCAAGAGGCTCAGGGAGCAAGGAATCCGTGGACCACCCTACAAGTTCTTGAAAGGCTGCAATGAGGATGTGAAGAAAATGAAGGATGCTGCAGATGATCTGGTTCTTGATGTTCATGACCACAATTACCTCCCAAGGGTTATGCCATAGTACCTGAAATGGAGATCTCAATATGGTACTAGATCTGCTCAATGCTTTTTTTTTTAATATGCTGTTGTTTTAGTGCTTGGTTAGCAATGCTGTATGGTGGCCAAGCAACCTGACTGACAATTTTCAAAGCTAAATGCTCATCCTTCACTATAAAACTAAGAATAGATCACTAATGTGGATGGTAAGCAACATTGCAAATGTGAATTGTTGCAGGAGAGCCCTTTGTATACTGGTTTGGGGCAAAGCCTCGAATCTGCATCTTCAACTATGAGTGGGCCAGGCAGATTCTTTCAAGCAAGTCAGGACACTTTCTGAAGAATGACACTACCCCAACAGTGTTGGCGTTGCTTGGCAAGGGACTAGTACTGGTCGAAGGAATTGATTGGGAGCGCCATCGCAGAGTAATCAACCCTGCTTTCACCATGGATAAGATAAAGGTAATCTTATCTCAATCGTCTTAACATGTAGGTGTGCTAGTGCTACAGAACTGAGTATGGAAATGCACCCCAGAAACTATAATAGGTTGAGCAGAAAACTCGAGGCAACTTAAACTAGGTTGTTATATGTTTGCATGTCCATTTGCAATTTCACATGACAGTTCGTTTGTAGTAAGAAAACACCAGATAAAAAGAAACCAAAATATCGAAACCATAATGAAAAAAAAATCAAAACAAGACAATAGAAAATATATCATACCCAACACATTTAATTGCAACAAAATTAATATTAGTATCGCTTCACTTTGATATCCATGCAGATGATGACAAAAACAATGGTAGCTTGTGCTCAAAACATGGTGAAGGAATTGGAAGATCAAGCATCCAGCAACAAGAATGGAGAAACTCAAGTGGAATTGGACAAACAATTCCAAGAGTTAACAGCAGATATCATATCTCATACGGCCTTCGGAAGCAGCTATAAGTTAGGAATAGAAGCGTTCCATGCACAGAAAGAGCTCCAGGAAATTGCTGTAAAATCTCTCCTCAACGTGCAGATACCAGGATTCAGGTAATATATCTAATACTCCCTTCCAAAGCTTGTAGAATGTGAAATTAAATCCCACGAACATGCAACCATATTTTGGCTCATTCATTCATATATTTACTTCTTTTTTTTTTTTAGTTCAGCTACCTTCCTACAAAAGGGAATTGGAGGAAATTGACACTTGAAAAGAAGCTTAGGGGCACTCTCATGCAGATCATACAATCCCGATTATCATCAAAAGGAAGTGGATACGGAAGCGATCTCCTTGGTTTGATGCTTGAGGCTTGCATTGCAACAGATCAGGGAAGGGAGCAACATCAGCTCAGCTTAAGCATCGATGAAATTATACATGAGTGCAAAACATTCTTCTTTGCTGGTCATGAAACCACGTCACTTCTTCTTACCTGGACAGTGTTTTTGCTCAGTGTGTATCCAGAATGGCAGGCAAGACTCCGGTTGGAAGCTTTGAGGGAATGTGGAAAAGAAAATCCAAATGGTGACAACCTTAGCAAACTGAAAGAGGCAAGAAAACTAGTACCTATGTTGCCTTTTATAATCTATTTTGATATCTTTTTTTTCTTGTGATATGTAACTCCATGTGTATCATTCTAATAATAATGGTTCATGTATGGCTAACTACAACATAACATATATATATATATATATATTGCAGATGTCAATGGTATTCCTTGAGACCCTAAGGCTCTATGGTCCTGCTCTTTTCCTTCAAAGAAAACCTCTAACAGATATTACAGTAGGAGAAACAAAAATACCCAAAGACCATGCAATTATCATACCTTCAGCAATTATGCACCGGGACAAGGAGATTTGGGGTGACGATACAGATGAATTCAATCCATTAAGATTTCAGAACGGGGTCACAAGAGCAGCCAAAGTTCCACATGCCCTACTGGCATTCTCAATAGGGCCAAGGTCTTGCATCGGTCAGAATTTTGCGATGTTGGAAGCCAAGTCAGTTATGGCTATGATCCTAAAAAAGTTCTCATTCACACTTTCCCCTAACTATGTTCATGCACCTGTAGACCTGTTAACTCTTCAGCCTAAGTTTGGTCTTCCTGTTGTTCTAAGGCTACTGGATGCATGAAGTTAGATGATTTACATGTTACCAAACTTAAATGGAATCTGTATGCCAAAGGTTGCTACTGACCTACGGCACTATACATTGTACCCCACAGTGGATGTATCCTTATAAAATAAAATAGCTCGGGCCATGATTCAATGTGAATTACTGTTCTGGTGCAAGGTTGGTACCATTTTAGCATAATACTCCGTATATAGATTTAGTATGGATATTATACTATCATTGCGCGCTACACTTTCGGGGCAACATATTTTTTTTTCTGAGGTATCTTTGTGATGCTACTTATGATTGCAGGTCTCCTCTGAAAACCACACAAATTATTTCAAATTCTTATTTGCACATAAAGTAATCGAATACGCAAATCCCTTGTAAATTCACTTCCATAGCAAAACAATTGCAAAATTGAAGGTTAGTAATCTTGTAGATAATTTTCTGCAAGCACTGCTATCGTTGCAAAATACCAGCAGTAGCTGTGCAGGTTTCTGCTACCTTTGGCTTATGAAGGAAGAAATATATAACCTATATATAGATCAGCTGATTTTTCATGTGGTTTTGATCCCAAGGCCACTGGATTAGATTCCATAGAGTTGCTTGTTCAATTTGATAATTTCACATGGTAAGGAACTCAGCGCGTAAAGCGATGAACACTTTTGATTTCTGAAGTGGGCAAGTATATATATGATTTGGAACAAAGAGAGAGACATGAGCAGCATCAAGTACATCCAAGCAGGGCATCCGGGAGCTCACCTCCGGCGTGGGCGATCGAGAAGGATCAACCACCACGGGGCCGCTCCATTGCCGGCCCTCGACCGCTGCGCCCCTTGCTGTTGGGGATGTAGCGCACCTTGCCCAGCCATGTCAGACGCGCCTCGCCGGGCGGCTACCACCACCATCACCAGCCGGCCGGCCGGCCAGCTCCAGTCCCCCGGCGCCCGGCATCCTACTGACGTCGACCCCCCTCCCGACGACCCGACCGCCACGCGCGCAGCGGCGCGGCGGCGGCGGCGAGAAATCAGGTTGCTTGGGTCATCAGTTCGGCACGATGACGGGGAAAGGAAAAATCGATTTGACGCCTTGTGCCGCGGAACAAATTTGCGATTTGTCACGGATTATTTACCCTGTCTTTAAAAATAAGTTTTCTTAAAAAAAATTGAGGGAGACTATTCTACTTTTTTTAAAAAAACTGTTATCTTTGTGGAGTTTTTTTTTTAAAATATTTAATTTATCTATATAGTTATATAGATAATCGGTAATAATAATTTAGTGAATAGTGTATGTTTCAATCTAATAGATGGAAAGCTAAACTTAGGGTGCGATGGTTTTAACTTTTCAGGATTAGATTCTCCTCGTTTTTCGTTAGCACGTTTTTCAAGCTGCTAACCGGTATATTTCGTGCGAAAACTTTCTATAAAGAAGTTGTTAAAAAATCCAACAAATTTATTCATAAAAAAATTATATTATAATACTTAATTAATTATATGCTAATATTATTTCTCGTTTTGCATGCGGCTAAACAGTCCACCGCCACCGCTGAAACGTTCTCACCCTTACTCGAAAAGTACTAGAAAGTATATAGCTAATAGCTCCCTGTTTGTTGTAGCAGAACGAGAAGGGCTGCTTCAACCCCTAGGGATCCCTCACCGCCTCTTCGACCACTCCATGGTGAACTCCTCGTGACCATGCAAATCCTAGCCAACTTTGGAGGGGTTTTTGTCAAAAAAAAAACTTCTTCAAATGTTCAGCTGTGTCGATCCATTGTGAGGATGGTGACTCGGCTATGATCCAGGGCGAACTGCCATGTTCGGTCGCATCCTTCCTGTGCAAATATCTTGACATTCCTCTCTCCACCCATAAATTGAGGAAGATAGACCTGCACCCATTGTTGATAAAGTAACTTGACGACTGCTCCTATAGTAAGCGGAGAAAATGGTGCCAATCGGTATCATGAAGGTGAAGGGAGTCCTAAGCTCAATTTCAATCTATTTATTGGTTTCAAGTGGATGCACCAAAATGGTTCCTTAAAGGAATTGGCAAAATCTACCATGGATTCCTCTAGGCTGGATGGGCAAATGCACAGGGTGGGCATTGCCATGTTGCCAGGTCAAAAGTTTGTGCCATAGTCAACTATGGCAGCCTTGGTATCCTAAATCTTGGGCTCATGGGTGAAGCCCTTCATTCATGATAGATTTGGCTATAACGCACATCACCGTTGAAGCTTTGGTAGGGACTAGTGATCCCAAGCTTGCAGAAAAAGCGCGACTTTGCAACAACGTTGGTGAATAGAGAGTCTGCCTCTTCTGTGAGAACAATTGGTACATGCATGAGGGACTCGTTCCTTGGCGCCGACTATCCACGACCGCTTCCCCACACGCATCTGTCACCGTAGAACGGTTGCACAAGCACTGCAAGCTAGCACATGGATAAGATATATCCAAGGTGCTCTAGGGATCCATACCATCTTGGAATATTTGCGGCTATGGTCTTTGGTCAGTTCAGTTCAACCCATCAATGACTAGTCGGATCAATTCATCTAGAAATGGGAGAACTCAGGGGTGGTACTCTTCCTATTCTACTTATCAAGCCATGTTCATAGGTCGAATTACTTTCCAATCTTCAATTTGGAAATCTCTGGCTCCTCACGTTGCAAACACTTTCTTTGGCTTGTGGCACTTCGGTGTTGTTGGACTGCGGATAGGCTTGCAAAGAGAGGACTCCCGCATCCAAGCCACTGCATTCTCTGTGATCAAGATGAAGAAAGCATTGATCACATACTAGGTGCATGCTTGTCCGGAATCAAGATAGCTACGGTGGCTTGTATTCAATACAATAGGGTGCACATGTTGTTTACCGATGGCCGAATCATCCTTTCATACATGGCTATGAGATAGCCAACCGAGGATCCCGAAAGAACGAAGGAGAGGTACTATTGTCACTCTAGGGGTTTAGTCTATCTAGAAAGCACGTGACGACAAAGTGTTTAATCAACAACAGTGGAACTAGGTCGACATTGCGAACACAATGGCGGAGGAGGCAACTCTTTAGCAGCTGATGAAGTTTGCAGTTCCACAACTACTTTTGTAGCACCGGTAGCCTAGGTCGCCACATCTATCGTGAGAATACAAATAGTGAAATCAGTCCCTTCTCCTCCCCTTCCTTTCCCTTTCCTTTTTCCTTTTTCCTTTTAGGTTCTCAGCTCTAATCAACTAACTTTACTTCCCTTAATCACTACAAGATTCCTAACTTTTACCAAGGGGGGTTTAAATCATCGGCCACCTATTAAAACTGCATCATTTCCGAGAGTTAAATTAAACCTCTCGGTTACCAATATACCCCGTCATCCACTTATAACCATTTCCGAGTGGTATCTTATAACTCGCACTCACTGATATATCCTGTCAGCCACATGCTACATAGCTGAATGTTCTCGTAACAACCCTCGTTAAAATTTCAAACGGTCGGCCACCTAAATCTTCCTGACGGTCTGTAGGATTTTTTGTTTGGATGCTTGGCAAATCTTAGGATTCTAATAGTGATACAATGATACACGAGTCTTATACATATTCCCCCAAACAAATGAAAGCTAATTAAACTAAAGCATGCCGCGCACAACAAGAGTAGCTAACGAAAGATCCACTAATTGGAGTAGGTTTAGAGTTTGTGCAATGATGCAGCTCCATCTCAAATTTGAAAAGAAATGCTTAAACCCAGTTTAAACAAATACTATTCGCATATATGCCTATTCATCTAGACCACACAACCAAAACCATTTGTCCATTTCCTGTCTCTTTCAGTCCTCCAGCAGTCCAGCATCAAGCAAGGCTGCAAGGGTTTTGGATTGGTAGCGTCGCGTGAAAAAGAAAACAAACAAACAAAAAACACAGGGCTGACGAAAAGAAGCCGCGACCAGATTATATTAAGATCATGAGGAAGTTAACGTTACAATTGTCAACAACATGGTTGCTGAAAGGAAGTTCTTAGCATCGCCAAGATCAGGTTCTTACCTCCGAAGTTAGATAAACTTTTGGATAAAAGTGGCAAGCTTTCCAAACGGCTAAACGGTACGTTTCGTACGAAAACTTTATATATGAAAGTTATTCTAAAATAATAGATTAACCCATTTTTCAAGTTCGTAATAATTAAAACTCAATTAATCACACGTTATTACCACCTTGTTTTACGTGAAACACTTAATCTTTTATCTTTACGAGATTCAAACACCACCTAGGGTAAAAACAAGGACCTATAGTTAAAAAATAACAAGAAGCAGAAGAGTAAATTTTACTTCGAACTACTATATATATATCCATCAAAGTTGCATAATAGATTAAACTAGACTCACCTTTTTACTTTAATGTCATTAAAAAATTGTATGATGATGTTTTGATTTATTTTTTATCAAGCAGAAAAAAATAAATCTTTAACGCCGGGAACGCATGTCACGAGCCATAGCTCTTTAAGGTGATCATGATTACTACCGAGCACTTTTCGAAAAGAAAATCGTTCTAACCAAATCAGAAAAATAAAATATATCCAAGATTGCATAGTTGACGATGCATATATGGTATCAGAGCGGATCCAGGTCTCGAACCAATGGAGCCATGGCCTGATGGAGCACTTTTCCCATCCTCAAGGAGGTACCATAAGATACGAGGTACTGTGAGATACCAATCTAATCCAACCGTTGGTTTAGGAAGGGTATGATGGGGCTAAAACAAATCACCGCCTGCTCGACTAAATCGCATCCACCGATGACAGCCTGATGAAAAGCATGGTTTGGCCTGATGAACTGAAGCGTGCTACGTGAGAGGGGCGTTGTACATGCTGCTGGTGATGGTGATGGGGTCTGCGTGCACCTACTCCTGCTGCTACCGCTCCAGGCTGCGCCAGCAATACGAGCTCCAGGAGAAGCCCTGCGGCGACAGCTGCCATGCCTGTGTCCACTAGTGCTGCGAGCCCTGCGCCCTCTGCGACCAACCTCCAGCTTTGGCTCACCGAGCTCTCGATGAAAAGCCACCACAACAATCGCCAAGCTCCGCCCTTGACCACCAAAAAAGACTGGATTTGGGTGACCGAGAGCCCGACGAATGGCTGCCGCAACCATTGCCGGCCTCCAGGTACCGCATCGACGAGCTCTTGCCCTTGACCACCAAAAGAATGACTGGATTTGGGTGACCGAGATCCCGACTAACTCCAAGGCAACGCAGTCGGATCCTCCCCACCACGGCCGCCATGCGTTGTTGCCTCCGTGCCGTCGTCGCATCCAAGGCGCCGCGGTCCCGCCATCGGATCCACCCCACCACGGCCACCGTCTCATCGATCCCGCCGCAGCCGCCATCTCATCCACCCCGCTACGGCCGTCGTCGCATCCACCCCGCTGTCGCTGCCACCGTCGCATCCATGGTGCTCTCTCTTGTCCTGCCTGTGATGCTGAAGAGATGTGTGCGAGAGAAGAAAGAGATGTGTGCGTCTGTGCGATGCGGAAGAGAACACGAAAAGACAAAAATACCCTTCCACCTATGGTACCGCATTGTTCCTTCCTGTAGTACCACGCGGTATAGAGGCTGTGTCAGCCGTTTGATGGGGCTAGATGGACGGCCACGATTCGGTACCGCATAGGGTCAAGGACAGTAAAAAATATCTCCAATGTGTGAATCAAAATACACTATAGGTCGGTCTCAGTCTCTTAGACCTTGATATACCACCACCATCAACCACCGAAATGACCTGGATATATATTGCACCATCTTCCTATCATCTGTTCTCCTCCCCTTTCTCCTCCAAAGCTACATTCATCCCTGTGTGTTCATGGACTCCATCCTTCTCCTGCCTCTGGTTGCTCTCCTAGTTGTTGCCATCTCATGGCTATGGGATTACACCGTCGTGCGACTGATTTGGAGGCCTCACTGCATAGCCAAGGAATTCAGAGAGAAGCAGGGGATCCGTGGACCTGCCTACAAGTTCTTGGGAGGCAACAATGGCGAAATCAGCAGGTTGAAGGAGGAGGCAGATGGCCAGGTGTTGGATAATCTTCGTGACCACAACTACCTCCCAAGGATAGCACCTCACTTCCTCAAATGGAGGGCTCAGTATGGTATCGCTTTGTGCTTAGTGTTTCCTTTTTCTTTTCTTGGGCCTGGTTTAGTTCCAAATTTTTCCTTCAAACTTCCAACTTTTTCATCACATCAAAACTTTCCTACACATATAAAATTCCAACTTTTCTATCACATCGTTCAAATTTTAACCAAACTTCTAATTTCGGCGTGAACTAAACACACTTGTTTGTGGTGATGCTTGTTGCTGTTCTTGCGTTTGGCTCTTTCTTTGTTGGAAGCATTTGCACCAAGGGAATTTTGATGCTACTTGTCAATCTCTCTCCTCTCTCTCTCTCTCTCACACACAGACACACACAATCAATCAAGTAGTATCTATCAGTGCTAAATACTACTCCCACGTCTCATTATAAATGCAACTATAAGTTTCCGTCCAACGTTTAATCGTCCGTCTTATTTGAAAAATTTATGAAAAAATTTATAAGTTAAGTCACACATAAAGTATTATTCATATTTTATCATCTAATAACAATAAAAATACTAATGATAAAAAATATTTCAAAAAAACGGATGGTCAAAGTTGGGCATTGAAACCCACAACTGCGCTTATTATGGGACGGAGGGAGTACTAATATAGAAACAACTCGAAGGGGGTGTTTAGATCCAGAGGTGTAAAGGTTTGGCGTACCACATCTTTCTATTAATTTATTAAAGGAATAGAAAAAGGAGCCTCCACGTTCGCTCTCATGGCCTAGAAATTCTCACATTAATCGGAGAAAAAGAAAAACAGAGTCCATTTAGGAATACAGTTTAAAAATAATTGAAATTCAGAATTGAAAATAAGGAATATAGGAAGAAAAGACTAGATTCCATACCGGTATACAACTAATGGAAATTTCGGAATTAAAAAAATAAGAAAAATAAAATTAGAGGTTAGATCCGTATAGTAATACAATTTAGAAATAATAAAAATTTGAAATTTAAAAATAAGAAATATTGGAAGAAGAATATAGAGTCCATATAGGAAAACAATTTTAAAATATCTAAAATTCGGAATTAAAAATAAGGAATATAGAAAGAAAAGACTAGAGCCCATACTGGTATACAATAGAACTAATGGAAATTTTGGAATTAAAAAAAATTAAAAGTAGAGGTTAGATCCATATAGAAACACAATTTAGAAATAACAAAAATTCAAAATTCAAAAATAAGAAATATTGGAAGAAGAATATATAGTTATATATGGATACAATTTAAAAATGGCAAAAATTCAGAATTTAAAATACAGAATATAGGAAGAGAAAATTAGAATCCATACCAGTATACAATATAACTAATGGAAATTCGAAATTAAAAAAAAGAAAACTAAAAGTAGAGGCTAGATCCATATAGAAATACAATTTAAAAATATTGAAAATTTGAAATTTAAAACAAGGAATATTGGAAGAAGAATATAGAGTCCATATAGAAATACAATTTAAAAATAACTAGAATTCGGAAGTTAAAAAAGAAATATTGAAAGAAAAATACAATTTAGTAATAATAGAAATTAGGAATTAAAATAAGGAAAATTGTAAGAAGAGTATAGAGTCCATATAGGAATTTAGTATTAACTAAAAATCAGAATAAAAATAAAAAAAATTAAAAGAGTACATATAGAAATACAATTTACAAATAAATAAATTAGAATTAGAAATGAATATTGGCACAATAGTCTAGAAACAACTTAAATTTGAAATTAAAAAAATAAATAATATCGAAAGATGAGTTTAGAGTCAATATAGAAATAAAATTAGAAATAATAAAAATTTAGAATAAAAAACAATATTAGAAGAAGAGTCTAGATTCTATATGGAAATATAATTTATAAAGAACGGAAATTCGGAATTGAAATAAGAAATATTGGAAGAGGAGTTTAGAGTTCATATAAGAGTATAATTTAGAAATAACTGAAATTATAAATTTAAAATAAGAAATATAGGAATACAATTTATAAATAATAGAAATTCATAATTAAAAAAATAAATAATGTTGGAAGAAGAGTATATAGTTCATAAAGAAATACAATTTGGAAATAACTAAAATTCAATATTAAAAATAATTAATAAATATCATGTATATACAATACATTACGAATATTACACATTGGTTAGTTTGATAAAGTTAGTACAAAATTTAAAATTTTGTTGTCATTTTAATATATTTTGATAATAAAATATAAAAATATATATGCTATTATACGAGAGATAATATAAGGATGCTAGCTGCGTAATTTGCGCGGGCCACCATGCTAGTTGGGTATTATATAGGATGTCGCAAGGGTTTTTCGGGCACTAACAAAAAAAACTAATTATAAAATCCGTCAGTAAACCGCGAGATGAATTTATTAAGTCTAATTAATCCATCATTAGCACATGTTTACTGTAGCATCAAATTGTCAAATCATGGAGCAATTAGGTTTAAAAGATTTGTCTCGCAAATTAGTCGCAATATGTGTAATTAATTATTTTTTAGGCTATATTTAATACTTCATGCAAGTGTTCAACTGTTCGATGTGACAGGGTGTAAAATTTTAGGGTGGGACCTAAACAGACCCGAAATAGCAAAAATAGGTGCTTGGATAGTACTAGTACTATCAAAAGTTTTGAATCTCTAAAATTCCGCTTGTTTTGTATCAGGTGTCCCATTTCAGATTAAATGGTGTACTTCCTTCAAATGGATGCTTGCCCCGACAGATGAAATTTGTTTGATGGCTTCTAATAATAATAATAATAATGATAATAATAATCCTTTTGTAATTCTTTAGCAGAAGTTTTCAACTCAGGGTCAAGAAACAGTAAGAAAATAAACAACGTTTCGCAACTCTTTTCACTAAAAAACGCAAGTCACGGAGTGAAAAGTACTTCGTTTGTTTGTTGAATACTACTGGAAAGTGGAAACACAATCAACTTTGCATCTCAAACAAATCAGAGGCATATGCTGAGAGATTTTGTAAACAATAGTTCTTTCAAATATGTATAATGAGATGCTGATGATGTACGAATATTTGAATGGTTGCAGGAGAAGCGTTTCTGTTTTGGTATGGAGCAAAGCCACGCATCTGCATTTTCGACTATGAGTTGGCTAGGCAGATTCTCTCGAGCAAGTCTGGACATTTTCTGAAGAATGATGCGCCCCCAACTCTGGTGGCCCTAATGGGCAAGGGATTAGTACTCTTGGAAGGCACTGATTGGGTGCGCCATCGCAGGGTAATCAACCCTGCTTTTAACATGGACAAGCTCAAGGTAACAGTAACACCACCATCAATCTCTTCTCATACCAACAGATTTCGAACTTCACCTGTAAGTTTTATGGTGTACATGATTTCAGATTACAGTCATGAGTGTATCTCTTTCAAGACCTCTTAATGTGTAAAACTTATTAGAGCTAGTGAGTCCAGAAAAAAGAAATATACAGGACTGCATACATAGAAGGCCATAGGTGAGGTATTTTTATTTCATGAATAATTTTGACTTTGTGATTTACAGATGATGATAAGCACAATGACGGGTTGTGCTCAAAGCTTGGCCAAGGAGTTAGAGGATGTCGCAGCCAAGAACAAGGACAGAGTAACAGAGGTCGACCTCAACCAAAAATTCAGATAGCTAACAGCAGATATTATTGCCCATACTGCCTTCGGCAGCAGTTACCAATTAGGCAAAGAGGCCTTCCAGGCACAGCATGAACTGACAGAGATCACCATGGCAACTTTATTTCAAGTGCAATTACCAGGGCTCAAGTAATAAACTCTGCTTCCCTCAATAGTCTTTTTTCCTTTTGTAAAACTGTCACTCACTTTCCTAATGGATTTGTAATATGTTCTCTCATTCTGGATGCAGCTATCTTCCTACTGAAAGAAATCGGCGCAAATGGAGGCTTCAGAAGAATCTCAGGGACACACTGATGCAGATCATACGATCGCGGCTATCATCAAAAGACGGCGGGTACGGCAACGATCTGCTCGGTTTGATGCTTGGCGCCTGCGCTTCAGACGAGCAAGGGGAGGCCAGCAGCTTGAGCATGGACGAGATCGTAGACGAGTGCAAGACGTTCTTCTTAGCCGGCCATGAGACCACCTCCCTCCTCCTCACATGGACCGTCTTCTTGCTCAGCGTGTACCCCGAATGGCAGGAAAGGCTCAGAAACGAGGTCTTGAGAGAATGTGGGACGGATCAGTGTCCTGATGCCAATTCACTCGGCAAACTGAAGGAGGCAAGGAACAAGAATCTCTTTCTCTACACCATTTAATTACATTTATCTTATATGTTTTAGTGTTTAAGAAAGCAACTTGTTCCGTTTTAGGATATAAGGTGTTTCGACTAAGTTTATAAAAAAACTTAGCAACATTATTGGCACCAAACAAATATATTATAAAGAATATCTAATGGTGGATGTAATGAAATTAATTTGACATGAATGCAATTCCTCCAACTTGATCAGATATTTAGGTTATGTTTGAGGAGCTTAAAATTCTGATAAGTAACTGTTTGTCAGTTAGCTTCTAAGAATCTGCCGGGTTTCCTAACTTTTATGTTCCATTTCATTTTCTATATTCTTCTTTATACCTACAGATTCTTAGAGTACATGTGAGAATCTGTACTGTTCGAGAACCTGGATCAAATAGGGTCTTTTTACTTGGGACCAAATCAAAAACACCTTACATTCCGAAACGACGAAGCGAGTAATTAACTACAAGAGTAGCATCTACATTTTGTTTGTTTGCAGATGACAATGGTGCTCCTGGAGACACTGAGGCTGTACAACCCGGCGCTCTTCATCCAGAGGAAGCCCACGGCGGACATCACGGTGGGATCGCTGGCGATCCCCGCCGGCGTCGCCGTCTACATCCCGGTCCCGATCATGCACCGGGACAGGGAGGTCTGGGGGCACGACGCCGGCGAGTTCAACCCGCTGAGGTTCCGGGACGGGGCGGCGAGGGCGGCGGCGGCGGCGGGGATCCCGCACGCGCTCCTGTCCTTCTCGATCGGGCCGAGGTCGTGCATCGGCCAGGGCTTCGCGATGCTGGAGGCGAAGGCGGCCATGGCCGCGATGCTGCGGAGGCTCTCGTTCCGCGTCTCCCCCGGGTACGTGCACGCGCCCGTGGATTTGATCACGCTCAAGCCCAAGTTTGGGCTTCCGGTGATCGTGAGGCTGCCGGATGCATGAAGTGGGGGTGTGTTTCGATCACGCGTATAGCAATAATAAAAACCAGTCAATAGTAATACCCTACGCTTTGCTGCGGAATATATGTTTATGTTTAAATAGCGTGGAAATGATGTGAAGATGATGAGTTGATATTGCTTGCATGTTAAGTTCTAAAAATACAACAAAATTGTAAATGTTGTGCCGTGTTTGCGTGAGATTGAAATCGGTAAATGATGTGTCATGGTTGTATGAGATTTAAGATACTCTAAATAATAATTGCTAGTGGATGATTATGTGACGTACTTTATCTATTGAGTTTTAGTAGTTAGTGGATACCAACTATATATAGAAGGTATAGATGGCATGATTTGATGATGTGTGGTGTATAACTAAAAGGCAAAATTTGTTACAAAACACTAGAAAATCATGTAATTGGCTGGGAGACACCGTAAAAACACAATACTGCCGATGGACACCATAAAATTTGTGTAATTAGTTGTATGACACCGGAGACAATATTTTATCATTTTTGGTGAAAAAGATGAGAGAGAAATTTTAAAAGGACATAAATGCCCTCAACCTCACACTCGTCGTTCACCCTCACACCCAAAATCCCCATCCAACTTAACTCTAGGCTACTGGTGGTGACGGCGAAGGCGGCGGCGGCGGCTTCGGCATCGGCCGTGGCTGGTTGCGGCGGCGGCGGCGGGTGACCGGTTGCTTTGATGGTGGCAGCAACTGGCGACCGGCTTCTTTTTTAACGACAGCTGGTGACGGTGGCGGGCAAGCAGCTTCTGCTTTGACGGTGGTGGGTGACGGTGGCGGTGGCTGTCACACCCTGATTTTCGTTTCAGGATTTATAAATTATTTAATAAATTATTATTAGAATTTATATTAAATGTTCATTAATTTACAAGTGAAGTTAAATGTGGGAAATAAAATTTCCTAAATATAAAGCATGGATAGATTTAATTTTTATTAAATTCCTCATGGTTAATTATACTCTCTGGAATTTTCTCGGATTTTTCGGAGCTCAATTCCTAATTTTAATCATACAAAGAGCATTTCAGTAATTATCCGCATATTAAATTAATCATTAAATGGTCTGATTATAATTTTTTTAAGTACTTTGAGTGCCCAAGTATTTTCAGGATTTTTATTGAAATTATTTGAGCATTGGAAGTATTTTTAACAATTCAAAGATCATCTCATTGATTAATTTATTATTTTGGAAGTCCTTTGTTGCTCCCTTCCGGCCCAGCCCAAAAGTCTACTTTGTCTCCCCCGCTACTGTTCATTTTCCAGCTCCAGCCGCCGGCTGTAGCCGAGCCGAGCCGCCTTGCCGCGCCGCTTTGCCGCGCCGTTTCCTCCCCAATCACTCCCCTTTTCTTCCGATTGTTTGAGGGTTTTGATCCTCTCATCCTCCTCTATCTTTACCCCCAAAAATCGGAGCAAATCGTTGAGTATTTTATCCGAATCGAACTCGTTTTTGAGTTTATCTCCAAAACCGAGTTTTTGATTTCCCGGGCCGATTTCTTGCGGGAGGAGTCCGATCTCTTCAATCCAAGGCTATAAATAGGACCCCCTAGTCCTCCTCTTTCGTTTGCCCCTATTCCCAAGCCTTCCCGTGCTCCGTAGCTCCGTCGCCACCGCCGCCAAGCAAACCGTCGCCGCCGGCCATATCCGGTGCCGCCGCGCCGCCGTCTCCATCGTCTTCGCCGGTAGCCGTCACCACCGTTGGGTGCGCCGTGGTGAGGGGAAGCTCGGCCACCCTTCCTTTTCCGTCGCCGGTTACCGGAGCTCCGCCGCCCCGTGCAAGCCGAGCCGCCGTCGCCGCCCCTTCGTCGCCGGCCATCGTCGTTTGTCGTTTGGCTCGTGGGTGAGTACCGTTGGGTTCGTCTCGTCGTCCTCTACGTGTACGTGTCCTCCAATTTCGCAGCCGACCATCCAATCTCCGGCGAGGTCGCCAACCCGGGCCGGCCATTGATGATGTCATCATGACGTCATCATCGTTTTTTCTTTTTCCCGTTTTTCTAATAGATTAAATCTTCGGAAAATCATAACTAAATAACCGTAGATCCGATTCGAGTGGTTCAAGTTGCTAAATTTTTCTAAAATCGAGATCTACATGTTAAAAATATCCACATGTACTGTTTATGCTTGTTTTTGTACTGTTTTGTTGAATTTTGTTCTTTCGCTTTAGTTTCCGACGTTCCGGAGGAGAGCGTTTTCGTTGAGGAAGGTTCGTGAGTGCATCGGAAGTGTTCAAGAAGACTAATTGAAGACCGATTATTGCAAGGCAAGTCACACAGATCCCAAACAACCCTTTGAGCATGTTGAACCTGTTTAAAGCTATTGTTTTATTTCAACTTATGTATTATTTTCGAATGTCATCGGGTGGTGAGCCTTTCCCAATTAATTAATGGCCGAAGATGACTTTATTTTCCTGTGGGTTATAATTTGATTAGCTAGAACCTTATATATTGGTTTGGTTTAGCTAAATGCTATATATATAATTGCTTAGCCATGCTTAGAAACATTAGCTCACTAATGGGATGAATCATACTACATTATTATTTATGGTTATATTTAATGGTAGCTCACGATGGTTAATCGTGTTATGATAATTAATTGATAATTAAAACTTGTTAATGGTGGGTTGTGAGCACATGGTTTTGAAGGTCGTGCTCATGACAATTAAGGACCAGTTCACGAGCTACTGTTGTGAGACATTAACCGTGCCAACCACAAGCCAGCGTGGGCAACGGCTTTACCTTTTGTATAGCATAGTTCATTACGGGGTGCCAGACTGAGAAGCGGCGAGAAGTCCGTGGGGGTCGCTGGGGAGTCCATGCCTTTGGTTTTTGAGGGGGTGATTATGATCCAGGAACGGTGCACTGTTTTGAGTTGTGTTGTGCAAAGGGTATTGTCACGATTTCCCCCTTTGCAATGCCGTGGTGGTATTACGGGGCATGGCAACATGTGTGGAATCGTGTCTTGTGGGTACAGTGGTACACCTCTGGCTAGAGTAAAACTATTCGAATAGCCGTGCCCGCGGTCATGGGCGAGTTGAGCAATGTTTTTCGTGATTAGTCCCATACTACTCAATAATGTTAATAATGTGATAATTAATTTGACTCCTGGTTTGGAATGGATAATTCCTGGTTTGGAGGTTTGATCTATACGACCGGGGTTGGTTGTTCAGGTTTGGTTGGGCCTATGCAGCATGGGTGTACTGTTCAGTGTTGATTAAAATTTCTGATTAATTACTCTACTGTTTTACTTCTCTTAAATGTTTGCTAAATGCTATTTCGCAAATGAACCCTATATTATGCCATCCTTTGGAATCCTTGTGCACTTGCATATTTGCTGTGTGGCTTGTTGAGTATGTCATATGCTCATTCTTGCAATAATCATCAAACCTCAGTTGAAAAAAAAGGATCCGGAAGGAGAAGATGTTTGGCTTATACCCCAGTTGAGCTGCCTGTGGGAGTGGAGCTGAAGCCATCGCTAGACCGTTAATTCCGCTGCCGTTTTCTTTTCTTTTGTAAGTATGTAACGTTATTATTGTGATGGATTTGTATATTGAATTGTCAGTTTGTGTACCTCGGCTGATTCCTGGACGAGGGTTTTATGCACAAATAAGTTCGGAGATTATTAGTGAATTTCTGGGCATGACAGCGGCTTCGGCTGGTTACGGTGACGGTCAAGCGGCGCTGGGAAGCGACGGTGGTGGTGGTGGCTCAGCTTCTCACGGGGCGTGGACCGGACGAGGAGGGGTGGTCGCTCTTGCTCGTCGAGAACCTCCAGCTCCTCGTCCTACTCATCACTTCCCTCGCCGTCCTCGTCGGCTGCGGCATCACGCTACTCGTCTGCCACTCCTCCATCTCCACGCCCGCTACGAAACCGCAGGAGGCGCACCCGCGGGCCCTCACCCCAGCCAAGAAGAAGCAAGAGACCAAGCCTGACCCCGCTAGGAAGCGACGGCGGTGGCGCGGCTTCATCTTCATTCGTGTGTCGCCTCACTAGTGGTCACTAGAATGGATACTATCATCTCAATCGGGCGGCAACTCCCATCTCAATCGGGTACGGCGTCCGTCACAGGCTAGAAGTCACTTATGTGAAAAGTTATCTCAATCAGGCAAACGGCCGTCACGGATGAACCTATCTTAATCGGGCCCTAATTAAAGCCCGTCACTGATAGCTTTGACCCAGACGACATGTCAAACTATAGCCCGTCATGGATGACCTATCTCAATCGGGCCTAAACTATAGCCCGTCACATATGACCCTTATCTGTGACGGGTATTAACTATAGCCCGTCACAGATGAGTCATCTCAATCGGGCCTAAGTTAATACCCGTCACAGATGAGTCATCTCAATCGGGCCTAAGTTAATGCCCATCACTGATGAGTATAATCCTAAAAAAAATTAAATTTTATTTTTGGCTAGCTTTGCCATGCCGTCCCGCCCCTCTCAGGGGAATCCTTTTTTTTTTTGTCTTTACTCGTGTGCACGAAGTTCACTTCGTGATCGGTCATCCATCCTGAAATTGCTCCAGACCAAACACGCTTAATATCAAAGTTCTTTGGAGATCGGCTTCCGAAAGAGTAGTTGTAACTTGTTGGTATAAGTATTCTATTAATCCTATTAAGTTCTAGGCCGGGATATGTCACACTATGCTTCAGTTTCATGTAATCAATAAATCGATGATACTTTATATATATATATATATATATATATATATATATATATATATATATATATATATATATATATATATATATATATATATATATATATATATATTACTAGTTAACGTACTTAGTGCGCGTAACAACAAATTTAACATCTCACCAGTTACGTTAATTAATGGTAACAGCGCAGCATATGAATCTCGATCAGTTATGCGGGCGGCACTAAAGCTAAGCAATAACACTTGTTATACCGATCGTATCCGACGTGGCTAGATCGAATTCACCCCGCCGGCATGCACCGCTCGATAAAAAAAACATATACTCTCTTGTTTTTTTTAATGAATGACACAATTGATTTTTTAAACGTATTTAGCATGATTTAAGTTTTCTATAGTATTTAAAAGAAAGTTAAATAACACGTAAGAATGATTGAACATTTGTAAAAAGAAAAATCAACAACGTGTTGTATGTTAAAAAGCCGGAGGTAGTATGATATATATAAAGTTTATAAGTAAATATCCAGAGAGGATAAAAAAGCTAGCAGCAGGCGGTGATCCTTTAGGGCGGAACTACGGTAGGAAGGCCAGTGTCATATGGCACCAAT